CTGCCTCGGTCATGTGGCTTTCCGCATGGACGCCCTTGTCTCCCCCAGTTGCACCAATAATGGAAACTTCGTTAATGTCATTAATCTGCAGACCAGGACATGAACCAAGCACGTTTAACCTTTCTGAGATCGCCTCTGTGGTGACTTACAAAGTGGGGACAGTTGCTACCCACTGTGACTTGTAACGAAAAGAGATTTGCTTGTCCGCAGCAATTTTTTCCCCATAAAGCCATTTGAGACCAGCAAGTGAGCGTTATCCAGCAGTGTGAACCATCATATGGAACAGATCTGTTCAAATGCCTCGTAATTGGTCCTTTGATACTGAAGTTTAGGAGTACTGCATGTTTAAACTAATACTCCTTATCCTTTTTTCTATTAACCTCACTTAAGTGAGTAGATGTTTATAGATGACAGCGTTCTCATTTCCACCATGCACATCCAAACAAGGGTTTTGTCAAAAGGCTGCTTAATGACTAATCAGGTGTCTGCAAATCATGCCTCATTCAAAGCCCTTATTCATGCATTCCACCGGCTCTATGAATGGACACTCAGCCCCTCATGTCATATACTTTCATTCATAAGAAGAAAAAACAGGAGAGGGGAAAGAGATTGGGGAAAAAAGGACTCTCTCTGGTAGGATGGGTAACCCAGGGGACATTTTCTTTTGTGTGGCGCTCAGCTTATGGGGCCAAATGCCAGCAGGCTTACCTCCACACTGTCTGTCTGTGTGTGTCCCCCTTTCCTTTGCACACAGTAATTAGGAGGATCTTAATGGAGAGGGGGTTTATTAGTGTCTGAGGAAGGCTTTAAACGTCACTTTAATTAAGGGGGATTCGACAGACAGCTTGTGTGGCAATGTCACCCATTTCATAAAATCCTTGTTTGGGCACAACAGGAAAATAGAAGTAGGTTTTTAAAAGGAAGGGGTAAAAAGGTCTTCCAGGGGAGGACCGTCTAGACCTGCGGTCAGAGACAGAAAAGACAGTCTGACCCTCGCTTAGCATTAAGTTGACAATCATTATGTGCCATGAAATTCCACATGTGTGCATGTGGTCAGCAGCCTCTGAGAAATAAAACCCGCCTGCCCCCGCTAAAACTGTTTCATTCAAAAGATAACCTTGCTACTAAAAATTTGGGGGGGATTAATTTATTCTCAACATATCCTATGGTCATTCATGCAGGATATAAAATCCTAGATTATTTCCTGCTTGGTTAACCCGCATCCGGCCAGTCCTTTTCACAAAGCCATTCTAATGTTGCCATTAGTTATGCTCCTCTGGTGGCCAAAAGATTGATCCCAGAGTCTTGGAAACCAATAAATGTCTACATGAATGGCAGAGGGAGATAACACATTTTCCCACAGACAGTGGAGGACCGATCAGTACTCAAACATGATGGGAAAAAGATGAGTAACGATAAGGGATAAATTCAGCATTAAACAGTAAGCCTTTTTAAACTCTTTTCCATTTTATGATGGCGTGTTTAAAGTATAATTCACACCTTTCAGATATCATCCGAGTAACTTGTCGTGAATTTAAATGGCTTTGATAGTGGTTTATTTATAAGTGTTTGCACAGAACTGTAAAGTTATTTTATTATGCTAAATTTATGCGTAATTTTTTAACTATTATTATTGTATTTGATTCCATAAAAAGTGAGAGAGACATTTATCAGCCAAAACAAGTCAAAATAATTTAATAAGAAAACAAATGGAAACAGACATCGCAACAACCAAAATGACTGAATGTACACATGTAAAAACCAGTCTTGTCACAGGCACCGTGTGTCTGTAAAAGCAGAATCTTTGACAGTAACTGCAGCTGCTGAGCCCATGGAGGGGAGATCTGATAATGGGCCAGAGGGAAAACAACAAAGTGCTCAGGAGCAATGAATGTCTGTAAGAAAGATAAGAAAAAAGAGGACGGGTTATCAGCTTGTTTAAAAGGTGTCACTTTGTTCAAACATTGGCCTGTTTTTCCAGTTAAATCATATTTTTGGAAACAGATAATCAGTAATTTTACATGTGAAACTTTTATTTATGAATCACTGAGTTTGCACAATGCAATTTTATAGGTCGGCTTTATTTTTTAGTATTGTTTTATATCATTATTTTGTTTGCTGTTTTTTGGAATAGGTTGTTATCAGTTCATTTCACTTAGTTTGAACATTTATAAGTCACACAAATCTGGTAAAGGAGGCATTAACTTATTCATTCATTAACTTATTCATTAACTTACTTTATATTTTATTATTTTGCATGCAGGATGTTTGACATATATATATATATATATATATATATATATATATATATGTTTCCTTACTCGCAGCTGTCATTAGTGAGAACAATTTTCTATTTAAAACCTTAATAAAAATGCTTCATATTAAACAAAACATTATAACAGCACTCAGACAGACAGCTTGTACAGTACAGCTGTTATTATAACAGCAAGACATCCATTTTACGCTAATATTAGTTTTAGCCAGTTTAAAAAGGAACAAAGAAAAAAGAAAATAAATAAATTCAGTTTGATTATATGATAGTGTTAAATTTAAGAGCTTAAATTTTCACTTTAGTAAGTTCAACTGAGACCACTTTAGTCAGCTGTGAAATACATAATACATAAAAATACACAATACACAAATGCCTTATAGACTAACAATTCAATTAAATCAAAGTTATTTGACTATTGTAAAAGGTCCCTAGAAAATGAGAAAAAGAAAAAGGATAAAGGAAAAACATCTATTTCAAAAGATTTTATATCTAAATCAAGTAGTTGCTTATTTTCGACACAAAGCAGTGTGTAGCTTTGGAATATATATAGTTCGATTTTCAGTGGAAATTACTTTTAAACTTCAGGGAAGAAAAAACTTTAAGGAGAGGCTTGACTGAGATAAATGGCAGCTGACCTGCAGAGCCCAGAGACGACGTGCCTTGCGGCTCTACAGGACAGGTGCTCTGCACACACTTCCTGTTTAGGTGGAAGGCGGTGGCATCACCACACCCAGGGCCACACAGAAAGAGAGTCACAACACAAAGCTTTTGTTGACAGTAACTTTGAAAGTACCAGGGTAGGAACGTTTTCATTGATTCACCGTTTAGGTTTTGTTTCCAAGACTTTGTTTAAATTCTAATACAATATCATTCACTTTAATTAACTTCACAAAATAGAGGATTAACTTATGTTTCATGAAAAGAAGAAATACGTTTCCACAATTAAATCACTGCAAACGACATGAGACAATGCCAATTTCTCTTTTCCAATGATTTCTTCCATATATGATAACAATCATCTCTTCATGAATAATTAAAGAGATTTTTTTTTTGTTATCATCTTTAAGCAGCTTGTCAGTAGCACTAAAGCAAATAGACTGTATGCTTACTGAAATGGTTAATTAAAAATCTTTCTTCAAACTTTATTTTGTCACATCATTCACAGTGCATTATAGTTTAGTTTTATGTTAAAAACATCTTACATGACATGCCTCAATGTGCATAACCCAATGTGACTAAAACAGAGAAAAATGTGCCTTTCAATAAAACATAAAAAAAGAAACAAACACAAGGCAATCTCCTGCAGATAGCTCAACTGCATGGGTGCACTCTCCAGATTTTTTATTACTATTCTTTCACCCACATAAATGATCAAAACAAATGACAATCTCTGTGCAAAGAAGAGACAGAGCCCACAAAAGGGAGTCTGACAGCCATTTCCACAACAGATGTTTTTACAGAGGGGTGTCTTCTCTCCGCTGAGCAGTCTCACACATGAGAGACCCCCAAAAGCTTCAGAGAAACGTCCAGAAAACCAACATGTAAATTTGTAACTGCCATGTCTCAGACTAGCGGGCCCACACCAATTTTATTTCTTTGGGGGTTAAATAAAAGAAGGAAAGAAAAACCACCGAAAATGAGGAACAGTCGCACACAAATAAACATATCAGCATAAAATAGGGAGGATTAGAACTTCAATATCACAAAAAGACAACAGACAACATTGTTAAGGTTTATCATGAGGAGATAAGTCCCTATTGATTCGGGTTGTGGGCAAAGGCTGCGCTATTGACAGGAAGACAGAATATGTCGGAGGGGCGATATTTCATACATTTGGCCTGTTCACTCCATCACTGTGAGAGGGTGTTTTTCTTGGCTGTATATAATAACACGTGTGCTCTTTATTTCCCTCAGATCAATGGTAATGTGAGGGGGGCCACACAAGATGGATGCCAGGGGCAGGTTAACCTATCGACTGTTCAACAGAGACACACAGACTAAGACAAGAGAGGCCAATCCGTTTACTGAGATGAACCTGAGTAACTCATGTTTTGAAGCGCTCTGCTTATCTTCCCCATCTGTTGTAGCTCAACAAAAGTTGACTTGTGTCATTTACTCTCACAGGGTCCATGTACTGTATAAACATCTCTGAAGATGTGTCAAATTTCTCTTTTAAACGTAAATGATTTAACAACTAATATAAAACCCGTGTCTTTTGTCAGTCTTTGGGCTGGTGGGGGAAGTTAAAGGATGGAATAGGTGCCAGTGAGCTGCCTGGTGACTGTTTCCTGGGGACGGGATGGAAAGCAGACGGGAGGGCAGGCTAGCCCACACAGGTGGCCCGGATTTGGATCGGGTCATCTTTGCCCTCCAACCACAGGCCAATTAATCTCATGCTCCAACTCATTTCCAGTCAGTAAACAGCAGCTCGTTGATACAGACCTGGGTAACAGCGAAGCTATTTCGAACCAACTTTGATTTAAAAGAGTACTTAATATTGTACTACTATATAATTCTAAGCACTCAAAAACCTAAAAAAGAAAACTGTAATTATCAGTAAGTCAGATCTAATTAAAGGCGAGTTCTGATTATGGAGGAGGTTTCTTGTTGTAAAAGTTTAAATTAATTAAACTCCACTGTGCTTGAATTCACTCTCTTAATGCTCCTATTGTAACGGTTTGAAACAGATAGGTTAAGTGTTAAAGATTTCTAACAAATTCTCTGTCCAATGAATGTGCCGATCACTTCGCGGCTGCACAGGTGAGTCGTCTGAAAATATCAAATTATTATGTGCCTTTCTATTGTGGATGCAATGCCACCCACTCAATGAGAAAATACAATCAAATTTAAATATGAAGTCAGTCTGGCTGAACTGCAAATCCACGTTAATAGGAGAATACTGTTCCGACAGACAGCTCTGAGTATTATTGTCTAAACCTGGGTTAAGGATAATTAATTTGGCAGTAAATCATTCAATGTTTTGGTGAGTCTGATGAGAACTGTAAAATGATTTTTTTTTTCTCACAGACACCGCCAAAGCCAACTCCCAATCCCCATTGTCTGAGAAAATGGAAATCTGTGCCACCAGTACAATATCCACATTATGCGGCCTGACTTGACATTGTTGCATGACATGCTTGATTGTACTCTGCCGTGTAGGAGGCAAAAAGTATAAACATACCATTAGCAGATATCAAAGTTTGTCTTCCACTTTGATTAACGTCTAACATGAAAGTTTTTAATAATTTCTTTCCAGATTGAATAGAGAATCCCTTTTGTCCACAAATGGAGCGGAATTTTATTGCAATGACTCAGAAGAAAAAAAAAACAGAATAATTTATCTGTGCATGTTTGATTTACAAAAGGTGAAGCAGTCTAATGTCAGTTTGCACAGCATTTATTTTGCAAAACATGTGGCTACATTTAATTTTTTAAACCGTATCTCTGATAAACATGCACACATAATCACAAATACACGGCCTTCTTGCATCCATTCATTTTTCTCACTCATGATTTTAGCTGTTGTACAAAAAAAGTACAACACTGCGTATTCTTTTTGAGGGAAGCATTCAACAACAGCAAGATACAACATGATGTGCTCTTAGCATCCTATGGTACTAACTTTAAAGACAAAGACAGATAAAGGTACTACCTTTATTTCCTTTGGTCCTGCTGATGTTTGGGAGCAAAGGGAATAAGGAATTTAAACCCCAAATTAAACCCAAATTAAAGCCCATTTTCCTCTATGTCCAATACGCTATCGTGCTTGGGTTCAGAACTTCTGGAGCAGGGTTCGTTTAAGTCAGTATTGTCCACTCAGGGCATGCAAGTCCACTAACAGCACAAAGTGCTTAGTCATTGCAAGCACAAATACAGAAAGTCCTGGCTCAGAAAAACTAAATGCAGAAAGTTCTTGCTCTGAAATCAAACTAAAGTCATAATTAAATGTGAAACACCACGGCCGTAAACCACATCAGCAGTTACACTTGTTTTCTAATGTGTGGAACACTACACTTAGGCTCAGGGCTGTTGCTTCGCTACACTTCTCACATTTAGGTTTGCAACAGAATTAAAATATACACCTCTTTAAAAATCTCAGTGGGAGCCTAAAGACATCCCAGCATGATTTGGATCAGATATAAGAAGTGTTTTCTTCGGGGGTTTTCAACACAAAGGCCTTAAAAGTTCACCACGTCTTGCAACAGCGAGCTGGATCAGAGCATGCTGCAAAATAACTCAACGCTGCCATCTAGTGGTGGGTAATTCTGTTCTTTAAAAAAACAAAACTTCAATCTAAACTTTACCTTTAGGGAAATTAATCTTTCGACATGAGTAATTTCTCATAAATCTCTCCAAACATAACGTTTACCATGTTAATAGGAGATCTGGTAAACTATGACTGAATGGGTCTATGGGTTGATTGTGACAAGAAGCAAAACAACAATAAGTTGTGGGAAGCATTATGATTTTAAGTAATTACAACAAAATGATCTTGGAGTCGTGTGGCTTCCAGAAGGATAAAAACAAAAGTGCCTTTTGCTTCCAGTTTGTCGTGTCACCTCAGGCCTGCCTGTCTAGCCATGACCTCAGAGTTGAAACAGAGTTCAGCCAAGTTGAGAACTGTTCTTGCTTGTTTTGTCATGAGCGTGTACCATATTTCTCAGTGAAATACTACAGTCTGCAAGGGACACCACTATGCTGCCGAGGAAACAATTGACTGGGCATTAATGATTTACAGCTACATTTCTGCTATAATACCAACAGTAGCAGACGTAACTGAGAGCAGCCTCTGATGGAATCATCGATGCAGCCTCAGATAACACCTTGGTCATCAACAATGCATGGATCTGGCAAAAGATATAAGATAATGTCCAAGTAAAGGTAGACTTAGAGTCAGTCTAAGGTTGGCAAGACCTGCGTTAACACATTGAATCAGAGAGCAAAGACGGAGAAAACACAGAGCCTACAGAAACACAAAAACAATCATAAAACGGTATCTGAGTCTACAAAGGGTTTAAATGACCAGTACAAACACGGAAATTAGATTAAATATTTACTGGATAACTAGGAGTTACAGAGATATTCAGTTTACTTTGAATATCAAAGAGATGGTATATATATATATTTTAATCAGCTGGAACTGTTCATCTTGCTGATAGTATTTTGGTTTGGGCATAGATTTTTAACTTGTTTTGGTGAATTTTCAATCTCTTTCAGTCCAAGTAAGCGTGTCACATATTTTGTGAATTGCTTCTGTAAATATTACAAACTGGCAGTTGGTATTCCAACTTAAATATTTTTGTCACATATTTTTCTTCCATTCTTTTAATCGACCCAAAATGCAAATTACCTTTTTGCATTTTTATTCTGAGTGTGACATTAATATTTTATTTCAAGCCATGACCATTTATTCCTGTTCTTTTTTCTTATCGTCTATGTGAACTGAAGCATCTTCTTCGGGGTTAAACAAAACTACTTCAGATTGATGAGCCTCAATCATGTCGGCCTGGCTGTTTACATTTGAAGGAAATGACGTAAAAACGTTTTGAATCGTGCGGGCTAACAAACATCACCATCCCGTGTAGCCCCCTGCACTGCTCTGCCTCCTCTCAATAACACCTGGGGAAAACTTTGAGCTTCATGCATCCATAATTTCTGTGACGGTAAGCTTTGCCGCATTGAAATAGTTCTGACACAAACAACCGAGGCAACAGTTACCAAGGTGACCGTTTCGTTTTGTCAGTTGTTGTTGTTTTTTTAGCTAACAGCGCCTGTTCGCCGTTTTTTTTCTGAGATGCTCATATTAAACTGAACCAAATTGAAGTAATGACACTGATTACGTGATGATGCGTGAAACAAAACCACAATAATCCTTGACAGATATTGTTGACACTGTGTTTGGTTTGGTTTATCTTACGACATATTAGCCATGACGCTCGTGAGCAAACGCTAGCTCTCTGCTAGCTCACCAACACATCCAGGAAAAGAGGGCTAATAACAGCCAAGGAGGCTTTTTCAATGCTATTCAGCGATGTTATTGTTAGGATGCTTCAACATTATGTCGTTACCAAACTGCCACGCTTTCATAAGGAGCGCTTTTGTAACATCTCCATTTAAGTGTGAGCTCGGCTGATGAGCGACAGCTGCTGGGTTCAGTTATTTAAAGTTTGCCTTCGCCGCTGCCCATTTTCACCGCCTCACTGGTCTGCTGTGCATCAGCGCTGTGCTTGTGTTGTTTCTCTCTTCAAAAGCAGGAGAAACGCAATGGACCTCCACAAAATCATCCACAGTGCGCTGCACGAATTTATCCAGAACTACATTCCTGATGCAGATCTCAGGTAAGCCCCTGCCGGCTGCTTTCTCACTTTCTCCCACTCCAAGAATGAGTTTATAGAGTTTATGTCATGGATCCTCTTCTGAGAGTAACCTATCAAGAAAAAGGATTAAAGTCAACTTATTATCACTGCATTTAAAACATTAGAGTCACAAAACAATATTGTTTCGTTCAGTTTCTTACTTTCCATGAAAAGTCATAATTAACTATAAAAAGATCTATGTTTAATAAAGAATTGTGATAAAATTGAAATTCTTGTAAACGTTATCAGTAAGAGACTTGTCGAGCTCCAATGTTACAGTCTGTTACACAGAATAACAATAATAAAGAGAGAAACAGGATCACAAATAAAATTTACTGATGGGGAGTTCTTTCCATTTTGTTTCTGAGCTGATATATTAATGTTTGGAAACTGAAGCTTACCCTTTCTTTTTTTTTTTAAGTGATTTCCTCTGCAGTAGACAACCTTCAACTGCAAGGAAAGTTAAGCCTCTATGGGACGTACAGGTTTTAACTTTCTTCTTTTTTTCTCACTTTTCTACGCAGCACACTGGACGATGTTCTCCTGTCCTACATCACTGGAGTCCTGGAGGACCTCGGCTCCCAGCAGAGTGTTGAGGAGAATTTTGATGTGGAGGTCTTTGCAGAAATGTTGGAAGCTTATATACCTGGCTTTGCCAAAATAGACAGGTGAACGCTTACCATATCATTTGCTCTGGTTAATAATAAGCAAGAGCATACAACTGCTATTATGTCTTTTTTATTATTAATGAGTAGGGTTTGTTTTCTTCTCAGTGTCAAAGTTTGTGAGATGATGTTCAGTCTAGCTTCAAAGCTAGCTTCTGCACGGACTTCAGGTAGGACAGGGTCAACATTTCCCAAATACTTTTGGTTTTTTTCTATTGTGAGCTGACCTCAATTTATTTTCTACTTTTTAGCTAATGAGGAAAATGGTGTGCCTAAGGAAAGGTCAGAGGAGTTATCTCTGAAACTGGCCACTCTTACCAGTCAGCCCCCACCACAGAGGGAACCGCAGTGCCTTCAAACTCAGACAGAGGGCGCCACTGCAAAGGTTATCTTTCTTTCCCCACACATCAGCACATCGTTCACCTTGTGTCCTACATCCGTCCCAACTGAAGCCTCCGAACGCATTGTTTGTTTAGCGGCCGGAGTCAGAATGGGAGTCCCAGGAGCAGCACCTGCTGGAGATGTTCCCAAAGTGCAGTTTGTCGGAGGCTCGCAGCGCCCTGTCCATCGCCAAAGGAGACATGGAAGAAGCAGTGCGTCTCATCATCGAAGGCGACGTTCAGCTGAGCCCGACCCCTCTAAACGTGAGTCCTGCGGTTGTGTTTGACGTCAGCAGCTGCCTGCTGTGTGGGAGTTGATGGGCTGGGCTGATGTTTGTCTTGCTGCCTCAGGTAAACCAGGGGAAGAGCATTGCTGACCAGAAACTTAAAGAGACCATTCTCGAGAAGTGAGTAGTGTGAAACGATTGGTGTTGTTGTGGTTCTGTGAATTGCCTTGACTCTGGCGTGAACCTCCCATTAGGTACATGCTCGTCGACAGCGAGGAAGATAACAAGACACACCGGCCAGTCGCTCCAAAAGAAGTAAGTCCGGTTATTCACCGCATCACGATTTTTCCCTAAAAAAAAAAGTTCCTCCATACAGTTTTTTTTTTTTGTTTGTTTGTTTGACTTGTTTGCGTTTCCACAGGCTCCAAAGAAACTTGTCCGTTACCATGGCAACCAGGTAGTAACCACTAAAGGAGAGCGATACCAACTCGTGAAGAAAAGTGAGACTGATGACATGAAAAAGACTTATGTCAACCTGAAGCCGGCAAGAAAGTACAGGTTCCATTGATGCTGCGTACAACACCGCGAGAGCAGCTAACGACAATATTGTTTACATTTTTATTTATTAACTCCAGTGTGGCTGAATCTGTGTGATTTTCCCCAAATGATGTAGAAGAGTGTCAGTGATTTATTTTAAAAGGACGTCGCCATGGTTTGCCTTGGTTAAAACATTAGTCGTATTACTCTTTACTGATAGAGCTTTTTGTGTCAATGTGTTGAGTGTGACAGCCTAACTGATTTATGTCTGGCCACCTCAGCAGGTCTGATGTCTCACTGACAACTTCATCCCCCCTTTTTTCCCCTTTTAGTTTTTTTTTTCCAAAAGGATTTTCTTGAATTATGGAAAATCGATTCAGAGAGGACATCAAGTTTTTAACTAACCCATATTGCTGTGTGTACATAAGTGGTGCTGTAGGGTTTCTCTGACATTACAGGTCGACTTCTTTTCTCTTTCTAAATGTACATATATAAAAAAAATGCCAATTTCACTGAGACCTGCTTTGTGTCTTAAAGGCTTGCAGTGCTGTGCAAATGTTTTTCAGCCTCGAGCTTCTGTGGAATTTGCTGTGCTACAAAATTCAATTAAACATTGAAGAATTTCATGCTCATCACTAGATCAAAGTGAGAGTGTAGGAGCTCTCCTGTTTAATTTTATACCATTTTAAGGAAAATCTCCCAACTTTCAATAGATGACAAGACAAAGTGGACTTCACTAATTTAGCTTAGCCGTAACTAAACAAAGTATTATTTTTGCACACAGTTGAGAGGCTAGAACTGACATTTATAGTGATATTGAATAGAAACTATTTAAGATATAGAAGTATCTAGTTTTGTGCACAGCAAATTATGAAACTTTTTTTAAGGTTTACAATCCAACTGTGCTACCATGTCTTTGCATTAAATTACTTCTAGTCCCCATTAAATTCTGAGTGACTCAGGCTTAGTTTTGAAATCCATTTTCTTTATTTTTGTTTGATATTTAGATTTGCAAAGAGTCCAGTCATTAACAGCCAAAACATGAAAAGCTGGAAACGTAAAGAAGAAGGCCGGTAAAATGCAAAAGGAAAGAAAAGACATTTAAAGAAAAAAACGGTAATGGTGCAGCTTTTTCTGTCAGCAATTAAGAATGATACATTTCTGAATAACTGGAATGTGACATTTTACAGATCAACAGGATCTTTTCATATGTTCTCAACTGTTATAAATTAAGGGTGATTTTTTTTAAATTTGCAAAAAAATTTTTTCTTGAACATATTTGGAGATGTGTAAGATTGTGGGCTCCAGGGTGTTTAAATTTACAGCAGTGGTCCATATTTCTCGTTTGTTTTTGTGAATTTTGCTTTGCTTGTGACAGCCCGTTACAGAACTTAAATATGAGTGAATTCTTGTCAGATGTATATTAGGATCATTTGGTTGTATTTCTGTTAGAAGATATAGTCCTTGTACTGCCCTTTGGACATGTTTGGAGCAGGTAATAAGATGTTCTGAACAGTGGATTTATTATTATCCTGCCTGTTGTGCTGAGATCATGTGTAACTGACATCCATCAACAGCGATTATTAATCAAAATAACTAAATGGTTTTACTGTACAACCCAGAATGGACTTCCTGGATCTGTTCACAACTGGCTTTGAGAAACTGCTAACGCACAATTTATAGTAAATGCTGATTTTTGTAGATCATGCTATCTATTGTGTTTTTTAACGTACGTTGTGGGGAGTTCCAACAAGAATTAGTTAAAAAATTGTTCTTTTAAACCCATAAAAGATTTTCCACCCTGCAGGTAGGACTTCCAAACAATTTTAATCAGAGGGACGAGGAGGCCACATGTTCAAAACAAAATAAGAACAGGCATTCATCAAGACAAACCTTATCTCTATGAACCACCATTTTAAGCCAATTCATGCTTTTGAAAGCTATATGTTCACCTTAAATACAAATTAAAAATCAACTTCTTATTGCCATGTCAACAATAGACAACGCACATACAGTAAACATTTTACCTAGAAATAGAAGATATACGAAGCATCAGTCTTACATCACCTAAATTCTTTGTACACTTGAACTAGCACATTTTATGATTATTGTGCAATTAGAATGAAGTACACTTGCACAATTTGGGCTATTGAAAATTGCTAAAAACAAAGGTCCAGGGCAAATGTTTTTAATACAAACGTTATCGTCTACTGGCTTCAAACTTTTGGCACATAAAGTTTTTTGTGTAATACTTATCTACAGAAGCCATGAGGGTACAAGTAAGTGCATTTCGGAGGAGAGTTTGTCTCTGTATTGTCACATGATGCGGTATGAGTCAAGCTGGACATAGAGCCAAGTAGCCAGCAGCAAACCTGCCCACCAGATGGCACACTGCTGCAAAGCTGAAGGTCCTGCTCATTAGGTCTGATAACGGCGTATTAACACACGCGTTTCCATAGTACACTTTAACCAGTCCAAAAAACTGACTTGTAGGTTGCGTGTATTGAAAAAGGTATTTCCTAGCCTCTTTTCTGCTACAGGTATGCTTCAACAGCACATCCAAAGAAGCACTTGACATACAAATCAAAACCAACAAGAGCATTCATATAACAAAAAGCTATTACTTTAATTAAAAAAGCACCCTTTTTAAACATCCTTACATTTTTCATCAACTTTTTTTAAGTACTCTATTTGAGTGATTTTATTTCTTTACAACAAATGAATCCATTTGATCTCTACCAGAGAAATTCTCATCAGTATGCATGGAGATATAGTCAGATAAATATAACAAAAAACACTTGTAAAGCTGTCTTAGATGTAGAGATAGAGATAAATGGAGAGTATATTATGATTATCTGAAACAGTCCAAACTTTATTTGAGTAACGGGAACTGATGCAATACCCATCAACTCATCTGTTAGTGGTCAAAACATTAAGGCAACCCCATGGTATCAATCTCAGACAATTTACAATTAGGACCGATGGCTTCAATTGTACACCTGCTGAGAAAAACACTGATGGACTTAAATACAATTTTCGCTTTCCTCTCAGAAGACAAAAGAAAACTTCAAGTATGTTGAAATCCCAAGAATTAGTCGGATGATTCTTCTTCCATTTAAAGTACTTACAATGACTATGGCACTCAGACTGAAGCGGGGGGATTTTAGTGTGGCTGCATATTGCCACGCGGCAATCCAATAACAGAACGCACATCACACGGCAATGTCACTTTCACATGCAAACAGATTCCAAAGCAGTCTGGTTCAAGGGTAGAGGTCTAACTCAGATCATGGTCATATCTCCCTTTGATCATTGTTTTCAGTAAAGGTCCCACCTGGAGAGAATAGAGGATATTTTTTTAATAAGTATGAGCTACCTCATAAAGTCAGGCATATCACATTGATTTACTAACTGTCCTAGACATCATAGATCTTTCCTTTGTACTATATCAAGTAAGCCATAAATATTCACAGTAAGTGGGTTGCTGGGAGGGTCAGCGTGCCCGGGGGATTTCATGCAACAGATGACCTGAATGTAGATCCAATTTAATGTTCCAGAAACGGGCTATTAAACAGTCATGTGCAAACACTACTCCGATGATAGGAAAAGCTATTAAAAAAAGAAGGGTTTTTACCTCATGTGGTTCTCCAAGTGCCTCTCCCAGCATCTTCTCTATATTCCTCATAATGGCCACCTTCTGGTGAGCTCGCAGTGGGTACTCTATCCTCTTAGGTGTGGGAGCTCCCTTTACAAATGGAAAAGGGGAACGCAGAAGGTTACACGGACAAATGATAAAAGCGTTCAAAAGAGGGCTCTAATGAATCAACACCACATACCTTGTACCAAAAGTTTACAGTGATTGTCACGCCACCATTCAAAAGTGATTCGATGTGATGCCACCTTAAGAGAAGAAAAATGCAAACGACTAAGTTCAAAGATCCCATTTAAGCTCAACATTCAGCCTGAGCAACTACCAACTTTTTAAGCTTGTAGCCTAAAACCACTAAATGTAATTTAGGGATTGTTCTGAGGAGTTAAGAGTTTTACGACCCTGAAAAGGGGGAGGAGAGTGTGCTGAGCAGAGACAGAACGCTCACTGATCAGGTTAGCGGGAGCGGAGCCCTTTGGTCTTAGTGATTAGGAACAAGTGAGCAAAGAGCTCAGAAACAGATCTCTGCTTTCAACCGCAACAATTTGTACTTTTTATTCACGGGCTTCTCAAAATAAGTCCCACCTGTCAAAACCAACGTCGCCTTTCACACCGTAAACACAAAAACATTGATCTGCAAATCTGATGACGTACATCTGTGTGTCCACCCTGTCGGGGAGGGCGAGGCCCAGCTACACACCAGCATTTACTGAGAAATGCTGACTACACAATATGGGTGTTGGCCTGGCCTCTGATCAGCTGTTCTGAGCGAGGCCAACTATCAAATAAATGGCTGTAATTACTCTTAAATGCTTTCTGTTTGACAAATTGTGTGTTTGAAAGCTTGATAGAGATTCTTTTTAGATTTAGCTTAGATTATGAAAAAAAAAACTAAATGAATGGGAGTCAAATTTCTACGATTAACAATACCCATGACAATGTTTGAATAATGAAATTTCCTCTGGGCACGTAACTTATTTACATGGCTCATCAGCTTTTTTACTACAGCCAGCAGACGATTTGTTATGTAATGCTGAATAAAGCTATGACAAACAGCAAACAAGTCTCTGTCAGTCTTTTAAGCCAAAGTTTCTCAGCATCTGAGCTATAACCTGATTTTTTTGAGAGAGCAAAGTTACGTACTTTAAATAAATGCCATAAGGAGGATCTTCTTACCAATACATTGGGATGTACAGAACATCTCCGGGCCCAACAACAGCTTCATAGCCAACAACATTTTTAAAATTCGGAAACCTCATATAGTCAGGGTTGTCAAAGTCCACCTACAAATTAAACATACGGTCGGCAAATCAGCCATTACATACAAAATAAATCAGAACTTATTGATGTTAAGGTAAATTAATTCACAAAAAGTTGATTGAATTTAAATTAATCTTAACAGACATCTTTGTGGTAACACTCCAGCGCTGGGATTTGTTTCTGGGTGACTCACTTGGCTCTGTCTGTCACAGGGGTGATGGACAGGGTATGGATAAAGACACTCAAAATGGTCTGGAGGGAAGAGGATGCATCTCTTATGACCTTTTATCTGTGCAAAGAAGTTCTGCTGCTCGTCATAATGTGCGGGTGTCACATTGCCTGAGAGCAGAAACAGACACAATGATGTGCAAATGAATACCAGCAGGCTTGGCTAAAACCTGGCTTTTCCCGCTGCATCGCCGGCATTTGGATGCAGAGGGCCGAGAGAGCTGAGAGAGCCTCACCCTCCATGCCCACAAGCAGCAGGTTGGAGGTTAGCTGCCCCCAGTTTCTCTTCACTTGCTGCTTGTTGATCCAATTCCAGTTGAATCCAAGAAAGTCAACGACTATCTTCTTTCCCACTGTGTCATTCAGGGTCTGCTGCAGATAAACTCTAGAATTGCAGAAGAAAAGAGTGGTGAGAAGCATGTGAAACACAGCTGAGTGTCAGTAGGTGATTGCTCACTGGTAAGTGATCTGTGGGTGTGTGTGTGGGTGTGTGTGTGTGTGTGTGTGGGCAGGTCAAGCCAGGACAAAGAAATAAGCTTCTCCACTATTGACTCAGTGGACCCACTGACATCTTGACCCAGGCACACCAGGCATGTCTCCCTAACATCTGGCTATTTGAGCTGTCGAGCCAGAAATGTCTTTAAACTTGATTTAAGCTTACGTCCCATTCTCGACATCTTACCTCTCCTCGCCTCCCATTTCCTCTGTTTTATGCATTTTGTCCACGAATTCTGAGAATTTCATTTCCATTCGTCGAGACTTGGGGACAAAGTTCTCAAAGTTAAACATTTTCTTCTCATCGAAGTAGAGGAATTTGTGGTTTTCCGAAGTGTAAACGGAGAAGTCTCCATTTCCAATGTTTTCCAGGAGGTAGGGGATGTCCCATTTGAGAGCTGGATATACCAGGTTTGTGTCTGTTAGAACCACTGGTTCCTGAAAACAGATAGAGAAAATATCAGTTCAAAAGCATCATGTAACTGGTCTGCACCCCGGTCTGACAACGTCTGTTGATACTGATAATAACTTAGCCATCATCAATTGGACTTGATTTTTATTCAGTTTCTTTTTTTAATGCAGGATGGTCATCCTAACCTTAATCCTTAGAAAAGTAGGTATGGTAAAGTCTCGCTAAAGAGAAAATAGCAACAACAAAAACCTGCTCACAGGAAATGTGCAAAACATACACAGAACACCCGCACTTTTATTATTACCAATATATCTTTAAAAACTTTTAAGGCCAAGATGTAAACTGTGTCACGTGCGCGCGCACTGCACGAACGTGTGCGCTGCGCGTGCCATTCCCAACTCGGAGCTCCGAGGCCTACGTGACAAACTGAACGTAGTCCGCTGTGCGCGCCCCCGCAGCCCGCGCGCTCCCGCTGACGACTCCGGCTCTCGGTTTCACTTTCGCAGAGGAAGCTCGCGCAGGACTCTGCAGAGGTGGGGGCTTAAAAATAATGCTGAAATCCCTGACACCGCAGAAACACAGCTAACAAGGGGCCAGCTCGGACCGATTTCTTCTTGGTTTGTTGTGTTGATTAGGGCAGATCGAAAGGGTTTTAAAGGGCATTATGGCCATTAAGACAGACCAGTGTTTCCCCATCAGTCTCCTTAGTAAACAATGCAGGATGCTGACCCAATGTGCTGCCTTCATAAAATGACCATAGATTGGACTTTTGCATTCATCCATCCATTCAACTGTCGTCTTAAACTAAAGTAGGACAGCAGTTTGCTCCGACTACTGTGACTAAAAGAGGATCATTTCACAAATTAAACAGATTCCATTCACTTTTTCTCAGCTCTAAACAATAAATTAAATTTAGACAAAAATCAATAAGGGTTTTATCTTTCAATGTTGTGCTTTTGAACAAGACTAAGAGTGTTCTATGAAAGCTATTAATACACTGTGAGCTCCGACTCAACTTTCTGCTCCCCTAACCTGCTTTGGGGACACATCCCTCAGCCTCATCACCTCTGGAACACAGATCTTCAATAAGGCAGGCATCGTATAAATTGGAATGAAATGTTGCTGCAGTTGATCAATCTGTTTCATTCCACTGTCGCAATATCCCTTAAGGACAACAGTATAGGTGGTTTCACATGACATTTTCGAATGAAAAGGCCCAGTTACTTTCTCCAGGTTGCAGCTAGTCAAAAGCATAGAGCAGCAGGCCCAGTTTGAGGACCTTAACGTATTTTCTGTGCCCACTCTGATGCATACGAGTTAGACAGGTAACACCTGAGCTAGCGAGTTGTCTCCTTCTGAGACATGCAATCCAGAGAAAACCACGGCAAACACCTGGGAATGCGAGACAGTAAGCAATATGAGCCGAGCCGTCTGCCCACGTATCCGTGTGTGAGGTTACGCAAAAGCATTTTATCCTGCCAGGGGGGGAAAAAACACTGTTGCAGAATATGCCCTTTATTTCTCTGTTCGTGTTATCAAATCTAGAAAAAAAAAAGTTTCAGGGCCCTCTTTGTCTTGAGAGAGAAAAGTAAACAGTCAAGGGAACCTGAACTGCAAAATTTCCATGTGAGATATATTTTGTGAAATATCATTATTGGGAGAGATCAGTAAGTAGCATTCATTTACAATTGAAAATACAGCAGTCAGGAGAAGAGAAAATTTCAACAGATGTCACTATGCTTGACATGCTTTGCCAAAAACTCCAACTTCAGACACCAAATGGAAACAAGAATGACAAAAATGACAAAAACATGCTTTTCACAGCACCCAGATAAAAGCAACATCTGCATTAGTTGAATATCATCTAACAGCTGGCTTCTGGGGGGGAAAGGGGGAAATCCAACTTGACATATGCTGCCGCTTCCTGCTTCGTTTATACTCTCTGGAATATTGTTTCTGAACAAGCCACAGTGAGATCAGCATGTGTTTTCAGCGGAACCACCTGATGTGACTCAGTCTTGGATCCTACCCACCTGTCCCAAACAGAATATTCATCTGTGAACAATATTTAACTGGAGGCTATTTTAGAGTTAGATTCACTACAAAAATGAATGCTTTTTCGTTAGTTTTTTGCTGTATCATTACACGGACAACAACTGTAGCATGCTGTTAATGAAATGATGGCGTTCTGCAGCTGGCTGTAGAAATAACGTCAGTCCAAACTTTCGGGCAGCTCACTTCGCGGCTTTTACCTCGTTGTTAATGAGCATTTCAGCCCTGGGGTCCGTGTGAGACAGCCTGGGGATGGGTCTGGTGGGGAAAGAGTATTTTCGGAGCTGAGACTCGTCCCAGTCCTGGCTCTGGACGCCAGAGAAAGCGGCGCCCGCCTCGCTGGTCGCCGGGTCAGGCTCCACAACGGTCGCCGCGGCCATGGTCGTCGACGAGAGCCGCGTAGCCGTCGCCCCGCCGCCGTCCCCCTCACGGTGTGGCTGCCTTTCTTCCGTCCGCGCCCCGCAAAAGCCTCACGGTAGACAGCGGGACAGTCATGCAACGCTTCTCATTCACACTTATTAACGGGCTGGGAGAAAACGGGCGTTCCAGTTTGCCAGCAGCCTTTCACCGCGGCCGTGTTCCGTGTGGGGCTGTTTACACGCCGTGTTGACAGGCAGAAAACAAACGACGCGATCCACAGGACTCAGGGAAGCCCTTCTCACTGTTTCATGCCCCACCGTATTCCACAGCGACATCTAGTGTTGGGAGTGGGTCGGTGCTCTGGTTGTAATGTTTCTTAGGTACCACAAGATGGAGCTGTTGCATTTGTTCTTAAAAAAAAAAAAAATCACATTCAAGGCCTCAGCGACGCTGTAATTAATATATTATAATATAATAACCATTAAAGACTTTGGCCATCTTCAACACTACTGGTAACTGCTATTTCAAACTGTTAATTTGTAGCTATACTATACTAGAGTTTATGGATGTTAAACATATTTTTCCTTGGCTACTACTAAAGCAAAATCTGTCAAAGTTACCTGCAAATTTATAAAGTTTAATCCAGTTTGCATTCAGCAGACTTCATAGCTGCTAACATACATAATAGACATTAGGGGAAAAAAGTTTAAAGTGAATCGTGTGAAATATAAAAGAAAAAACAAATGAAAAAACAAACAGAAAATTTTGATGATTCGTGTCAGAACTATTTTGATTTAAAACTGTCTGCTTGTTTTCAAGTGTCCGAGAATTTGAATGTGTTCTCATTTCAGGAGTTATGTCCCCCGCATGACATGAATTAAAAACAGACCAAATTCTCACATATCACATGGATAAGTTCAAATTCATACATATGATGCACAAATTAAGATACATTTTTCAGAACTTTGACATTAAGTACTTTTTTGATCAACAAAATGGGGGGGGGGGGTCGTCATCATTCAACCCACAAAGACCTGAGACTCTTGACTGAGACAGACAGAGACTGAGAAGATGCAACTTGAGTATCTCTGACTTTGCTCATTGCAGATTTTTTACATCTTTATATTTCTTTATTCTTTTTTTGTTTAGTTTGTCACAATGGACTCACATTTCTTTGAGTTTTGTGTCTCTTTTTTGTTCAGTTTTATATCTAAATTAGATATGAGTCTTTTTTTTTGTGATCATCTCTGTCCCACTTTTGTAGTTTTTGTATATAGCTGTGGTAACTGTGTGTCTGACTTTTATTGTTTATCATGATTTTATATTCATTCATTTTATTGTATTCACTACAACTTTGGTTACGGTGGAACTGACATTTAGATAAAATATATTTTTTGTCTTTAAAGTTCATATTTAGTTTCATGTGATGGAAGGCTGAGCAAACAGCTGAAATCCTGAACCAATATTTAACTATGGGCATCATACCCTCAGTATTACAGTATTGATCACAGGGCAATGATTCATCATGAGACGGCAGCATGCAGCTTGTGCTGTACCTTGCTTGGCGAACTGATTAGCTGATGGAGCCCTGGCCTATGATTCCTGTGCTTTTGATACAAGTGGAATGCATCCTATCAGTCACTTTGATCATCAGCTGTTTGCAGTTTTGGCCTTTTATTGGACAGGATTTTAGAGCCGCAAACAGGTATCATTTCAGTTCAGTGATCCAGCAGCATTTCCACAGAGGTCTTGTGTGTTTTTCCAGGGACTAGTGTGTGCTGCCTGGTGGGTTCCCATGCCCAGTGTTTCCTGTGCAGATCAGGGAGCTGACCTGATCTGAGCTGATCCCTCTCATATCACCCCCCTTCTCCTCATTCTTTGTAGATACACATAAGCAGGAGGTTTAACACTTGATGAATCACGAGAAGCTTCTATCTCAAACCCTCCTCATACAAACACACACACACTGTGCTTTTCTCAACAGTTTGACAGCTGAAAAAGTAAATACCCCCCTATGGGAGCCACTGTTGCAGTCTGAGGTTTCATGAAGAGTGGAGTACCATGTTCCTGGACCAATGCATGTGATGTAATTATTGCTTAGATTTTACTAAAGGGCATCAACAGATGTTCTCTTTTTTTTAATCGGAGCACGTGGTTGATGTACCACCCATCTGTACTCATCTGTGTTGGCTTTCTCTCACATTCATGCTGACCCTCGCCCCTCTAGGTGTTGTAGGTCTAAAACCCTTAAGCCATAAATCCTATTAGTGAAGGATTCTCTGAAGCATTTTAAGTCTTTTTCCCAACTTTAATTGTTTCCACTGTCACTTGCTACCTGAGAGTTATTTACTTCCTATGAGTGACTCTTCTTTTTTTAAATGCAGAGTGCTTTGTCGTAGCTCCAGGGAATGCACAGGTAAACCGAGGAAACGTCTTTCAGATTCTTGGCAAAACTCACAATCTGTCGGTATAACGTGTTGAATAAGTTGCAGACTTGTGTGATAAAAAGGGTGATGATTTAACCTGTAAACAGAAGCATGTGTCCCACGGTTCCTCTGTAGTGTCACCTCTCTCCCTGTCACCTTGCGCTCATGTGCTATCACAGATCGGAGGTGACAGGGCCGGTCTGAGAGACGGAAGTTCAGATCCCTCAGTCAGAGGTCGTGTCACATCCCACTGGGGGGCAAATTGTGCGTTTGAGTCATGATCAACTTTGTGTGCTGTTTCACATGTCAATTTGCTTCATCTAGTTCACTTCTCTCCCCCTTGTTGAAAGTGTGTGGAGGAGCGTTTTGGGGAAACAACACACAGAAAGTGAAAAGTGGAGAAAATGGAGGTGATGTAGATGGACGTGGGTTGCATGTTTTCTGTGCTTCTACACTTCAAGCACTTGTCTCGGGCTGATGATCCTAGTGGTTAAGGATGGAGATAAATGAGAATCCGGAAAAGAAATTGGGCATGGACAGATCACTGAACAGGGACACTTGTCTCCTTTCCTTTGCATCTTTAATTTAGCATATTAAATGCAAATAACTTAAAGGAAACAACTATAAAGACATACAAAAGCACAAAAGGATAAACTTCGTGTGCAAAATTATTTTAAAAGGTTGTGAAATGGTTAGCGACTCACACACAAATCTTAACAAATCTTCTCTTAATTTGTTTTTTTTTCAGTCTGGGCTCCGTGGTTCATTGCAGCATAGTAATATCATCTTTGAAAGCTAATGGAACAATGCAATATTGGATCAGTGCAGGTAAGTATAGAGTATAGTCCTGCTTTTCAAGTGTTTTTTACATTAAATGTGGGAGGCAAATCCCACAGCATCTCAGCATAGGAAAAGGTTTAGAAGAGGGTCGCAGCATTATCAATGTTTAAGTTTAAAATGTATGTGATAAACTTGGTCAAAAATGTTTGTCCTAATTAGTTTTGAGTTTTTTTTTTTTTTATGTCCCCTGTTGTCTTCTTTAACACAGCAATTTGCACAGAGCTGCAGGGCAAAAGCTTGGTATGCCAGGTCTTTTGTTGGTGAGCTGTTTTTTTCTGCCTGCCAGACAGAGCAATCGGGCCAGCCCACGGGGGTCATCAGAGGAGACGTTCTGATTATGAGCATTATTTGGCAAATAAGATGTCAACAAGGTGTTTCCTTGACACTTTGTTGAGTAAAAGGAGGAAGGTGCAGAAATGAACGCCCCCTTCTCAATGGGAGCTTTAATCTTCCCTTTCATGTCCCTTCTCATCTGAAGGGTTTGGGCTTTGGCTGCCATGTGCTAGTCTGCCTTGGCCTGGCACTTCTTACTTGCAGGTGGGGTGAGTATCCTGGCAAGCATGTGTTTATAAAACCCACTTGTTTGGGCACAATACTTGAACTAACTTCTTTTGAGTGAACAGTGTGAATCTGTGCAAAGCCTTTTCCCAAAGTCCTTTAGAAGGCGACAGCCCATTGAGAGGAGAGGAGAAGGGATTACCTTTCTCGACAGTGGTGCATTTCCGAGCGAGCTGATTAGCTCTGCATTCATTGTTAAATCGAGCAAAGGAAGGCCCTAGAGGAGTGAAAAGATCCAAATAGGTGGGCCCAGAAAGAAAACAGCCACAGGAAGCCTTGCACAGGCAACCCAAAGTTTTCCCAACATTTCTTTCCCCCACTCCTAAGAAGGCATGGCGTGAAAAAGGAGATTAGCATACAAAATTAGAGGCGGGATGATTTTTAAGGGCAACTTGCCTCATGCCCTCCACCCCCAAGGCCCTGCTCTGTCTGGACAAAGTTAATTAAACTAGTATTAAACAGTGCAGAAACTTCCAAGAGCTCTTTGAGGATTACCATGATGAAGGGTAGAATGGGAGGTATTTGTTGAGTCGTAATTGAGAAAGGCACGATGGAAGGAAGAGTATGCTGGGATGCTTTCTTTTTGGTCAGCCATAGAGTGTCTTAACCCCAGTGGGAGCAATGTGAAGAGTAAGGTTGTGTTTACTCCAAACCGTGAGGTATTGATGACACAAAGAGTATTTTCAAGAAGGATGAACACTTTCTGTAGACTGAATGATATGCAAGATTAAAGGATTTATTTTTGCTTTCATTACATTTTAATAGAAAAGCACCCAAAGAAGCCACTAACAATAAAGCAAAACTAGAAAATGCTGTGCAATAAATTAACAATGTACAGTACAAAGTGCTTCATTTTATGTACAATTAAATACATCAAGAGGGCAGCAAAGGTCAGGGTGAGCCATGAGAAGGTAGAAAAAACTGTACGCACAAATGTCAAAATGTATCATTGCTAAATTCTTTTGAAATGGTTTAAAGATAAAAAGAAGGCTGCAAGGCTTGCATTTGGATAGAAACTTTTACTGGCATCGCACAAAAGTCACGTGATTAATCAAACTGTTAAGGTTTTCCCCGAATTAGAGAATAAATAAATGAGATGGACAATTTTGAAGTCAGAGCAACATTTTTTGGTGTCCGGTGACTTTTTCAAATGTTGAGGAAAATATAAAAATATATCTTAAATACATTTATGCTAGAAAAAAATCTAAAGAGTCGTAGGAGTAACCCCTCTCATCTCCTGTTTCATGTGACTTAGTCATCATCCCTGTTCTTCACAAAGGAGTGGCCGAACATGGTCTGAATGATTTCTGTCACTTAACCTTTAGGCTCTGGATATTGGTAAGAAGTGTGGTACAAGTCAGATAAACATCTGCGGAAAAGCAACGATAACATTCAGTGCTTCTTTCTCAGTCGGAGGTTCTTCCGACGGCTGGCGGCGCTCTCATTCCTTCCCCTCTGTCCTCCTTTCTTCACGCAAAAGTACTTGGTCACAGTCTTCCTGCACTGCTCACATTTCACTGCACAGCACCAGTGGAATTTACAGTTGCAGCTTGACACCATCTCCGCTTTGCGCTCCTCCACGGCCAGTCCGCACTCTCCACACAGCCTCTTGCAGCTGCGTTTCTCCCACTTGGTCAAGTTCTTGCCCTTCTTCAGGCACTCGCGGCCCTCCATGCCCGGCAAGCCCAGGGTGCGGTTTTCCAGGCAGTAATCGGGGGAGTCCTCCAGGTGGACCAGCTCTTTGCGGGAGATGGAGCTGAACGTCTCGGCGATGGCTCCGCGGCTGGCCGCGCTGTTCCCGGCCCCTCGCAGGAGATCTACTTTCAGAGCTCTGTGGTACTTCTCCTTCAGGTAGTTCCCCACCTCCCTGAACTCTGGCAGCTGCAGCCAGCAGGTCTGAGTGGTGCAGCTCCCGGACACCCCGTGGCACTTGCATGTTCTCTGCATGGTCCCCTTCACGGCCTGAAAACACCAAAAGAGAAGACTCATTTTAAATACTCACTTACAGGTCACTTTATTCAAATCGAAGATGGTGCCAGCTACAAAAGCTGACTGCGTTTGTGTATGTGGAGGTAAAAGTGTGCATACAAGTACGTCTCTTTGTCTGTTGATTGATGTGTTGTCAAATTAACTAATTGCATTCTTAAAGTTTCCCAGTTAAGTAAAATAAAGGGCTGAATACACTGAATAGACGATAGCTTCAAGGTTCATTGCTGATTTACTTTGGTGTCCTCCGTGTTTCCTGACTTTGCCAGACACAAAACAGCTGTCAGTTGAAAAGGGACATTTTCTTTTCGCAAGCAGAGGATGAACTCTGTGCTGACATGACGCTGAATCAAAGTTTCACATCGAGTTTCATTATCCCCCCCATAATAAATAGGAGTATTTATTTAGCATGTTCATTATCAACATGTTTTCTAGTGTGCACGAAGACCCAATAGGGTCCCATTCAGTCGAGAAATAAAAAAGGATTTTTTCCTCTTTCTATCCCCATTTTTTTCTGTTACAATGATGCTCCAGGTGCCATGGGGATCCCAGGGCCCAACAGGGGGGAGCAAAGGCACCATAAACAAAGAGCACTTTAGCCGCACGCCTGTGGTCCCCTCAGACTCCCCAGGGCCAAACAAAGCCCAACATAAATGTGGGATCCTTATTGCAAGAATAAAGCTAAACACTTATTTTAAGAAAGCAGAATAATATAGAATGCTGTGCAAAGTCTGGCTCCACAGGATCTCTAATTAAGCTTGCACCGGCGATCCTCAGATTCTGGAGTTGAGGTATTGTCATAAGGTGCATTCAGCACTGGTAAATAGGCCCTTCTGGTACACCGAACACACAATTATTATTGGAGACGAGTGGCACCTCACTTATAGCGATGTGAAAGGGATGCTTGGGTGGCACACTCAGTGTAATTCTGAGCAGGGAAAAATGATTCAAAGGGTGCTTTACACTTAGCAATCAGTTGGAGGGCCATGAGACATTTCCAAGATTTCAAACAAGCTGCCACCCAGTGTAAACAATTGGTCAAATCTAAAACATGAGTGTTTCTTAAGGAATAAATCTTTTTTTTCATTCAGCGCCACAAAACAGCTTGTTGCCACCACCGTCTTACCTTGTATGGATTACGGTGATATTGTTTTACTGAATTCTGCATATTATGGAGCATGAAGGTTCTTAAAAGCAGTAAACCCCAAGTTGTTCATTGCATTTTGAATATCTTTGACTTTTACATTGGTAAAAATCAACTCAAAAACATTTTTTCTGCTGTCAGCATACTTATTTTCCTTTCTGTTAGAGAACAGTTCAGCTGAAGCCTTCACTCGCTGTCCTTTCCTACTGTCAGGAATCCCAATATTACGCTCAGACTTGGCTTTTTCCAAAAGAAAAGGCAAGTTCCTGCTTGCTCTTCAACTATCAACATCCTACAACCATATCTGAAGCTGTCCAGTTGGATCCCGCTCCTAGATTTGAACGTTTTTTGGAAACATGGGAAATTAGTTCCTGCTTTTAGAACGTTCCCTTAGTTTTATCTTACAAAGCCCCTACTATAGGGTTAGAAATTGCATATAATTTCACCATCAGCATCCATACCTTGCGTCCAGCTTCATTATTATGGAGATTCATGGCTGCCCGAGCATCCTGCCCAGTCTCCAAGGCATCAACAAACTGTTTGGAGATGGCCTCACCGAAGCCAACGTTATCGCTGCAGCCTCCCCAGAGCCAACCGTGACCTCCTGGAGGAAAGAAAAAAAAAACGATTTCTGCTATTACTGTTTTCATTTTGTCTGAAGGGTCTCTTACTGTACAGATTTGAGTCATTCTCTGACCTCGTTGTCCGTTTCTGCTGTCATCACAGCCACAGTTGTCAAAGTCTCCCAGACTGCAGTTCCTGGTTAAGGTGTACATAACCCCAGCCGAGCTGATGGCATGGACGAAAGCGGCCTCTCGATTTGCTGGCGGCAGATGAAATTGTTAAAGAAATGCTCTTAACTTTGTGAAAATTGAAAAACGTGTTTATGTTCTCAAAAGTTTTTCTTTTTGTCTAAAGAAAATGTCATCCAAAGCATCTCACAAAAAAGAAGCAAATTCAGGAGAAATGTAAATGCCAACACCTAAACATATTGACAATATATTAAAAATTGTATTTAAACCACTGATGTTCAAATGAAAAGCTAACCATTCTTTCTCTTTAGACACAGCCTTCCAGAATCTATTCTTTTATCTTTAAAGGCTGATGAGAGGTGATTTTTACGATATCATAACTAACATTGATAAGCATGATAATAGGAAAATCAGTTATGTAATACAAAACTTAGGGTTTTCTCTCAGATATGTTTAAACTTTCTCGACTCAAAAGCAGACAGTTTCAGTGGTTTAAAGTTTCACTGAAAAATAATTGCTTTTGATTGTGAAGTGTTGACTTTACATGTGTGGTGAAACTTTTCATTCTTCAAAAGAACATGTGTCCTGGCCAATATGTTTCCATATCATTTTCATGTCCATAACACTGGCACTGATGATTCACTGTTGCCAAAGTTGAGTGGATTTTATAACACCTCACACCTTTGACTTTTTGTTCTTGGCAGTCTAGTGACAGTGTTTTCTTTATATTGTCCACACTGTGTTTATTTTTCCTATATTGGTAACCACACTAACCATCTGAAAAGCTTAGATGATTGGGTAAAGATTTATGTTCCACATAAAAAAAATCCCCAAAGCACAGAAACTCGAAACAAAAAGAAGCAAACAACAGTTTTCTCTTGCTGTGTGCAGATGTTTGAGCCGGTGTTTGGGTTGGCTGCATTCTCTGGAGACTACTTACCACTGCGCAGGCTGCTGTGTGTGGACAGCTGCAGGCCTCTCTCAGGACAGTTCCAGCGGTCCCATGCAAACTGGTACTTGCACTCCTCGATTCCACTTTGAGCCCCGGCTGCCACACTACTTGAGTAGATTAGGTACGCCTAAAGGCGCAGGAGTAGAGATAAGACATGATATACACCCCAATATAACGATACGGACATCCAGTCACTTCATTCATGTGCAATAAACAGGAAATGTTTCCGTTCTACATCTGTACACAGTGTTCCATTCATTCATTTGTACTGTTTTTCATCTCTGATGGAACATTACAGAGTGTATCTGAGAGCAAATTAGAAGATTTAGACAAATCAACTGAGAGGATTTCATATTCTGATAAATCTTTCATCATGAGAATCAGCAACATGTGATCTGGCATAGATAAAACATTTCATTTCATGTTAATGAAAGTGAAATGTCCTGAATTTTCTGGATCAGTCTCAAAACAAAATCAAAGGGAAAAAATTAATGTCTCGGCGATTGATGTAATGATGGCTGTAAGTTTCATGACAATTCATTCAAGCCGAGGTCAGGCATTATTAAACGTTTGGAACTCCATGAAAACACAGCGATTACAATAAATCACTCAGCTATTTCAAACTACTGCGATCTGTCCTTGGCTTTCGCCTTCTGCTCCGCTGCTTGTTCAGACTGCGTGAATGATAATATAACTAATATGTCTCAAGTGGCCTTCAGGGAGATGGAGTACCACCTCTTTCACAGGGGCCCGGCTCACTAATGATGACCACCCACTACAGCACTGCCTGCCCTTGCTTCTTAACACATTCAACCCCTGGATACACAGAGCTGCTGAATAAGGTCAAGTGTACCAGTGGGGTAAAATAATCACAAAAGGCCAAGAATATCACTGATTTACTACCATTGTTGCATACAGACAGGTAGCAGGGCTTGTCAGTACACTTGAGTTTTGATAACATGAGAACTGTGGTTTCTCTGTGTCTTTCTTTTGGGAAAAAGCGAGGCGAAAAGATCAAAAGAAAACTGCCTTACCTTGGGTCCAGTCATCAAGAAATTATTCACTGACCTGGAAAAGGAGACAGCTTATTCACTCAGGGAAGCTCAGTGTCCTTCTCAAATTCCTCCGCTAACATCTCTCATTAGTGTGCTTTGAAACATGTTAAACTGTGACACTGGTGGGCATCCAAACCTCAGTGAACCAGATGAATGTTTGAATTTTTTGAATTTTTTAAGGAATTTAAGGACTGAGGCACGTTGAAAACCTTCTTTTTTTTTTAACAATTGATAGCATGCATCTCTTCTATTTGTAATACTCAAATTTCTGTAAATGCTAGTAATAATTTTTGGATTAAAGTTTTAAAATAATTAGTTCAAAGTGTTTTTAAAAAATCCCAAATGGCTTTATGTTGAAATAAGCATTGATTTTGTTTGTCTGACCATTTGAGTGGATTTTTTTTTATCCACTGGCTCTGTAAAAATCCAATGAATTATCTCTGGAGCATAACTAAACTGACCATTTGTCAGTCAAAATGGTTTGATCAAAACCTGCCTTCTTACAAACTATCTAATGAAAAATGTATCAAATAAATCCATTAACTAAAGCAATTGTGTCATTTCCCGACGCACGAATGCATTTGTCCAGTTAAAAAAGTTGATTTTAGACCGTTATAAGCATCGAGCAACTTATGAGAGGAAAATGGAAATGATATCAAAACAATTATACTGAATAAAAAACTTACCAGCTGCAGCAGGACCTCATCTGAGTCAGAAGGATGAATATGTAATAGAAAGCCTCCCAGTGCGCGAACATCCTGACAGGTGAGGCTGGAAACCCAAAGCTCCGTCCACAGCCTGCACACAGCACAACGATGGAGAGGAAACTGAGCTACCGGCGCCCGAAACTTCACCAGGAGCTATCAAGATTCGAGGAGGGGGCTCTGAAATGGAGCTGCTCTCGTCCCAACAAGAGATTATCTGCTTAATTAAAGATTTTCCCCCGTCTTAGTCTCTTGGCCAATCAGAGGTTTTGCACCAAGGGGAGATTGAAATGATCAAAAGGGCACCCTGGGCCTTCAGGGCCGGACAACGGTGGGTTCCCTGCCTCCATTCAGGAGCAAAGGAAGATCTATTTAATCCTGTAAGAAAAGTGTAACACTGATCCCTTAAATTTCTGTTCAAGAAAAAAAAAAGTTTATTTAAACTATCTAACGCGAAGCTGATTGTCGGGGATTAGTGGCAGATAGGCCTCTGGATAGCGGATTGTTTGGCAGAAATGACTCCCAAACCATTTGTTCTTGAGGAAGTCATTCGTTCGGTTTAACGAAAGTGTGATTGAATCAGATCATATCGCACTCTCGGGATATCCATTCGGGCCTCACATGGTTTATTTTCGAACCAAAAAACCTCTCCAAATTCAGCGATTTTCTTCTGAAAACCGCATATTGGAAAATAAACCTCCCCTTTTTTCTTTAAAGTTACTCAAAATGCAAACGGGTTCCATTTCTAAACGTTTAAACGCAATAGACGAACATAAAAAAATTGGGACACGGAGCCATCATTTAGAAATGGGACCATTTGCATAATCCAGACAGTCCTTTCCTAACACTGATGAAGGGTTATTCCCTAACAACGTCGTCTGACCTTTAGGTCCCTCTCCTTTCCCTCAGGAGGGCCTTTTGCAATCTTCTTGTGTGCAAATTAGGATTAGAGGAAGAAAAAGTTATTTGGCTGGGGAGACTTCTGAGGGATGTTTTTGGATTAAGATTTAAAGATAAATGACAAGCAAGTAGGGACAAAAAAAAGCAGCTTTTTAGCCTTTAAATAAAAACAACAACACACAAAGTCATCTGTTATTTCACAGACAGCACCACAAAGAGAAGCAAATTGTTTCATATCAAATATTCAAAACAACATGTCATTTGCAAACATGAAAAAGTTTGAGTGTAAATCTAACATCCTGAAGACTATCATGTCTGCTGTTAAGAGTTTAACTGTCATTAGGAAAATTGAAGAAATTAAATAATGATACAAAAGAAGACCAAAAAAACTTGCTGTGAAATACCTGTGTGATGTGTTGATGTTGAAATACTCTAAAATACGGCAGCAAAATAACATGTTGCTGACATAGAAGATGGGATATGAACCTTAAAAAAATGTTGCTGCTCGCTGAACATTTTAACAACAAACTTTTTTAATCTGCCCCAATAGAACCTCACAGGTTGGTTCAGACCTTTGCAGTAAAAATCCCTAAAGGCTCCATCCAGAGACAATCTGTTTCTGTGGAAAAGTGAAGTGTTAACCTTAGCCCTAGCCCATTCGCTCAGGAAATTTCTATATATATTTGTAACAATACTTTATTAGTATAATGGAATTTCATGCCTTAACTCTACTCGTTTCATGCATGGAGAAACAAACCTTGTTAAGTCAAGGTATTTTGAGGTATTTGTTTATCTGAATATGTCAGAGATGTGACTCTGGATTCAGAACGTCATGCAGCTTTCATGGACGAGCCCAAGGTGCAGAAGTTTGCACGTCCCGAACAGAAAGTGTCACACTGACTGTGCTGAATTGTCATGCACTCACACCGAGGTGTTAAATGCCACAAAGAGGATGGTCTGACAGTCAGCAGCCAATGGGGCCGAGGGCTGATGTCACTGCTGGTGTGACAGAGGTCAGCGGCGGTGGCACCACTTACAATGCGTTCGGACCAGACTTCTCCACAAAACGCAGCGGGCTGATTCCCTGCTTCCACACGAACGCTCACGCCCACAGACACACTAACCGTTGCTGCTGTTGCACAAAAGGCAGGCAGGATACACGACAACAGCCATGAAGTCATCCCCCAACAGGGGGAGCAAGAGGGAAACATCTTCAAACGATTGGAAGGTCTAGAAAAAGCAAATCCAGACGCCTCTTGTTGATCCCCGGGAGGATTCATCCTCTGAGCAAATCTGTCTTGAATGCAAAATATTCGACTGAGCCTCTAAAAAGCATGTTGTTTTGTTTTTCTTGTCTTGTTGGCATGAACATATACTGAGGCAGGAATCAGTATCTTACCATAAGACCCTGCCATGAACCACAAACTTTGCAATGGACAGATTTAGTCTGTGAGCAGATAAATGCAAGCTGCAAATGTATCCACCAGGGCTGTTCGAAACCGTACCAGAGGGAAATGTGGAATATGTCACAAACACCACAGAGTTGCAGCACCATTAAGGTGTGAGAGAAGCAAATGAGGAAAGCATGACTAACAAGGTGTGAAACCTTTCTCTGTACAGGCAAAGGTGTCTAAATACAGACTGCGTGTGTGAAGACCCCCAGGGTTTGGTTACAGAAGCAAGATGTAGATAAAAACAAAACAAAAAAACATCCTGGTTTGTGAGCAGTGCTTAGGAGGGATTAATCAAAAAGATCAGAAATCTTTCAGCAAAGGTCTCCTCATCTTCGAAAGGCTTAGTCATACAGTTATTGTTTACAATAAGAATGTACTTAGGAACCATTCTGAAGGTTGTTTTCCTCCCGTTTCCCTGCGTATCATCTTTGGATACAACATTGAACTCCCGACTCGGTTATTTTCCCAAGTAAATGACTACTAAGCAATACAGGATTCAGACAAAAAGGGCAAAACATACTTTATTCAATACAAATTTGGTTTATTTATAGTACATACAATACATACAAAAACATTCTTTTGAAATAGGGGTGCCGTTTTCAACACCATAGAAAAGTGCTGATCAGTAAAAGAAGTGACAAACATCACATCTGTATCTTTAATAAAACAAGTTTTTAGTCTTGTTTTGGATTAAAGTCTTTGTTTGGCTCTTGAAGAGTTCAATGGCAGTAACTCATACTTTTTACTCAAACCCAAAGGATTTGTTGTTTTTCCTTTATCGACAGGATTTACCAGGATTTCAAGTGTTCCTTAAAAGCTTATAGAAAGCACACAACTGAGAAACGATTTAGGCCCCGTTTTAGTTCTTTATCTTATATTTTTCAAGCACGTCTGCACAACTTTCATAAGGCATATAAACTAAGCATGTCAATAACAACTCCTAGCAACTATTACTGTTGAAGAATGCTCAGCTATTTTACTTTGTGGGGAATTATATATATACACACACACGTATGTGTACATATATACACATCTAGACACATATGTTTAATAAACTTTTTTTTTTTTTTTAAAGAGCAAAGATTAAATTTGTGACCTTGCAAGACATATCCCCCAAAAAAGAAGCATTTATAATGCATCTTTAATAAAGTATACTCAATAAAATTGTCCATTTTAACGAGGATTTTTAGGGGTAAGGCCTGCATAAGTCTACACATGAAGATTATTCTGGATCTGAATGAATGTGCTTCCAGGGCTGAATAAAACATTGCTGACAGACAAGAAACATGGGGTCATTTTAAACTGTGTAAAACTTCTTCCGGGGGGCTAATTCAGCACAATGATAGCCCAAAGACAACTCCCTGTGAGCCTTATCTAAAAGTTTGAGTAAGGTCGAACAATGCGTGACGGATAAAGACAGAAACCTACAGGTATATAATGGAAGCCAGAGGACTAGATTTTATATACTGACACACATATATAAACACACACACACACACACATATTTTTTTAGTACACTTCGTGTGTGTTGGCATGGTCCATAAAATAATTAAACTTTTTGGGGGATATATATGTATATATAGATTTTTTTTTATAAATGGTAAATATTTTGTCTTTGTAGTAAAATTCTTCAGGTTTTTAATATTCCCACAAAATGAAACTGAACATCCATCAAGAGCTTCTTTTTTTTTTTGCCAGGAATTGTAAAACATCAAAAACTGCACTTTGACACTAATCTCAGTTTAATCCACCCTACATTGAGAGCGTTATGAGTATTTAAGATGGGCGGCAAACTGCACACATCTCTCTCTATATTTAAAGATGTTTGCAAACCACATTTCAGTCCAGAGGCACAAACAAGTTGAGGGTTAATGAAGGCTGAGGCGGTTTGGTATCGCACTCATCTCCCCCCAGCTACCAGCTTTCTTAAAAAGGGAACCAAGAAAAACTTCCTTGTGGGTTGACAAAAGCACTACTGATAGAAGTTAGAGCAAAATGACTTTAATCTTGCCTGCAGAGAAACCTCATTAAGGGTTTCAATAAAGCTCAAAGTGCCACAGACAGGACTATTAATAAATAGCAAATTAATAAATACAAGGTACAGACATTTACTCTGTAATTACCAGTTTTACACAAACTTGTTTTGCTTTCCTAATGATGCCAAAAGAAAAACACACCATCACACACTCGTTTGATGATATAAAGACAAAGCTGTACTTTTACATGTAGTCAAGATGCAACCTGGTGTAACCAGTCTGAGGACACTTCAAAAACTTAAGAGACCCACATGTTTAATGGAAACAACTCTTTAAAGCCAAAATTAGTCTTAAAGAGGTTTAACTGAATATAAGGGGCATGGCCAATCACCACCCACCGATGAAATGCTGCTGTACTTGTCGCTACGTTCCGTCCGAGATGGACAGGCCGTAGCACTAGGAGCTTTGAGGCACATCTGACTCAGCCACTTTTGTTGCTGCCATCACCAGTACGCTGTACGCGAGCGGTGATCATTTCCTTTGAGACTTTCTTGCAATCTTTGGCCAAACCCATGAAGCACATGAGATCTATAAAGGCAGTTGTGATATTGAGCTTGCAGCCAAACTCACTTGTAGCATAGTCGAAGGGAAACGTGTGATGGTAGTTGTGGAAGCCTTCCCCTGAAAGCACAAGAGGGAAAGTGCAGTTCAACAGGTTGAAACCATTACCGCCAATGAGTAGATGCACGAACATGGATAAGTTACATTTTATGATTTCTGTGAAATGTCAGATGAGAATTTACAATGTTTCTTATCCCAAGTCACTTTGAAAATGCCAAAAACTTGTCATGTAACAGAAGTCACAAGACAAAAATCTAATTTTGCCCAATTACATTTCATTCAGATCATCAGAGTCCATCTGTAAACCTCCCTCACAAGCCTTCTAACTGTTCGGGGGGGGGGGGGTTGGAAAGAAAATGCCTACATGTAAGCAAAGGAAAGAAGTTTAACTAGATTGAAGGCTGCTGGGTTTATAAGTGATTCAGTAACAGAACATTGCATCTATGTTTAACCTCAGGGTTCTGGCTGTCAGAGGCAGTACTGACCCACATGTTGAAGCACTGCAAACTTCAGCACTACATAATCCACATGCGTCTGCTCTGGACTATCCTTGAATGTTGCATTATTTTTGCTATTACACTCCATAATGCTTCTTTCTTGGCAGTCATGTCAGCCACAGCACAACCAAATTGCATATTTGTTTAGAGTTTGGTTTCTTACTTTGCATCTGAACTGCAAGAGATCTTTGATTTGTTTCAACTTGACCTGTGTTTCATTGATCCACAAGTTGTTAAGAGCATATCTCTATTGCTTGTCCTTCAGATGTAGTAGCAGGAGCAGCAACACTGCAGTGTTTTTGTAAATATATGACACTGGTGGAAATTGTACTCTTGCCATTTGGTCAGAAGGATGCAGCAGAGTCTTTGAACCTCTGTGACCCTTTGATGTAAGGCTGATCAAGCCACGAGCCAAGCCAGCCTCATCATTCTTTCATGTAGGACAGACCAATATAAAAATGTAAAAATGTGTAGTCCGGGTTTAAAACCTTATAAATGATTGTCTCATTTAGAGTGAATGTAGACTGTAAAGCCTGCTTTACAAGCAGCTTATAATGGTCAAGTCATTACTCTATGCGTGCCCATGGGTCCATAGTCCATTCCTTCTTTTGAAGATAGCATCGAGTCTAAATAGATCATCTAAAAATAAAACTTATGGACTCCAGTCTTTGTGTCAGCAGCAATGATGCAACAGTGATTTTGTCTCCTCAGCTCAAATCTGTTACAGAAATCCTTCCAGAAAAAAATTAATACATCTGGAACAAGCAGGCCAACTTCTATTTGAATATTTTGAATTAAAATTGCAAATTTAATGACAGGTTCAGAACACATCTGAACAGCAACTTTTGATAACTGCTTCCAAGTAGTGATCCATCCATTTGCTAAACATTATCAGAAAAATTCTACTTCTAGACTTGAGACCGAATGAGACTCATGAATGAGTAAAAGGGAGATTAGAGGAGAAAGAAAAAAAAGAAAAAAAAAAAGGCCTCGACACAGCCTGCACAGGGCTGAGTTGTCAAGCCATGACAACACATTTGAAGACAACAGGCAGATGTCCATCAGGTACAGAAAACATTACTAAATAATAAATGGTTCCTTACCTACGGCACTGAGGGCAACAAGAGGGTTTTCCCTGGGGTTAATACCCTTGTCATATGGCCTGTTGCCCCATATGTGTGCGGCACTGTTGACCAGCCAGGTCGCATTGAGCACCACTGTATACCTCAGGAGCCCAGGAACGAAGTATCCCACCTTTAAGGTCTCACCCCAGAAGTACCAGGGCACGAACATAGGTACAAGGAAGCAAAGCAGCACCACAGACAGTTTGTAGTACCTGAAATGAAGGGAAATGTTTTTCCTTTTTAAAAACAAAAAACAAAGTCAAAATCCCTCATGTACTTATTCTGCCCAAATTATTCTAAACAGCCATCTTCTGCATACCATCAATAGCCAACATTACATTCTATGATAACCATATATGGGAAGTGGAAATCTGTACCCATCATGGAACAGGATTTTATAAAAGCTCCATTTATTAAGATGCAACTGCTAATATTGTGCCCATGTGCTTGCCAGAGCTAGCAGGGCCTTCTGAATAAGGTGGTTTCCTCTCAATCACAGTAAAATTAGTATCTGGGATCGTTTCCAGAGAAGAAACAATCAGCCCGTGGAATCGATTCATACATTATAACTCATTTTTCCCCTCAAAAGACAGGTGTCTGACAAGTTCACGAGCCTTCTCATTAATTTGTATTAAAATTTACCAAGCCATTACCTTTACGACATTTTACTTCCAAGACAAGAAAGTTTTCTGCGTCTTATATTTGCTTCTTTCAGATGCAAAAAATAAATATACAAAAGAAACTAAAAGAAATGCTCATGGACTTTTTCACCAATGAACTGTAATGTGTCCTCACCGTTTCTGGAACATCACCACGGGATCTGCCCTCAGGTCTGCCAGCTCCAGCTTTCGTCCCTTTTCGATGACATCAGGATGTTTCCGAACAAGCAGCCAACCGATGTGGGAGAAGAAGAACCCCCGTGTGGCATTGTGGGGGTCTGCATCTGTCTCAGAGTACTTGTGGTGGACACGGTGATCCCTTGCCCACTCATAGATATGATTCTATAAGTGTGGGGAGAAGGAACAGATGGAGGGATTACTTGAGGACCCTCCAATGAACAGCAGTTTTACATCAGGTGTAGCAGCAAAGAACACAACCCCTGGTAAGCTAAAAAAAAATTTTACACAAGTGCACTGGTATGACATTTGTATTTTTGCCCTCCAGTAAAATCTTTCAGTGTAGTTCAACCTAAAATTTTCCAGTTATAGAGATGCCTTTAAAGCATATTTTTTTTACAATGAAAGCTTAAGAAAAAAAAACACTACTCATATCATTATGAAATATGCATAAGGATGCTACTGTATCTACAGTTCCATCATAAGGACTGTATGCTCTAGTGAATTTATGTTTTATGCGTTACCTGAAATGCCATGGAGTTGGCAAGAGCAAGGAAGACTCGCAATGGAACAGAAGCCTTATAAGACCTGTGGCTCCATAATCTGTGTGCACCAGCAGTCACTCCAAGAGCACTGATGAGGTAGCACACTACAGCTGCAAGAAAGAGAGGTATCATAAAGGACACTGTCACCGTTAAACTGAGATAGATTTGGCACCCATGGGAACAAAGTCACTGGGACACCATGTTCTTTTCATAACACTCAGGCCTTTTTATTCTGAGAAAAGTCATCTGTGCAGGGAGACGGGATGGTGGGAGCATGCAGGTCGGCCCTCACACTTTGTTGTTCTAAAACTGCTGAATGCATTTCTATGTGAAGCTTAGACAAGACTGGCCAGGATCTGAGACCCGGGGGCTTCGGACTGCCAATGAGTATTCTGTTCTGGTGCCACACAGCTCACAATGGGATGTCTATAGGAATGGTGATTGTGCTTTGTCTTCCCCAGTGAAATAATATGCAGCTCAGCATGGCAAAGTGAAGGAAAATTATGCAGTCCCAGGGAGGAAACAAAGTTGATATTGTTCCGAGAATTTGAGTCATGCCTCAACAGTCCACATAAATAGGGCACAAAGTCTAGTTATTCAGCAAACTGTTTGACCACTGAAATCAAATGCTTCTAATTTGAGACATGTGGTACATAACAAGGTCAAGTTGTTTACAATAGGCCACAGGTTTGAGCTATTGAAGGGGCGTAGAAAGAAAAAAAAAGTGTATCAAATAGTTTGCAATATATGGAAACGTATACAAAAACACTATTTTTTTTAAATACTTAAAAAATAAAAATAAAAAATAAAAATAAAACTGAGCATCAGTGAAAGAGCATTTGCCAACTCAGTTACAACTTCAAAAGGACCCATCAATCTGCACTGATAAGTGCATGCCACTGGATAGGACACACCCATGCTCAATCTAGTCAACAAATAATCAAATTAGAAACCAAAACTTTTGGAGGGTATGTTCCACAAATACATTTGTTACATTTTATATATATATATATGTATATATAGATAGATAGAAGATGTGTCTTTAGTTTTAATTCTTGTATGCACAAAATGTATATAAGGAGCTATGGAGATGCATTGCTGCTTCATTGCAACTTGGCCTTCTTGTGGGAAATATGAATTCCTAAAATTGTGGAAGGAACATCAATCTTTCACCATGACTCAAGTACAATTGGGTCATACAACAAGACAATGGTCCGAATTTGAAATGCTAAATACACAATGAGTACAATGCAAATAAAAAGTTTTGGAGTGGCCTTAAGTCTTGATCAGATATTGAAACAGTGGAAGGGCGAGCACGTTCACAAACTCTTTCACATGGCTGCATAAAAGCAAAAACTCCGCTAGAATAAGACTGATCTCATGCCATTTTGGATTTTGCTTCTAAATGTTGAACAGCTGGCTAATAAATTCAGAGATGCTTATCCTTTAACTCGGGTTGCCTTTGTTTCACAATACTGTTGTCTTAGGGTCAGGAGGCAGCTAAAATTAGGATAAAAATAAAGTCAGGAAAGAAAAAAAAAAGATGAGTAGGCTGAATACCTCTTCACAGGACTACACTGAAAATTAGGTCAGAGTGACTCATTCTCTATTATTCCCACAGGCTTGACCCCCGAGGCAGTATGCTCTGTAGTTAGCAATGATCCCACAGCATCAGCACATTCTGTTCAGATGTCTGTGGCTTGAAGGGGCGAAACGCCAAACCCCCCTTTAAAAAAAAGCCAAATCTGCCAAGCTAATCTTGTTGGGTATTCATAAAATACTTACTCCAAACAAGAGTTGACCACGACGCGGAAGGGACGAGAAGCACTCCATAAAGCGCACCGACATGCAGGAGAGTCATCAGCGTGATATTCCTCCACACAAATATCCTCGGCGGTTTGCCCACTTTCTCCTTATAGGTGTCATCAAAAACATCGTCCGCAGTAGAGGTTTCCGTCATGGCATCCCCGTTTCGCTGCTCGCGATGATTCCTGGTTTCGGCGTCAGTCATCTTTCTAAAAGAGGAAGCAGAGCGAGCGGGATGTGTTGCTCGTTTTAATGCGCACGATGTGATGCAGGCAGGAATATACGGCGGCTGGATGTGCTCACACGCACTCCAGCAGCGCCGACAGTGGCTAGTGGCGGCTGGCATGCAACTCTTCTGGTGCCATTTTCTCAGAGTTGAAAAAAGGCTTCGTTTGTTCGGTTGGCAAATCGCTCACTGGGCGCCGTCCACTGTTACATCACTTTTCTTCGGCCTCCGTTTTGTAATACCGTACACACCAAAGCTGTGATAATAGACTACTGCGACCGAACTTTAAGATGTGGCGACCACCAGAGATGGAAGTACAAAAAAAATAAATTAAATTAAAAAAAAAGACAAGTGAATACGTTATTAAACACACCGTTCACTATTATTTTGGCCAAAACATATTCCGAACAAGTCCTGACCGCCTATTTTAAGTACATCACACAGGTGGAATACATCCGACATGTCTGCCTAATTACTTTTGAACAATAATTCGAGTTTCCGTTTTTCTTAACTTCATGGACATTGACCGCATAGAGCCAAACCGACAGCATCCCAACAGTAAAGCTTTGACGGAAAAAATCTTTGCTTTCCCCGCAGAAAAGTGTGCCAGAGAAGGTTTAATTACTTGCCGTTATTTTTCGGTTGGTTCCAGCTAGCAAAAAGTTAGCAGTAGCCACACGGGGGAGCTTATTGGCTGATGTGTGGACACATGTTGAATCAATGCACACATTATAGCAACTAGCGAAGATATAATCATTTTGTTCGGTCACAGTAATTGAATACATCATTCAAAAAAATATATTTTTATTTAAAAAAAAAAAAGAGAGAACGGTGCAACTGACCCGTTTCTTTGACGTGTTAGTTTTCCAATACATGGTAGACATAAGAGCAAACAGTTTTTTTAAACAATAATTCCAATCAAAGTCTGATGAATACGAACCATTTCCCCGTAAATCGGACCTGCTTACCTTAAACTCTTCTGCCCCGAAGAGAAACCCGCGAGATGTGGACGGTGGGTGATGGTTGACAGCACAGCCCTAACTTCCTGCTCCGATGCCGTTTTAAAGCTCCGTCACAAATGTATATGCCACCGGTTGTAAATATCTAATTGGCTATTTGCTTATCTGATGTTTCCCTCCCTCTCTGTTTTTTCTCCAAACTTTTTTTTTTAATCTTTGCTCTTTGCCTAATCTTTAGATGCAACATTTGATAATAATGTGACTCTCCTCACACAGTTGGCAAACAATGGTGAAGTCTGACACCATGGCGTCATCCAGTTATGAAAATGTGTCTCGAGCCAAAAAGCAGCTTTCAATAAATATCTTTTGCAACCACACTGTTTGCTGCTTGGCCTTTACGGCCAAATTTGTTGTTTGATTAAGCCATATCTAACATCAGGCAGTGAGGGACAGCTTTTCATCAGTACATTGATTTTAAGAAATGCTGCATGAAACTTGCATGAAAGCAGAGATCAAATTATTATGACTCATTTGTTCAGCATTTTCCCAAGGCTCACTAATCTATGCCTTTGCAAATACAAAGTTTACATGGGGATTTTTGGATCTCAGTTTACTGCCAGTCCTGATAAGATTATAAAGAAAGCTCCCTTCACTTCTTTTCTGCTGATTTTGGCATTCGATATTTTGGGCACAAACATTGTTGCAATATATGACCTCATAGAAGCAGCAGTAACCTCTCAGAGTTAGACAATGTCCCTTCCACTGTGCACCCTAGATGGGATGACCTGTAGTGAACTGGAATGACTGAGATGACCTGATGCAAACAATGTGAAGCTGATGATTTTTTTTAGGTCAATGCTGTATCTATCAGATTGAATGTGTAACGACCTAGAAGCGCCATCTATAGTAGAAATTCATATACTGTACTGGCACCTAAACAGCAGCTTTTTATTAAACCAGAGCAGAAAAAGCACATGAAAATATTGTAAAAGGCATCTCTAGTTTTTTAGTTAATAAAAGTCACTGGAAAAGTTTACTTGAATGTGATGTCATCTGGACATCATCCATAGGTATCATAATGTTGTGTGAGGTTTGGCTTTCCCAACGAGGCTGAAAACAATGGTACTTTTTCAAGAAAGACTTAAGGGTACCAGTAAGGCGAAACACCGTCATATTTCATACTTTTAATTAAGGATTGGGTGAGGCAAGTGAGATAATCTAAGTCTTTATAAAAAAGACCAGGAGAAAAGGCAAAAGTGGAGCATGTGTTCTTACTGTGTGAGGGAGTTACCACAGAGTCTAGTTTTATCTACTTATATCTATGATTATATGGCTTGATAAACTGTCCTCCGTCATTGATAACAAAAAAGTCTATGCCCCTTTCTTTCTGCTGATCCTGGCACTCTATATTTTTTAAATGATTGAGGTGACAGTCAGAGGGTGATAACATCAGTCCTCCAAAGCTGGCAAATTGCAACATACGACTGCAACATAAACCATAGTAACCTCCGAGAAATGAACCTTCCCACCTCTGCTTTGCACTGGTGTGGCTGGGCCTTCTCATTTTGAAACATGTGGTTTGAGTCAGGGCTGTCTCCAGGGGTGTGGATCAGTTCAAATAGCAATACTACCACCTATCGTAGTGACACAGGTACTGCATGGACACCTTTCAGAACAGGAAAAGAAGCATGTGACACATTATTGGCCATAGCTGCACTCTTTTGATATAAGCAGCACCAGTGTTCAGTGTTTGTGACTCACTGGAAAGGTTTAGAGAAAAAAAAGAATACGAGTCAAAAGGTCTGCTGATGATTGTAATTGAATTTCAGAGAATTAATATTTTTGAGATACCACCTTCAGTGTATCAACTGAACATTTATTTGGATTTGATATCAATCAAGTCATGAAGAAAATCATTAGATGTAAATCTAAACAAAAGCAATCATTTTCTGCATGCTTACGGCATCACATATTCCAGAAAGATCGTATCTGAAACACAGATTTAATCATCGACTAGAGTACACCGTAATCAATTATTAAAAACCCACCTTCAAATTAATCCAAACAACGTACTGTCCGTGCTACCTCTCAAAAAGTAGCACCAGTTCACAATGAGGAGTATGTGGGAACATATCCACGGGCACAGCCAGAGTGGGAGAAAAAGGCTCTCCTGTGAGTTTCTTCTGTGGGTCGGGAGCACAGCAAAACTCTTTGAAGTTCCTCATAGCCTCCCCATCTGGTTTACAGGAAACAAAGACCAGCCTGCGGATAGCGGGTTGATTTCGTAAAGCTCGCACAACTTTGTGGTGAAGGCCAGCTCGAGCTGGGTTTACCACGGCTGTGAGGCCTTCAGCTGCGGAGTTCAGCTGAGACATGAGGCCAGGAAGCACCACCTCTGCTTTTCCGGGGATAAACTGACAGTTCAGGAGGTTATTAAGAGAGGCGTTGTGTATAGCATCTTCCACAGCCTGTTCTATGAGCTCTATGCCGATAATTCTGTCCACTCTGGGAGATGCAGTGATGCCAATCGCTCCTGTGCCACAGCAAACATCCAGAAGAGTACCACTAGGTTTGGCAGGTTTCCCTTCCTCATCGGTCTTTGGGACACACAGGTCTCTTACTGTCCCATACAGCACCTCAGCAGCCGGCTGGTTCACCTGGAAAAACGCATCCGCAGAGATGCGAAACTTGAAGCCCAGCACCTGCGAAACAAGAGAAGCAATAATGGAGGCATATATGATACTGGAGTTACATGAGCTTCCCTCCTATTTTCATAAATTCAACACCTGTAAGGACACTGCACACAAAATGGATGACAAAAGTCTACAGAAGGGTTTTGTACAGCCAATGAAGGAGTAACATGAGACTTATCAAAGCACAAAGCACTTTCAACAGGTATGAAAAGTTTATTAACATGAGCCTTTCCACCTCACTGCTAATATCCATTATTTACCGAAGAAAAAACAAGTTAGAATTATGACATTTGAGTCACCCACCTTTTGAAATGCCAAGCGCTAAGTCACTGGAAATATCTTATTTTACAGAGATTAAATTCAACTTAAAATGTCACATAACAGTAAGTGGTTCTCAAACTACATGGAAGGCCATGTTTAAGGGTCGTCGAGCTAAAGTGAGTCCACTTTAGATTCTGGAGTGAAACATACAAGACGCAGAACAACGTAAGGAGTGAGAATAGAAATAAGCAAAGAAAAGCTAGAAATCACTAAACAGGCCTGGTGGGGCCTGTTTAGTATTTTTGTACCTCTTCATGTATGTGCGGCTGACCGTGCAGTAGCTGGTAGGGGGATTCCTCGTGGGTGCAGCGCGTCATGGAGCTTTCCTGGAAGAGCAATGAGTCTAGCTCACAGACTGCTCCGGGACCCTGCGTGAAATAATGGACCAGCTCAGTCTTGTGGACAGCCAACTCTTCTTGAGTGAGCGCCTGTGGGTGAAAGTAGACTATTGCCATTGTGTGTCCCGCTGCATTGGTCCGTATGGTGACTTCTCTCCAGTGACCCCCCGTGTGGAACAGCAGGCAGGGCTCCAGTGGGGAGAGGCGGATGAACTCCTGATAGCATCTGGCGACCAATTTGTGCTTCTCTGGCATGTTAAGCAGGTGGTCTCCGTTGACGCAAACAATATTTCTCTCCCTGCCGGTGCCCACATAAAACCCAACTGTTTTGGGGTTTCCATCGACTCCTCTGTTGACAGAAAATGTGGACTTGTTGCGGTAGCCATCTGTTTTTGGAGAGGGCAGAATAGGAAGAACAGGGAAGCTGGGTTTTCCTACAGCAAGTGATGAGGAATGGGATTGTAAGTCACCAGAAAGATGCTCTGTGAGCTGAAATAATATCCTTTCCTGGTGCTTTTGCTTGAGCTCAAGTTGCTCCTCATAGCTCAGCCTCCACAGAGGGGTCACCACATCAGCAAGCCTCTCTTCCCAGGACAGATGATCAGTAAAAGGATGTTTCTTCTTACTTTTTCTCCATCGTTTCCTTGATGCTTTCACTTGACTAGTTGGAATTGTGTCATTTGTTGAACATAATCGCCAGGTCTTCCACAAAGTAAACATATGATTTCGTTTGGTTGACATCACTGACCTGCTGCATGCCGTTTTCAAAGCCATTCTGACTTTCAAATAAGAAATGTATGTCTGAACGCGCTACAGAAGGTAGCTCATGTCACAGTATATGATGAAAGGAGCCACAACCTACGATAAACACCTCTATTTGCCTTATATACTAAGCGCTCAATCAGTTTTTAACCTTCATGTCGGAAGTTCCAGTAAACAGTTGATGACGACTTATTTAGAAGACGGACACCACTAACGTCATCCCCTTGCGTCCTAGATAAGTAAACATTTCCGCTGTATCGCCATGGATTCAAACAAGGACGAAGCGGAACGGTGCATCAAAATAGCTGTAAATGCGATTAGTAACAACCAGCCTGACAAAGCTAGGAAGTTTCTAGAGAAGGCACAACGTCTATTTCCGACAGACCGGGCCAAAAGTATGTCGAACAAATGTCTATTTTCGCAGCAATATGATCTCAGGTGGAAGGCCAGCGCTGTGAAACTGAGCATGCTAATGTTAGCATAACTATCTTAATGTTACAACAGCCGTTCCTCACTGTGTCTGGTAGTTGTAGTTTTTATGACCGCCTGCCATTCCTGTTATTTGGTTATTTTCTGTATGAAATTCCGGTTCCTGTGCTTGGTGCATATGTTAATGTTCTATCTATTAGCTAAAATGCTAACCGTTTGCTAACTACTGCAGCGGATTAACTGATCAGCAAACAAACTCATGTGGTAGCCTGAAATAACATGGCACATATCCCTTTATAGGCTTGTTGGAGTCGTTAGCGCAAAATGGAAAACCTCCAGAAGATAATGATCGACCTGCTAACGGAGATGGACCTAGTATGAGGCACAGAGGTGGCGACAGAGACGGGGCTGATGTGACACAGGGGCCCTCAGAGTCTGCTAAATCTTACACGAGCGAACAGATGGAGGCTGTCAGAAAGTTAGTATGCTTTAACTTAATGTGTTCTTTAAATTTAAATTTCAAGTCATTGCAGAAACCTCAAACGAGTTGGTGATCCTTTTAGGGTTTTAGGGACCTGAGTATGTGTGGTTCAGCATATTTTAAAAGTTTAGGGTGTGTTATTTATAGCATGAACTCTGACTCAGAAGATTGCTATATTTCAGAAGCTTATGTGTTGTTTTCTCTTTGCTTATTCGCATTTGAGGGTACAGGATTCAACTCCTCTTTGATTACTCCTCAGGTGAACAATTTGAGGAAAGAGACTAAAGATGTGTATTTTACTAAATGAGACATCTTACTCTTCTGTCAGAACATTCACAATGTTTGTATAAAAACAACACTATGTATATACATTAAGTTAAATTGAGATATATGTGTTGTGCCATTTTTGTTTTATCACAAATGCAGATTAAGATACTCCTAACACTTGTCTGTGCATCATTATTTATAGCTTTTTGCTGACACATTTTGACTGTCTTTGCCATCAGTTTGTAACTCTATTAATAAGTTTTCCATTCAGTGGTGTGTCCCGATGTATTCGAATTTTAATTTATTTTTAGGCTGTAGAGCAGAATGACATCAAATTGGTTATCCTTGTAGAGTAAAAATAACAGCATTCATGAGTGTATTTTGGTAAATTATTGCATACAGTATGAGTAACCTAATATATATATATGTATAAATTCAGTTGTTAAAGAAGTAAAATGCAAAAGAGGGAAAATATTTTTTTCATTGTGTCTGGTGTTTTTTCTTTTGTTTAACTTAATTTTGTTTATCTTATCACAGGATAAAGAGCTGTAAAGATTATTACCAAATTCTTGGAGTGGAAAAGACTGCCTCAGAGGAGGATCTTAAAAAGGCTTACAGAAAGCTGGCGTTGAAATTCCATCCGGACAAAAATCATGCACCTGGAGCCACAGAGGCATTTAAAGGTAGGGGTTCGCCTTTGGCATGTAAAGGAGGTGGAAACTCTGATCACTGAGGACGTATTTGTTTGCCTTTCAGCTATCGGTAATGCCTACGCCGTTCTCAGTAACACTGAAAAACGAAGGCAGTATGACCAGTACGGAGAGGAGAGAACGCACCCCAGCAGGCACAGAGAACATCGTGATTTTGAAGCAGATATCTCACCCGAGGACCTGTTTAACATGTTCTTTGGTGGAGGCTTCCCGACAAGTGAGTCAAGGCCACAGTAATGTTTTGACACTCACTGTTGTAATTTTATATAATATTATGGGGTTTTCATTATTTTAATATGCATTATTTGGCATAAAGGCCCAAGTATATTGCTCTACCTAATCCCTTGCTGTCAATTTTGTTTGGGCTTGTACATCTTCCAGCTGATAAAGTACCAAATCATACAAAAAGATTTAGGATTCACTCACCTAAGAGACAGGGGAATGGCAAGAGAGAACAACCTCTTTTTTCAGCTGTTACGGCCTCTGAATGTGAGCAATATTCTCAGGGAAGCAAGATGGTTGAGTCTCATTCCGCTTTTTTATTTCTAAATTTTTTTTAGGCAATGTTCATGTTTACAGAAATGGAAGAATGCACTTTGCACATCATAATAGGCACGAAAGACGAGAACAACAAAGAGATGTAAGACCTGTCTCCAATGCATTAATTTCTATTGATTATATACCATGCAAAATCTCTGACCATATGTTTTTTTTTTTATCCTCTGGACAGGGAGGTCTGGCTCTGTTTGTCCAGCTGTTGCCCATCTTAATCCTCATCATTGTTTCTGCTCTCAGCCAGTTGATGGTCACACAGCCTCCATACAGCCTTAGCTATCGTCCGTAAGTCTTGCATTTATCGAAGAAGTTTTATGAGGCTCTGCGGAAGCATCTCAACATGCGTTACGCTCACTTTTCATATTTTCCGCATACCAGGTCAGCTGGACATATTCACAAAAGGCATACAACACACCTGAAGGTGCCTTTCTATGTGGGGGAACGTTTCAGTGATGAATTTACCGGTAATAACCTGAAGAATGTTGAGAGAAGTGTGGAGGAAGACTACATCTCCAACCTAAGAAACAACTGTTGGAAGGAGAAGCAGCAGAGTAAGTTTACAGTAGTGTGAATAGCTGAATTAATATAAATTATGTTTACATAACACAGTTTAAACGTATTTGCTATCCTATATATTACAGTTAATAAGATGTTTTCCAAACCCCCTGATTGAATAAAAACTGTATGATAATGTCAGATCTCATGTTTAACATGAAAACTTTTCTGCATTTCATAGCATTTTGAAAAGCCAAATGCTCATATGAACACATGAAAGAAGTCTCAAGCAGCTGAAATCCACCATCTGCTTTCAATGCCAAACTAAAATGTTTTTGTGGTCAAAACCACAGAATGTGAACATTAGTCTTAGTCATGTGTCTTGGAAAAAGGATGCAGACATCAAATAGAAATTTTCCCTAAACTTTTGAAAGTGTTCATTAGTGCAGTACATTAGGGGTACTGTATCGTAAATTATTCTTGTCCCACCATGACTGTGCAGTTTACTGCTAGAATAGACAAAGGAGACCAAGAACTGCTGTCATAGGAATAAGTAACTCTATCCTGTTTCTCTATTTTGACTTCACAAGATGGCTGACTGAAGTGTTCACCTCTGACATACTGCTCCTGTTCTTTCAGAGGAAGGCTTGCTATATCGTGCTCGGTACTTTGGGGATTCTGAGTTGTACCAAAGAGCCCAGAGAATGGGGACTCCCAGCTGTTCCAGGCTATCTGAGATCCAGGTTATACTGGATGGCTAGAAAACACACACACAAACAGGTATGCTCCCACAAAGAGTCACATCATCCTGTGTAAACACCACTTTTTGCGTTGTTTTCTGCTATTTGGCTGAGCTTTTATGGCTTATTAGCACAGAGAACATTTAATTATGTTTGATTATATTCATTTTGACCATTATTTTCATTATCTCTTTGGAGTACAAAAAATTGCTCACAGACTTATTTAGTGATTTTTTTTTTTACAGGCACGTGTCCCACATCAGCTGTTTTGAGAACTTGTTTGAACATGTGAAGTTATCCATATGATCGAACTCTCTCTGTTCTTGTTTCTAAGATAGCGAGCGTTACACAGAATGGCCGCCATAATGAATTAATTGAAATGGTGTTGTGATTTGGGATCTTTTTAAAAAGTCACGTGTAAAAGCAATTCATCCCCCCATTTGTAAGAAAGTAATTATTTTCCTTTTTCCATTTTCCCATGACAGGTTCATCAGTACTTGAATCTAATGAGAAGAAATGGGTCGGGACCCACTCAAATTGGAGCACATTTCTGCAGAAACTGAGAGAATTTTTTTAAAAAGCCTTACGTGCAGTGGGCATCAGGCCTCATCAGGGAACCTCTCTGCAGCTCGACGTAGATTGACCTCCTGTAGAATTGTGAGAAGCTTTGAATTGCCATTATCTTACTCTAGTGTTTTGACAATGGTGAGAGACTGATGGACGTCCTGGTGGAGATTAGGATACATCGTGGTCTATTTGTACGGTAAAACAAAGCTGCTGAGATTAGCTTCCTCTTTCCTGATCGCTGTTTTTCTTAGTTAAACCTCAAGGCCTTCTCATAGACAGACAGTCTGAGCCACTAACAAGGAAAATGTGTAATTTTTTATAGATCTTCCCCATGTAAATACCCGTTTTACTTTTAACAGCATAAGGGTTATTAGACATTATGTTTTGTGGATTTGCTTGTAGCCTGTTGGAAATTATTGACAATTGTTGCACAGATAAAAGTAAACCATATTTATTAAATTAACAAGCTAAAATTGTATAAAAGTTTCTTTGAATTAAAAATGTCTTATGATTGATCAGTTCCTTGTTTTTTCTTCTTTTTTTAAACCTACATTTGTCCTCCTTTCACATCACTCTTTGTATTCCAAATCCATGTTTCACACTCTTAAAATTGGATTGGATCATTTATGTTAGACGTGGGAGCAAATTGCTGAATTTTGTATGCGATCCCAATGGGAGAAACAAATAAGAAGACACAGCACATTAAGATAAAATAATTTATTCTCAAGTAAAAAATATAAAAGGTGGTATAAAATTCTGGTGGTAACATTTGGACAAATACATTTCCTCACATTCACGGGAAAGACTCACTCAAAGGATTCATGCTTAAGCACGAGTTACTGTGGAGTCACCTGTTACCAGGTGAGTAGCTGCCATTAGACACAGGCTGCTTCCGTTAATAAAAAACGGATCATGATCGACATGAATCGGTGATTAAGGACCGTCATGTCAGTGCAATTCATTGTGTACAATGGTATCCTAAGAAGCGGGCACAACATTTTTTTTTCACAATTCAGAAGAATTCAGTTCTTTTATCGGGCACTTTGGGCTTCTCAGTCAGCAACACTCCTCAATCACCAGCTCCCCAGAGCAGTACAGTTTCCTCTTGATGGCCCTGAAGCCAGAGCTCAGTCTCAGAATCTTGTGGTGCCTCGGAGACGTCGGGGACGGGGGTTTGCCACTTTTGAAAAGCTTCTGAACCTTTGGCCACAGCCCACTGGGCTCCAGCCTCAGCAACAGAGTCACTTGGAAGGTCGGGACCAGGGTGGGATCAACGGCTATCTGATCCAGGGTGCACAATGAACCCTGGTCCCCCCTGTCCACACACAGGTCGACGAGCGCCCCCCTGAGGCCGCACGGCTCATTGACGGCCAAACTGAGCAACTTCTCATTGATAGTTCTGATCAGGCAGTCGGGTATGATGAGTTTGGAGCAGCACAGGACGTGCGATGCATTGTTGAGGCATTGTTCGATGGTGGCCACCACCTCTGCAGCCAGGGTCTCCTCCAGGGGGTAACAGAAGATGCTGCTGTCCGATTCAGACAGAGACAAGTCTGCCACAGACCCTGAAACAAAGAAAGATGGGTTGAAACCTTGCTGGTAGAGGAGGATTCTGCATTAACTAATAGCTCAGTGTTCTGATGATTGGAACTGAAAGGGGGTACCACTGACGTATACTTTTTTTTTGTCTATTCCTGCAGTTTTTTTTTTTTTTTTTACCCCCCACTCTAAATTATAACTAAGTCACAGAAAAATCCCTCCTCAGTCAACTTGATGTGCAGCAACCTTATTCTCAAACACCAACTCCTCCTCAGACACTCACCAGCTTCACTTCTGCAGTACTGGTCAGCTGAGGCCGTCTGACCGGTCCCCTTGAGCTCGGTGAGCCTCTGCAGCAGACTGCCCCAGGACAGCCGCTGGGAGCCCCTGTCTTCTGCAGGAGACGGAGGGAAACTTCCGTCCAGAGAGTCGTTGCAAGACATTTATAAAAAAAAAACAAAAAAAAAACGAAATGCTCGGATTGCAAAGCGAACAACAAAAAAAAAAGTGCAGCGGTATCCCCTCGCAGTTGGCCGAGCTCCTGCCCCTGAGTAAGGCCAGCTGGAAAACACACTGGGTAACAATGGAACAAAACCTTAAATACCCCCCACAGCACAGCCCCGCCCACTGGGGGTTGTGGACCAATGAGGTTTCAGCACACGTCCTGCCCGGTGGCTTCTGGGGTCCGTCTGGTGAGGAGGCAAAGGCCAGAGGCCCCCCCACGACCCCCACCAACGCACTGTGTGCATCCCCAAGGAAACTTCTACACACAAGAAGATGTTTTACTTTCATTCATGTCACTGTTAGAAGTAAAAAAAATTCAAACCAAACTAGTCGACAGACAATGCTTTGTCAATGCTTAAACCGCAGACTCAGTTGAAAACGTAAAGAAAGAGCCGATGAGTGATCATTTCTTGTAAATGGAGACGACTAAAACAGACACGTATCGCACGTAGACCTCGCCTTTATGTTAATGATGAGTGTTGACATGGTTTTTAGCACATTTTCACCTCAACCTGTGATTCACCTGAACGTTTCAAAAGCTCGCTATTTACGACTTTGATTCAAGTCAACAGACAGGTATCAGTATTTCCTGTAATTACAACTTATTTACACAACTCATTTACTTTGTTTATTCAAAGTTATTCAGCCACCTCGTTTTAATATTGATTCGAATAATATTTTTTATGACAGGTGTTTTCCATTATTTACTTATTTTTGATTGATCGTACAAATTCTAATGTATTTACAGAACATTTAAGTCTTCAGGAGTAGCTTTCCGGTTCAAGACTTGCAACACGTACGCAGACCCAAACCATCCCCCCACCCGGAGAAAAGTGAAGAAATCCTGGTCTTGTTTGGTTAGTTGTTTGCCCCACCTTTCCAGAGCAGAAGACTTTTGTTTATAGTTTTCAAAAATAGTTAGACCTGCATGGATGTCTGTTGGGGGTTGCTTATTTTAGCCTTTGGTAAAAGCCATGACTGCACTCATATCAGTGGACATTTTCAAATGTCAAACAAAAGTAGCTTGTTTATTCATATATTCATTATATTAAGATTGTAACAGTATGCCATGAAAACAGATCTGCTTTTAGCCTATTTCCAATATCAGATTTTATAACTGTGGCTGCTTTGATATTTGGCAGAGGTGGTTATAAATTAAATCAATCAGATCCCAATCTTTCTTTGTTTAATGACAGTTCACCCTTTATTTGTGATGACAGTTTGCATCCAATAAGAAACTGAGGGAGTAATTCAGTGAAGCTATACAACAAATCCGAAAATATGACTCCTGCCCCTTCATGCCTGAAGTAAACAAAACGTCTTTACCAATCTGTTGTGTGTTAAAGCTGTAACACAATTTATTGTTTGTCTGAGATGTGATTCTCAAACAAATATTGTTACTAATACTGTCAGATGAATGTGGTGAAAATGGTTTGCTTTTCTTCTAAAATGCAATTAGCAGCTTCAATTGAAATTTCTCAGCTCAAATACATGTACCTGAAGACTGGGCTGAAGAAAATGTATGAAATGTATTTAGTGAATGAGTGCTGTTACTTATCATCACGTTCAAAATTTTCCACTAACACAAGAGGTTTTTCTCAGGGAAAACTCAAAGATCTGCTGGATCTCCCTACGTATTGTAACACACCTTTTCTCCACATGATGGCGCAACTATCCACACGTTCCAGGAAAGGCATTGGGGACATGGTAACCTTTGTGGTGCAAATACATATGTCCATGGTTTTGAATGTTTGTGCCCACAAGCACTGTGTTTGACGTGAGGTCTTCCATGTACATGTGGCCAGGTTAGAGCTGCTTTCTGCACCCTCTACGCGTAGTTTGCGTCTCAGCTTCCTGCACCGCACGTTTTTAAGGAAAAGGATTATTTCCACCATGTCACGGGGAGGAAAAAAGAAAGACAGAAAAACTGAATGGAAAAAGGAAACAAAGCGTGACAGGCACTGTTTTACAATTCAAACGGGGCCTGAGAGAGCTGTTAGACTGCCCAGCCTTGGGCTATGTAATTCATTTATTATAGATCTACCATCAAATGGGTTGTCAAGAACAATTTACTTTAATCAGAAGATCATTGAAGTGAATCGTATAAAAAACAACAACTATGATATATTTCACTATTTGTTTCTCTAAGTACTGCTGAAATAACTGGAGCCATTTTAATGCACTGAAGTGGAGAATGAAGCCGTTTTATTCCAGGATTAGCTCAAATACTGTCCACATGCGATGCATGATTTTGTGTGTGTGTGTGTTTGTTTACATGCTAAAATCAGTAAAGGTGGTAAAGGTATATTTGACTTGTGTTATTTGTGGGCTAGGCCTATGGCAACAACAAGCTATTGTGACTGAAGAGATTGCTTTTAGAAAAGCAGACAGAAAAAGCCTCTGTTTCTGAGTGTTAGATATCTTAGCTTCTATCCTATCAGTCTCCTGTCATATGAGCTGCTCCTTTGTCAGGAGCTCCTTCGGCCCTGAATGTAGCACTCTGCGTCGGTTTGGGGAGTTTGCGTCACATGAAGCTGGAGCTGGGACTGCATTTCACATTGGTTTTGATTTATTGCTGGAAGAAGCAGAAATAGACCTGCATCCCCAGGGGGAGGAGAAAGTGTGATGTTTGGCAAGTTTTGCTGAGGCGCACTCTTTTTTTTTTATCGAAGCTTTAACACCGTAACACAACAATTACAAAAGCTTATTTTTTTAGCGTAGTGGAAAGTAAGTCTTTGTTTTTTTTTGTTTTTTTTTACAAGTCTCTGGATATGTTTAAACGTTAAGCAATTTTAGGACATTTGCGAGGTTGGACAATAATAATAATAATAAATATTGTTTACCAACGGTGCCAATCCAATAAAATCATTTTTTATTTCTAAACTTTTAAGCATCAAGTAGCTGTAGAATGCAACACTGCGCAGTTTTTTAACTTTTGTCTCAAAGAGGGCATAACATTTCAAATCTGGCAGCAACCTGAAACATAACAATCAACTTGTAATTTGATATTAGGCATATCATACATCTGATACAGTTCTTATCTTAACCTTTGCTTTTTATCATCATTACATTGTGAGTAAATGTAATTCAAGCTATAAAAGGTATCTAATTATTTTCATGCATGAATGTTTTACTTATTTGTGACTAAGGTACATCTACTGAGTAAAGCATTCACTTATTGGTAGTTTCCTGTTTGAACTACTGTGTCTGTATTATTGTTGTTATTGATATTGAGTGACTGACATTTGGCACAATTAAGGACTTCAAATTTCAGAACAATCATTGAACAGGTTGTTAGAACATTCAGTATGGACAAAAGGGATCGATCACAAAAGTCTCCCTCGTGCAAAGGCATTTATGTGGCATTTGCAGTGTGATTTATTGAATAAATTAAATGCTCTGGCTTATATCTGTTGGCTTTGTTCCACTTTAACCAACGTGTTTTTGTTGATGAGCTTCATTTGATCCTGCAGTCATTCCAGACAGCACAGTGTTTTAGTCACAGATTACCAGACCCTGGGAAACCTTAGTCACAGTGTATTCACATTTCTCTCATTATAAGATTACCTGAAACCCCCTCTAGCTCTCTGACTCTGTGATTTCTCAGTAATTCTTCTCTTAAACCGGGTCCAACACATAAAACGAAGATTGCCCCATGATTTTACCTCCTCTGTCTGCATCCCGACTCTATGAATGTCACATCTATCTGAGAATTCAGCTCGACTCCCAATGGAGCAGTTTCAAGGTTTTCACCTAATAGTTGCCTCAAAATGCATTAGTTAATCACTTTTTTTTTCTGGTCGCTCTATCACACTCACTATTCTTAGTTTGATTAATGTCTGGTTTTGAAGCAGACGATTTGCAGCAGCTGCAGAATCTTAAAATGGGTCAATGTGACCACACTTAGCCGTAGCTTAAAGAAAAGAAAGAGCACTGTACAGCACCAAGCAGTTACACATTTGCTCTTTGCACACATGAATATTTTATTTTCTACCCGACTGTGTAGCATTGAAAATGATCCCGTGTGTTTATGCGTGCGTCACTAAATGAAGACACACTTAATAGCTCTCAGACAGCTATTTAATCGTAATTTCTCATGTTGGACAAATGCATGCATGTTCAGTTTGGACAGCTTCCTGTCCCTTTATCTTTTCCCCACGTTCATCTGAGAGATTAGAGGGCGCCTCGTCTTGTGCTTGCCCTTATTAAGACAGGCTCAAACACACTGCTCTCAGGATCAAATAAAGATGGCATCACTTAATCCAGCGTTTCAATTAAAAGCTGTCATTCAGTGGGGTTTTCTAGGAGCGACACTGCAGCAGGGTGAGAAGCTGCAGTGGTACAAGTCAGACACCAGATTGTTACAGTGTAAAAGCTCAAAAAGCTTCAAATAAATATGTCAAACAAGCATGCTATCTTAACATAGGACAAAGATCTAAAGGGAGCTTTAGCAGAGCCATAAACAGCACTGTGTTGTTTTTTAATACATTTAATGGCAAACCAACATTCCCAATCTCTTTTTTTCAGCTTTTTTTAAGTCTAAACATTTGAGCAAAAGGCCATGCTTTCAAGATCACTGTTTTTGGGGAGAAGCTGTTTTGATCAAAGAAAAATCTATTAAGTTGATTGCAGTATGTGGTTTAATCATTTTCTTCTCCACAAGCAAATACAACAGTGCAGCAGTTCTTTTTTCTTTTCTTTTTTTTACTCATTAATGGTTGTTTTTGTTAAGACCTTGCCACAGAGGACTTTATTCAGCTCCATTATAATTGGCCTCTGGCTCTGGGAATAGCAAGCATGCAATTAATAGCTTTAATTCTGGCTGCTGATTTCACTAGAGATTCCTGCAGAAGTGGGTGAAGGCCATCAAGGAGTAGCCTGACCATCATCTTCACACGTTTTACCCGAGTTTTAACATTTATTGTGTTTAATGTTAATATTCTAACTGATGGAAAAAATGGGTAACAGTTCTTTTTTTTGGTCCAACCTCATGCTATTCTTTTAAAATACCTGCAACAATAATACAAATCAGCTTCTTACGCATTGTGTAGTGCCATGGGCGAAACTTTAGTTCGATTTACTTACCCTCAGTTACTCTCAATTTAGTCTGATTAATTTGTCGACTAGAGTCTAATTTTACCAGTCACACAAAGAAATGTCCATGCACATATAGTATAATAAGACAGCTTAAATAAGATTTCCCTCTCTGCGTCTGTGTATTTTGATTAACAGTCTTAGCAACCCTACTTACAGATCCATCTCCATGACAACTGTATCATCTGCTTTCTCAGAAGATGTGAGATCACTGATGGTTCTTATTAACTCAAGTGGTTGTTCACTCAGTTTTGCATAAGAAAACATTATGAAAAACAGCTAATTAAGTTTATTATTAGTGCATATTGAGAAATTTATGTAGAGTCCTCTGGGGATGTCATAAACATTTTGAGTTAGTTGTTGGTGCCCCTATGTTTTGATCTAGAATATCAGCAAATGTTAATACAAATATACCCATTTTTGATAATCCTCATTTAAATATTTTAAAGTAAACACTCAATGATAAAATAAAAACTAAATTGTCCATGCACAAGTATTTGTTTTACAACTTTTGTCAACAATTTCTTGCATCCTTCTTTTACCTGTGGTCTAATTGTGTGATGCTTTTTGGTTTCAGCTCTCAGAATATTTTTTAAACTTACGTTTTTAACTATAATGTGTCTTCAGTGTGTTCTTTTGGCTTTTTTCCTGAGGGTCTTTGCCTCAGAGCAAAATATCTGACATGGCCCACAATTTCTTAAGAGATATTAAATGCCACACAATCTATGCCTTATACAATAAAGTTTTTCTCAAATATTTTCTTTGTTCTTTGGCCATGAAATGCTGCTTGGTATATAGTTCGGACCACCAACTGCTGCAGAAATGCATGAAGCTCACAAGACCTTTAATTGAATGCTTCAACCTGTGTTCTCCTTGCAAATTTCTAATTGACTTTTATTGCTGATTATTTGTCGTAGCCTTTCTTCAGCCTGACCCATGATCTGGTCTGCCCTGTGAGTTTTGATCCAACAGCTTCTCAACGCCGACAGCACTGTGGAAACGCACGCAAAAGAGAGGCTTACTCACAGGAACCCAGCAAAAGGTGTCCCACAGCAGCGTCAGCGGGACTCACCCCTCAGCGCTCCACAGACCTCTCCCTCCCTCTCCCTCCCAGCAGAAAGAGCATCCTATAGGCTAATCAGGTGGTAGTTCCAATCCAGCCTCAGCATCCGCCGCCTCCCAGAAGAGGAAGCCCGACACACGGTGCGAGTCCGAGCTGTTTTCGTCCGCTGCCATGGTGGAAATGTCGGAGATCGTGCGCCTTCTCGTCCCGCTGGCGATGCTGGCGGCGTCTGCCCACCAGACGGACGTGAAGAGCGTCAAAGAGGCGGACAAAACCGGGAATTTCATGGAAGACGAGCAGTGGCTGTCCACCATTTCACAGTACAGCCGCAAGATCAAGCACTGGAATCGCTTCAGAGATGTAAGTGTTGACTGGGAGAATGTGGAAGGTGTCAGATGCGCTGGTGGGGAACAGGCTCTGCCATCTTTACATCATGATCATCCCCCACAAACTTGGTGCTGCGCTTCAGCACAACCCATGCCTGGAACAAAAACACCAAATGTTTTCAAATGAAAAGATATCCAACGTTAGTATACGCGAGGTTCATATTTGGCTGATAAATAAGAAATTAACATTTACAATTAATCGAAAGTGGGAATATATGGGAGATTGTTGTTTCATCTATGCCCCCCCCCTCTGGCAGTGTTCGTTTGTTTGTTCTTTAAGAACATAGCATCAAATTGCTTCCGAGGATTTCTCTATGGTTGATCCCTTAGAATTTAAAATTTTAGCAGGGATTTGATTAAATCTTTTTTTTTTTTTTTTTTTTTTTACAGAAGATTAAACAAGTGCTCACGTCTTTGCTACAGTAAAGCTACATTTGCATCTCAGTGTATCAATCCTACCACTTTGAATTGGAATCCTTTAATAATCATGTGCAAATATTTTTTTTACTCCCATCCTACATCAGAATGAACCTCATCCATCATAGCACCCTTAATCTGACTTACCTTGGAAGTGTCTCCAGAGATTTTACAAACAATAGAATTAAGCAATTAGAAAACAGTGACAATGATTGATTGATGTGCATATACACCTATTGAGCCAGGTTGCTTAGATTGATTAAAGCCTTCAGGGTATGCCTGGTGATGTATTGCATTTGTCTGTGACTATATGGGCCCAGCTCTGCCTCCAGCTCTGTGATAAGATTATTAATGATTCCAGCAGTTTGGACTGTATAGTGCCATTGGATTAAGTTCCATATGACTCCAGTTAATTTGGTTTTAATTGATCCTGTGAGGTTACCACAGTATGTGATACATCATTATTGGATCAGGAATTTGAGCAGCTTGAGGATCTATCTGTGGGAGAATAGTAGCATATCTTGTTAGTAGGAGAAGATGAGCCATGCTGAATAGCAGCCTTCAGAGAGACCAGTGTTTTGATCTGCATTTCTAGACTTCCTTGAAGCGTGGGTAGCTGACATCCCTAAAGACAAGCAGAACATGCGTGAAAATTGGCAGCCACGGCTCCTGGGGAGGGATTAGTTTGGCTGTGCTTACTTAAAGAGTGAGATATGTCCTATGGAAGTGGACTAGGGGGGGGTAATGAAATTTTGGCATGAAAAGATTGAGTCAGAATTATTGTGGGATTATAACTCACTTGGTGCTGCTCCATATTCACGCAGCTTTGATCTGAAATGTTCGCTTTAGCTGCGATGACCTTCTGCATTCAGCACATCCCGGTTGGCCGCACACCAAAAGAAAAACTTTTTAAGAGAGATTAAAAACACAAACTCATCGGGAATATTCAGCCTGACCCAATAGATTATTTCTCAACAGCTTTTCCTTTCAGTTTGAAGACATCCCCTGGACATTTCACATCAGAGGTGCTGTTAAAGCCACTACACTCCACTCCTTAGAGTGATTGTCTTTGTATTTATGCACATACCGATGGACATAGAAATGATCACGTCTCTGATTTTCCAAGTGCACATATGCGATGTCATCAGGGCAGTTGCAGAGTGCATTTAAGAGTTGCGATGCGTCTGGTGATGATGAAGATGATAGGGAAAACATCAGAGAAGTGAACGTCTACTCCTCCAAAGGGAATGGCCAAGAAAAACTGCTTTGATTTCAGCTTGCAGCCGTAGCAACAACAGTCTCTGTGTTAGGAGCCTGTGTTTATGGGAATTTGATTACTATATCCCTTCACAATTCCTGCTTCAGGGGGAAACGTACAAGCATCCTTTAGTGAGGTCTCTAAACATAATTAAAACTGTGAACCTCCACAGCGAATTACCATCAGGAGCATTCTTCTCATTATTCCTAATGAGAGTTTCCCCACATTAATTGGTAGGGCTTCATGTTTGCCTTTGAGCGGAAAAAAATAAAAAAGGCATTTGAAAGTTAGGACTGTCTCCAGAACTCTTAATTGGTTGATGTATAAAACACTGCTAATGACAGGGTCATAGATATTCAGAGTACATAAACTGATGTCGACTCGCACGTTCCTCTGAGAGTTTAACGCTGAATATCATTGATGCTATGCAGTAAAATGGTAATCAAAAACCCCAAGAGGTGCAAACCTTGACTCGCGCAAACAGCACAAATTGTTAGCTGCAGCCAGTACACTGTAAATGTCTCATATCTGAGACACCAACTTTAAAGCAGGCTCTGGATAAGAGGTTCTTTCTGATGAACGCAGCTCCCACACTTCAATTCAATCTATTTCACAGGAAGACAAGGCGATTAGATTTAACAGAAACAGTCAACAAATAATAGAATGGACTACCTTCAATCCTTTAATCTGACAGGTGCGCTCAACATTTCATTCCACTAATGCACCAAATCCTCATGGAAAAAAGATAAACCAGGGAATAGGAAAGACATGGGGAACTGAATGCAGATTTATTACTTTTACCAAAAGAAAAACACCATTGGTGGGCCTTTTTAGTTTAGATAACAGTTATGACAATAAGCCTTTTTTTATTTTTACAGGACGACGGGTCATAGAAACAAAAATAATTTAAATAGAATAGAAATCTAAGCCTTTTCATGAAATGAGCACTCCACTAAACCATTCCGATGGTACATCGTGGTGATTTAAGATATGTGCTGCCACGAATGGATGCTTTTTAGGACATACAGTGCCACCTGCCTTTGCTGTTTGCTAGCAGAGGATTCAGCGATTATCTTGCCATTTCCTCTCCTGTCCTGCGCTGTCTGCGCTTGGTAAATCTTTATCTTAGAAATGCATGCTTCGACAGTCAGGCAGCTCTCCACCATTCATTGCCAATCCTGTCTGCACCTGTTCTCCGTTCACTTCATTTTTAATGAACAGAAAACACTCTGCGCCAGCACAGGAAACATCAGATCCCTTGTCGATGTCGATGTGGATTAAATTTGCAGGAGGGGAAAGTAGGTTCTGACAGTCTTCATCATGAAGTGATGTGGTATTTTTCTTTCTTTTTTCACCTCCTCATGAGCTAGCTTTAGATTAAATTTTGACACGAGATTCATATTTGTTTTCCTTTGATGATCTAGCCTCTTATACACCACTTAAGCCCGGTACAATTTGAAGTTTTTCTGCTTAGCAGTCTAGCCTTGTCTTTCATCATTTTACTGTGGGATCCAAGAATAATTGTGGATAATGGCATCTGCAACACTGGAGCCAAATACTCCATTAAAGACTATCCAGGCAAGCAGAAAATTATCACCACAAGCTCTGTGCCCAGTCTGGCTCAGCCATTCCATGTTCTTTGATAGAATAGAATAGGCTTCCACTGATGCATTAAAAGCTACGGAGGATGATAAGAGCTTATCAGAAATTCATTAGTCTATCTAGTCATGCCTTGCACAGCGATGAGTCATTCCTTATCATTTTTCAAATTCTTTTTGTGACTGCAAACATCCAGAGCTCTGTGGCAAGGCAGATGGACCACATCTTAATCACCTCCAACTGTTCTGGGATGGATGGTCTGGTTGCTCCAGTTTAGGATGCGCTACCAATGCCCCGTGGGGTGTTTTGGATGGCTTCCAGAGACATAGGTGGGCTGTAATTGTCAAAGACAAAAAGGAGAAGACTTTAATCTCGCAGAACCACAGCTGCTTCCAGCAACTGTGCAGCAGCCACAGCTGAAGGGGACAGGTGTTATCAGAGATGCGGTTTCCAAAAATTGATCCTCCTCCAGAATTCTTCATGTGGGTAAAATGATCTGTCATCCCATCAAGATGGAAAACTGTGATTAAATGAATGCCGCTAAGTGAATCATCACCAAGATGCATTTTCACTGTGCGGCCATTTGTGAAATTTTCCTAAAAAAGCAGCAGTTTATTTGCAATGCCAACATCTTGGATGACTGCATAGAAGGATCAAATGTTTCTAAGCAAATGTTTTCTGTACAGATGCCAGAATTCCCTGCTTACAAGTATTTAACATTCATGACTTCTATTTTGACTGCACTTGGGAGTCTTTATGTCAAACCCATGGAGGTGGTATGCTGTATGGAGCAGTCGACATGGTTTTTATGCATATGCATGAGCCTCAGTGCCATTAATATACTCAGCACTCTGATGACATTTCAGTTTTACAGTTTTAGTTAATATGAGTTTATGTGAAAGATGCCAAACTGGACTTAAAGGTGAGTTCAATAATATAAAGTGGCAGCAGCTGTCTGTGGCATAAATGCTGTTGGGCTTTAGCCAGAACAAATCAGAGCCAGTGGGGGATCAGGTCCACTTGGTACAAAAGAATTTGATTAAGGCCACGGAGAAAAAAAGCTTAAGTGGCTGAAAATAACAGGACAAATCCAGTTGTTGATGCCTTGGACAGAGAACTTGCTGGAAAGGTGTAATCAAAATCACAAGCTACGCTCTCGGAAATATGGCGTCTGTTCAGCGCTTGAAGCTTAGATGTTTGTTTTTCCTTAGAAAGATTAGATTACATGGTGTTTTCAACACTTTGTAAATGAGTTAAAAAGAGTGTAAAAAGTTATTTAACAGCTCGTTGCTCAGGGATATAAAGGTGCAGCATGACAGATTAATACGCTTATCAAAAAACCTTGCGTTCACTTATTGCCTTACATTTATTTATTAGATGTTGTAAAATTCACAGTGTGAGAATGTGAAGTAAACATAGATGTAATCACAGACTTGTTGACCATTGGTGTAAAAAACAAATGCCTGGAAATAGTTCCGGAGGGCCCCGGGGCATAAAACCGGAAGAGGGTGGAGGACTTTTCCGATGACTGATAAAGGCTGAGGCTACCAAAATGAGGTAGATATGGGGATGAAGATGAAGGTTGCGCCAAACATGGTCTGAATAGAAGAGCAGCTGTAAAACCATGGATAATGAAGAAACTGGATAGGGCAGGAATATCATATATCGTAACAGTAACAGCAAAATTTAGAATCGCATCAAAAACAAAAATCAAATCTCCATTCAGCATGTTTGCTGTATTGCTTGTCACGACAGTCAATCGGCTGTTTTCCCCACACTGAACCGGGTTTCAGTCCTGTTGCTGCTCCGTTTGTGAGTCTGATTTCATTACAGTGTTTTAGACTCTCCCGACTCAAATCATTGGCTGATTCTCATCCTTATTGTGGCCCTCACCTAGGCAACTCGATTGATTTTCCATTGTTGTAGGAGTCTGTTTTTCAGTTGAGCTTGGTGTCTCCGCTGAAGTGTAAAGGTTTTCGCTGTTTGTACCAGATTCTCCTGTGAGTTGCTGACTGTTTTCTTATTCCCTCCAGGGGCTCAGTATGGCGCAAGGGTCGGTTTTATTTATAGACCGTGTGTGCAGGGTTGGCATGAGAGCACAGATATTTTGTGTACTAAGTATGAATTTTAGAGCCGTGTATGCCTGTGTGTTATAGCTGAAAGGTTATAGCATAAAAGTTTAAGAAATCTCAAAGCAATAACCAGAATAATACCTGAATTTCTAACGGAATCAGTCTCTTTTTGCCCCATACATTTTAAAGCGTATAAAGAAAAGGAGTTTTAAAAAATGAGTGTGATTTTAGGTCAGTATTTGAACTAATATTTGGTTTGAGACTTTGATGTGAAATAATAAGGCCAAGCAATCCAATGGCCTGACTATTGTTAACCTGGGTAACTGAAGACCTAATAGTCAACCTATTCTCACTGCCAGCCCATCACATTTGGTCTGGAGGTCCTGGTGTCACATTATAAAGAACTGTCCTTCAGGCTAGAGCGATTGTAGATAAAAAGGCACAACACTTTAAAGAGACTTGAATTCAAGTAACATGATTAGAATTTCAAAAATAGGTGAGATATTCAGTTTGTTGGATGCAGTCAGAAAGCATTTACTAGGGTTCGATACTCAGTGTGTCCTGGTTGTGTCACACTGACACTGCTGTGACCTTGGCTAATTGTATTCGTATTTGGATGCAAAAATGCGGTTTATTTTGTAAAGTTTTCTTTTAATGTTTTTAAAGAAATGATCTTTTCATCCTGAAAAATGATAGGGTTTTCCTACATATGCATCACTAGGAGCTCATTGGAATGCACTGAAATGGATATTCTTTGAAAGCAGAAAAGAAAGTAAAAAAAACAATGAGCAAATTATTTTGAACGTGGTTATCGCCCTTTAGTTTCACAAACTGTTATTATGGTTTATGTTCTGCACTGTTAATGCAAGAACACACTTTATAATTTTGATAAATGCTTAAGTTCAGAAAAAAGATTTAATTTGGGGTCAAAATAAATATTGTGACAACCTCCAACACACAAGAAGCAAGTTTGCACACAGGCCCATAGCTTTTTTCTTCACTGTGCACTGGATATGACAAACATCTGATTACATCTTTTTGCCAAAGCTTTTGTAAAGAGGTAGTGCCTGTGTTCTAAGCTGACACCAAGGAATCCACAGCATATGAATGTGACAAGCGAGGACAAATTGCCACAGCTGCAGTGGTACTTTGCTATTTCAGCTTATAGGTCCAGAACCCACAAAATTGTTTCATCTCAGGCATGTCGCATGTGGCACCAAAGATTAAAAGCTGTGAACTGAAATAGTCCTTTTGTGAGATTTTAGGTGGGAGGGAGGGACTGAAATGACTGTATGTAGTATCATAAATTAAACAAACAACATCCAGAGGATTAATTTGATTTTTTTCTGAGGTCCTTTTGTGTACGAAAACATGATCCAACCATACAGAATGAAAGCCATGAAAGCCTACTGATGCAGAACAAAAGATCAATGTATGTATAAAGATGCCATGTTTTCCTTTTTCCAAATTTTTAAGCTGAATTTTTGCTGCTTACTCATCAGTTAATTGTTGTTTTTGTCTCTGACATATATTGATACTGTAAACAGGCAGCCATCAGTTACTCATGTTTGGAGGGATTCATATTCTGTCAATGATTTCTCTTTGTTGTTAGAGATGATTGTTAAGAATATGAAATTAAAGGCAATAACAGCAGTGAGTCTGAAGACAGATTATCACACACTAACTGGTCTAGGGAGGAGGAATAACTGTCTTCCAAAGCCATCTAGCCTACTTTGCTAGATGACAAACAGTTTTTAGGCACTGTCATACCAGAGTAACTTCAATTTTGTGCTTTCTTTTTCATTCAGAAGGGCCTAAACTCAGCGGAAGCTGACATTAATTAAATAGGCCTACTGTTTTTAAAAAATTAGTGAGCATTTAAAATGAAACTGAGCTGCTTAGAACACGTAAGAGGTTTGATTTCTGGTGGTGATATGTCAGACCCATGACATTACACTACATGTTTAAATGCTTTTTAAATGATCTGCCTGTTTGGTACAATGGTTGGTAATTTCAGAAAAAAACTACGCCATAATGCTTTTGTCTTGTTGCGACAAGTCTAACAACAAATCTAGCCTAAATTCCAGGATTATGGAATCAATTGAGCTGAAACCTCTTTTTCAAATAGGCGAATTGTGTCCGTTTAGAGTGATTAAGAGTCCACTTTATTTAAAGTTAAAGGATTTCTTCAGATTTACATTATTTTTATTCTGCAAACTGCAACTCTGTGAGTTTGTGCATGGGTTTTATGAATCCCGACAAGGATGATGTTAGCAGCTATTTCAACAAATGTCGAGTATGAGCTGCCATTTAGCCCCAAGAGATCTCCACAGGAGAGTGTAATGACTGAGTCCGTTGTTTGTGATGAGGCCATGATGCACTCTGTAGTCACCATGAACAAACTCTTTTGGGAAACCACAGAGAACACAGGGTGCAGATAACAGCTGACATTTACTCAGAAGCACCTGTCAGTCACGTGTATGACTTGCCAGATAAACACTCATGCATTTCAAGCATCTTCCTGCTTGTCAAAGCATTTTCTGTCACGCTTCTTTGACTTCCTCTCCCTGACGGTGCAGTTCATCCAGTGTTGGACCCAATTTTTCAGTGGACAGGGTGTGATTTTCCTCCACAGATATAAGGGATTCAGATCTGTCAGTCAGTATTGTGGAGTATGGGTCAACACTGCCATCTTTTCTGCAAAGCTTTCCTGCTCACTTTACAACACAGGGGGATTCTTTTTATTGTATTTATCAGCCTGATCACACAGTTTCTGGATTCAGATGAGTGTTTTCATTTTGCAGCCTCACGCTTGTGTCAAAAAAGTTTTTAAAGAACGAAAAAATATATATTTTTTGCATCACCAAAACATATCTATGAACATATCTATGTGATGTATGCTAACATTGTCACCCTGATCTATGTTCCAGCTCACTTTCACTGAACACTCAGACTAGATTCATTTCCCTGGGAAACATTTTCTGCAGCCTCTCTTTTTTTATAAAAGCCATCGATTTCCAGTCTTGTCAGTGCAGCAGGACAGTTTCCTTATCGGCACAGGCAGGAGCACAAATACTGAAAAGCTGCTAAATAATGCAGGAGCCTCAGCATCAATACATGAGACATGGGAGGCATCAGATTAACAGCCAGGTCGTAAACCCTTTGAGGTCCGATGTGGGACTCCATCAGGCCCAACAAGATTGAGCCACATAACCAACAATCATTCATGATGCTCACCTGGCAGGACAGCTAACAACAGGTGTGTTCTTTGGTTTTTGAGCCAGTGAGCAAAGGAAAAGGAGACCAACATCTGAAACCTTACCTGAGATGAAAATATTTATCCCAATTAAATAAAACCACAACGGTAAAAGGCAAAGGTCCCAGTTTTCACAAGGGCTGCTTATTTAACTTTTATCACATTCTAGGGAGCCATTTGGCACTCACTTCCAGTACAGTAAATGTTTACTGTGATGAGTAAGTGATCGCTAAGGAGGGGTGGTGGCCAATTGCAAACATCTTGAAATGACTCATGTTTATTATATCAAGCATTTCAATATGCTCCATAAAGCTTTACATCTGCATCATCTTTTGTGGTACACACACTAGGATGTGACGCTCACCTCATCAAAAACAGGTCAGCTTTAATGAATTGCGCCTGAATTTTGTGCTTTTTGAGTTGTCAGCATGTGATTGCGCTCCACTTTTCTATGTTGCGAGGTTAAATACACAATATCAATCCTTAATTAGCTTCTTGATAAAAGCAAAAAGGTCAAATACATGCAGAGTCAATGACAGTGTGCTGTGTTTGCTTAGTTTGGAGAAATCTCCTTTGATTTCCGCTTAAAGAGCTTTGAATTAAGCCGAAAGTTTTTTGTGTTTCAGTGTCAAACTGGGGGTTTTAGATGTTTTTTTTCTTTTTATTTATATATTATGACATATAAACACATGATTCATGATTACTATTCTGTGCTTAAAAGGTGGAAATGTCATAGCACTGAATATAGCTTCATGTCTGTTCTGAAACTGCGCTTATCACTAATGTTGACCCTCTGTCTCTCTTTTGGCCGTCACTTCACCAGGAGGTAGAGGTCAGTTCCCTTCACTTTCTCTTTCGCTCTCCCTCAGCTGCCTTTGTGTGAGGTCTTTTTGAATTTGTGACTCATTTCCTTGTCTGGTTATGCGTCTTTATCTTTTCTCCTACACCACTGTCTTATGATTGAATCATTTTAATTGGACCGATTAATGTTCGTATAAAAGCGGTGTGGGAAAAGCAGAGCACTTCAAAGGCATCACTAATACGTGCCGTTGTACACACATACGCTGCTAATGTTTCCAATCTCATTTCCATAAAAGATATAGACGACACATTGTGCTTGTCTGTTCCCGTCGTAAGTCACTTGGCATGTTCTGAAATTGTAACCACATCTCCCCTCTGTGATCATGCCCCCATGTTATTTTCTCAGTTATACAGCTCTGGGTGCTGCTTATTGTCTGTAGCTGCTAATTAAAGATTTTTTCTTCCTGTCTGCAGGATGACTATGTACGCACCTGGGATGAAAATCAGGGCTCTAATGACAGTAAGTTTCACACCATCTTCCTATTCACCCCTGTGGAGTTAGTTAGGTCCATGACAGCTGACAAAGTGTTGATTTACACAAGTTTTATTAAAAAAAAACACTTGTTTAACAAAAAGCAGTATACCATCTTTTAATAGTTGTTTTTTCATATCAGAAAATCTGTTTTTTATCCATCCATCCATAATTGTTACTGCTTATTCCCTAATCTGTTTTTTACCAAGTGTTAAATTAAATGTATACAAATTTGGATGAACAGCATAGCGTGATACATGACGGTGAACTAAGCAGTGTCAAACATTTTATTTTCATTTTTTGTTTGATCCTATCAGTCTCACATCATTGTGGAGAACCTTCGGCCCACTCCCTTTTGCAGGGCAGCTTCAGTTCATTGAAGTTTCCAAGGATTAATTTATTTATAGCTCTCTTTGGGCTCCAGCACAAAATTTTTAATCAGATTAATGTCTGAGCTCTAACTGGACCATAGCAACACCTTGATTCCTTGCACATTAAGCCATTTTGCTTCTGTGTTTTGGATATTATTCCTCTATAGCCTGATCAACTTTCAGCCAAGTTTGAACAGTCACACCTCACATTTGGTATAAGGAGGAATTATCTGTCAGATCAGTGACTTGTACCCAGTTACTGTGATTGCGGAGCAAACCTGCAGTGGATATTTGCTGTTAATGCTAGAAAATGTACTATATATCAAAATGGCTTATGATCTATACAAAAATACTTTTGAACTTGGGGTATCTTACTTATCTGTCAAAAATCGCCTTTCAAATCCCCACAACTGGATGCTGGTTAGTTGTAAAGGACACTGCGTTCAGTGTTTAAGATGTGAGTTTACTGTCATTTATTCAAAGTTCTTACAGGCCAACTGAGGCTTGCAGAATCTGCTTCTTACTTCTTGGGTTTCTTTAGTTGTTTTTTGAGCATGCTGTCTGTCTGACCTTGGGGGAGAGTCTGCAAAAATGTTCTCTCCCATTTGTGAATTTTACCCTGTGGAATGACGGACTGTAAATTGCTTGGAAACGCATGACGACCATTCCCACAATAACAGGCAGCAACGGTTGCTTCTCTCTTTGCTGGTATCATTTTATTCCAGTTCTGTGGTAACATGAACCAGAAAACTCCAGACCTCTGCTGTTATAAAGGAGGTCATTGCTGCTGGTTATGAGGTAATCAGTTATATTTGATTAGCAGCTCCTGGCTGCTGCATATCCCGCAGTTTTCTGTGGAAGCAGTCGAATTTCTTGGCTTACAATTGGCTGTAGAAGAGTTTAGGATTAAAAGAGTATGCGCATTTATTTCTCCATTTATATAATTGTTGAACTTAACTATGATTGATTTTTTTAATTGGTTTTTATTACTCTACATTTTATTTGCCTCTAATCAATAATTCTATACAAGCAGATTTAAGAAAATGCATGATTACCATACCAACAGCAAGAATTGTCACAAACCATGTCATAATGCAACACCCTTTTATGACTCATAGACGTGGCACCACATCCCTGTTCAGTCCACTGAGAGAGCACATGGGAATTGTTCATGTTCTTTAGTCCTATCGTCATTATCCTGGAAAATATGCTTAAGGAATCTTCATTATGATACATCATTTATAAGCCAAAATCCAAGGTAGTCCTTTTTTAATCATTCATAAGACAGATGTGTGGTTAGAATTTGTGAATGCCCAAAAGACATGGCCAAATTTTAGTGAACCCAGAGGAGGATATCCTAACGTGTGAGTGCAAATTACTCTGTAAATTAGTGTCGCATTTGGAAATAATCCATCCTAAAAATGAATGCACTTGAACTGGAGCCTGAATGTCTGAGGGGTCTTCCTCGACTCGTGTAGCCGCCGCAGCCGTAATTGAACCTCTGCCAGATGAAGTCATGGCAGTAGCGTGTCCTCAGCCATTGTCTCTTGATTTGCGGCTTAAATAAAGTCATCTGAGTGGCACAGTACATTAGCACAATTTCCAAAGGGCTTAGTGATGGACTAATTATGATTTCCAATGAAAGGCCAGAGAGAGAGAGAGAGAGTTAAAGGCATGAGAAGCTGGAAGCTAATACGCCATAATTTAGTGTTACTCAGCTGGTATCAACGTTCTTCCTGCCAAATGTAATGCAGCTTGGACATAAGAAAAAAACTGAAAAGAAGAAAATGTCTAGTTCATTGTCCGTCTGTAAAGAGGTGGCTGAAGAAATTTAGGCTGCAAATTTACCAAATAAAACTGCATAAAACTGTGATTGTGTTTGCTGAGAAGCAAGGAGACTTGCAGTTTGACTTGTTGCCATGTCAAAAATTGCTAAATTTGATTGATAACATATTTGTCATTCAGCCTCGTCCCAGGTTTGCTGACTCAGACAGTGCTGATGCATTTTTTCTGGCATTGGAGATTCAATTATTAAACCAATCACGCTCTGCTTGTCAGGTATAGATCAAAATGATTCCAGAGAAGTTTTTAGGTGGTATGTTTTAAAATGACTGCCTCTATTTTCAATCTATACAGTTTAAAGGCTTTAATGCCTCCATTTCCCTTCCTCTCTTTTTGACACGAGTGCTCCTTCTCCTTTCATTGATTTGCCTTCCTTTATGAGTAGCCTAATGAAGCGAAGGAGTGAAAAGAGGAGATTTGTCCCTGTGAGACATCACTAAATCAGTGTGATGTCTTTACTCTGGAGCTGAGCCCGCAGGCATCATTTCTCAGCCGGGCAGCTCTCACCGCTGCACCGCCGTGTAGAGGAAAACAGAGCGGCCGAACTGCAAGCGCTGCGAACACAAAGCCTCAGACAGTGAACACTGACATCAGTCCAAGGTGTAAATTTGCATTCAGGCTCTGCAGGCTGACTGGCTGACTCCACTTAAGCCAGCTCCGCGTTGAGCGAGGGAGAGGTCAAGGTAATTTGCAGTTGATTTTCTGCCGTCGATTCATCAGTCTTGTTACTGATTGAATCACTCTGCTTTTAAGAACAGTAAACACTGCAGGCGGACGCTTGTAATTTGGTCTTGTAAGAGCAAACAAGTGTACTCACACATGCACAAAACCAATCAAACGCTCGCCTAGAGCAGCAGCAGGTATTTTAAAACACCTTCTGCCTCTAAATTATTTAGGGAACGTTTGATTCTCGGAAGCAAATGTGAGTCTGACAGGCCAGGTGAATGGTAAATAGACACTCTGTAGCAAGTCACTGGTTTAAGATCGATGGCAGACAGTAAAGAGATAAGAGAACATGCTGAGTCCCCACTCTGCAAGGTTTAGAGTTTAACACCTCTTGAGGTTATCAGTAGATAATGGAGGCTGGCGAGCAAACACATGCGGACTGGACACATGGTAGCCGGCCACCAAAGTCCTGAGCATCTGCTGACCTGCTCGAGATAATTCAACAGCATTTAACTTTTTCGTTTTCGTTTTCTGAAAAATCTTGTTTAGTATGTTTGCTGCTAGTCGGGGATCGAGCACATCTTTGTGCAACAAAAAATGCAACAGACACTGCAATCTTCAAAGAACTGCAGCTTCTCTTTTCACCTATCAATCTCCATAAATTCGTCCGGCATTACCCCTGCTGTTCTCCCCCGCGCAATACACAAAGCTGTATCAGCACGTCAGTCCTGTTCAACAGGAAAGCCATCCCATTTTTCAAGTGAATCTTTTTAGGATCTGAAAGTCAGTCTTCTGAATCTTGTAATGTGGCTCCCTCTGGGAGACGAGCTCATTCACTGACTTTACATTTAGTGCACAAACAGAGCCAGAATTCACTAGAAGACCATATTGCACCGATGACAGTAGAGACCGAGTGTGTAAATAGTCGATAAGGGGGCTGATGATGAGGATGTGGCCTGAGCTCTGCTTCCATTATCCTCGATCTGCGGGGCTAAACCTCAAGCAAATCTGGACTGGATTAGAGTGAAGCACTGGCAGGCCTAATTAAAAATGTTTCCCCGCCATGGGGATAAGTTAAATACCGAAGGGGAGATTCTAAAAAAAGTAAAAATGGAAGGAAGCAGCTGGTAATTTAGAAATTGATGGGAAAAGGTTGGACTTATGTCTGCAAGGAGGAGGGGTAATAGCGTGTCTCCGGCAGGTTAAGACTTAGAACTCATGGTGAGGGTATTTGATATATGAAGAGGATAAAGGAATGTGAGAATAAGGTGGTACTGTTGGTTTGTGAATGTGTGATGGGATGGCGAGGATTTCACATACAGTGCGGGAGAGAGTTTTTAGAGGCAGCAGATTGAGCTGCAAGTCACAGTCAACCCAGAAATGATTCCCAGACCATGGAGAGCCTGTTGCTATGGAAACGTCATCATTGCAGGCACTGCTTTAATCCATGGAAGCTTGTTAAGTTAACATGAGGCTCAGGCAGCCACCTTATGCTTCTTTACTCACAACACAGCACTGTGCCAGCATTGTAGCTGCTTGCTGCCGTCGAGATTTTGCCACAAATATTTAGCTTTTTCTAATTCAGGATTATCCTTTCAATATATCTACGCTGTTCAGCCCAACTCAAAAAACTAAAGAGCTGAGAATGAGCAAGAGTTTCGAATGCTGGGAGACATGTGTGATACAATGCACTGATTTCCACAGTCAGTGGCATCGGGTACAAGGGAGGAACAGAGAATAAGGCTCTTCAGTTGACTGTCAACAAGAAGTCTGCTTCTGGACAGTTTTACTGCTTCTCCCCAACAGCAGAGCAGTCAGTCTGTCAGTTACACAACCAGCTCCAGCCTCACAGTGGCACTTATTGTTTTGGATTTGTTTTCTCAAATCAGATATCTGCCTGTTTGTCTCAATAATCCTGTGAAATCGGCAGCTTTGATGTATTCAGCCTCTGGAAATGACTAGAGAGGAGATGGTAAGCTCGCCTGATTAACGATAATAGCCCCATAAAACAGGGCAGAGTGAGAGCCGGAGATGAATGAAAGCATGATTTACAAGCGGCTTTTTTGCATTGATGAAACCTGGTGTTGTGCTGTATTTCTGCACGCTGTACTGATTGATAGTGTAGATGATAACAGGCCCAGAAAAATGAAAGAAGATAGATTGCAGTATCCGATCAGGGTCCAGGAGGCCTGCTCGGACCACGGTTGTAACATGAGTGTGTGAGGCACGCTCACACATCTGCTAGAAGACAAAGTGATGGATGGGGAAGAGTGAGCATAACGTCAAGGTTAAGCCTGCCCTGCTGGATACATTAGTCTCTCTAAGTTAGCTTAAGCGTTAAGGACTGAATGGAAATGAGCAAATAGTGGAAAGGTCCTTCAGTCTGGGGTGGGTGAGACACCTGCAGCAGCTGTATGCTGCATGTTTTCCCGAGTGGCTTTAGCAAGTGTGTCGGGCAATATTCACCTGCAGAATAATGGATGGTTCTGTATTTTACAGGAACGGTGGCAACCTGGATTTTGAGTGTTCAGTCAGAACACCTTCTGCTTATGTTTTACACTGAATTCAGAAGAATGTGTCACTTTTTAAATGATTTCATCAATGAAAAATGGCTTTTTTTCTTTCAAAAACAGCATCACACAAAAAAACACACATTCTCCACATAAAATTAGGACAGCCATTGTGAATCAATCAATGAAAAGCCTGGCACGGTCCTCCGCTGGTAAAACAGTGTCAGGTGTATCAAGTCTATTATTGCAGAATTTTCAGTTTTGCTTCAGCAGATCCATTACTGCATTCATGTTTATGTAATCAATAAAGTATAAACCAAGGTAGAAATATCTTAGAACATCACTGGAAATGTACCTTTATACAGCGCCACTTAGTTACTGCATAATCTGTTATGAAGTCTTTAACAGAGAACATTTTCAATGTACAACAACCACAACAATTAAGCAGTGCCCTATTAGTTTGTGGGTGATCCTCATCTGTACAACATGGAAGAAATAGCTCTCCTTGCAGCTGTTTTATTCTTGTCTTTTTCTCGGCTCTGCTCCTCGTGCTCCCATCAGGTGTCCCAAATTACTCCAATCTCAAAAGACACACGCTGAACAGGCAGTGCACCAATCATCAGTGAGATTAGTGTAGAACGACAACACAGCTAAGAAACAAATTCATCCACATCTTTTCATTTCAATGCTCAACGTTGAGTTTCTGCTTTTCCCTCAGTCCATCACGACATGTTTGCTCGTATCGGAAAAAAAGCAACAGCTCTGCGCTGCTCTAATGATTTCAAATAACAGTTGTACTGAGTGCGTGGGATCCGACAACAGGAGTGAAATGTTCAATGACTGAAGATAGAAAAGTGTCTCACTTGGGCTACAACAGTCTATTTCTAATTTTCAATATTTTTCCACAGATGTAGACACCACGAAGGACCCTTGTCAAAAGGTTAAGTGCAGCCAACACAAAGTGTGTATTGCCCAGGGCTACCAGAGAGCTGTGTGTGTCAATCGCAAGAAGCTTGAACACAGGTGAGTGTGTAGCCCATGAGCAAGAACCCACTAATTCCCCAGACACACAAATACTCATAAATCCCCCTCACGCATGCTGACATAAGGTCAGCTCAGCTAGTCGGGGCTCTGTGATGAAAGGTGAATGTATTTTACTCCTGGCCAGAGTCAGAATAATAAAAGCTTGTTTCTGCACGGTTGCGGTGGAACTTCCTGCTGTTTAATGATAAGCTAATACATTCAGACAACGTGGAGGAGGCTGTTTGCGTCACGCTCTCGTGCTCAGGTTCGGAGCGGTACCGCCTACACTGAGTTAACACAGCAGTGGCCGTCACAGCTGGACATGGCGAGGCTGACGTGTCTGTGTGTCCCCCGTCCTGCAGACTGAAGCAGCCGGCTCTTCGGTCTCCTGATGGAAACTGTCAGCCCTGTCCCATCTCTTCCACTGGGCCCGTGTGTGGATCAGATGGACACAACTATGCCTCAAAGGTACACGGACGCACATAGTGAATGAAGTTTATGCGGTGTCCCTGGGGTACAAAACACAAGAAACAAATGAATAACATTGCACAAAGCAAGAATCTTTTGCAAATGTAGTAAAAATCACAACTCCTCAGATCATTCAACAGTTTGAGGATGTCTTAAAAAAGACTGCAGAGACACAGCCTTAAAAAGAACACAGCAAAACTCTTACACTTTTTACAAAATGTAATAAAAAAAAACATTTGGTTGTGTTATCGTGTGGTCAGTAAAACAAGTGTGCTTTTGCATTTTCTGAAACATCATTTTTAAGTGTAGTTGCGTGTTATCTGTTTTGTTTCTGGGCGTTTCTGTGCTTTTTGAAAGAGCCTGTTTTGTAATGTGACACATGTGTTTCCTAATGATCAAGCTGTATTAGATCAATGTGCTGAAACCTTCAGTTCAAAATCAAGTATCCTGAGAAAACAGAATGATGCAACAAACAGGAAAAATACAGATAAAAACTGCAACATAAAACTCTTTGCACAACAAATCAGCTTGTTCTTGTCTACATAGATTAATTTTTATTTGCATTAGATACCATATTCATATTACAAAATACACAACTTTGTATTTTGATAGATAATCTCCACAATTCAAACGCTCTATTTTTGTTGAGATTGTTCTGTGGGTCGAGGCCCTGCAGGCTGTAGTTTGAGCCCCTACGAAATCGAATCATATGAGGTTTTTCTACCCTCTTCTGGATGAGGTAATAATGTTTCAGTGTTATATTCACAGCTTGTCTTCCACATGTGGAATAAACAGAAATAATACACTTAAAGCAGGTTTTCTGGGGTTTTTTAATAACTGTGAAATGAACAGGAGTAAATACTGGGCGTACAGTCGTCCAAGGGGGAAATATGTGACAATCTCTTCCTCATTTATGCAGCGAAAATGAATCTAAATTGTGTGTTTACGTAGTACGATGGTTATAAAGTGTATGTTGTGTACATTAAACGCAAAACGTAAATGAATGTGCTTTAAATTAGCTAAATATCTACACATTGTTTTACCCCCTTTTTTTTAGGTAAAGCAAACATACACCTTGTGCTCTCAGAGCTAAGCAGAGTAAGGACACTCACGAGGGAAAAACCCAGACTAAAGAGACATGATATGTGGCCTCAAGGGGACCAATTGGTGGCTTGTGGTGACAAAGTCCTATGTGTTTATTGATTAATGCTTTGTCTTTCGGATCTTTATTTCTGACCTTGTGTGCTAACAGAGGTTAAAAGGCACATTTAGGAATAGCTATAGATTTGAATCAAGGCTTACCGTAACTCACCTCATGAATATTTGATCTGAGCTGTGACAACAACTTATCTTAATTCACCTTTGTGGCGGTTATTGTGCTCCAGTGCAAGCTGGAGCAGCAAGCATGTCTCACAGGAAAGGAGCTCACCCTGAAGTGTTCGGGCCTGTGTCCTTGTCCCACTGCAGTCCCCACAGCAAAGGAGAGTAAACATGGTAAGATCGGCAACTACTTTGTGAGACTAAACAAGCGTGGCAACGAGGCAGAGGTTGTGTCAGTTTCTAGCCTCACGCATGCCCTCCAGCACAACGGTTGTAATGGCAACAATTTGTACAAGAGACATCTCTCCCTTTGTCCTTCACAGAGACCTGCACTGGGCAGGATCTGTCTGATCTCGGGGAACGTCTGAGGGATTGGTTCCAGCTACTGCAGAGCAACGCCAAGCAGAACAACAACAGCAAGCCCGGGGCCAGAGCCACTGCAGTCAGCAGCACATCAGGTGGAGGCTTCCACTAAATATATCTCAAAGGGCATGTTACTGCTTAAGTTTCCAGTTACACTTTGAAGATATCAAAAAAGTAATTGTAGCTCATGCTATATCCTAGTGTACAGACAGACTGCTGCTGACCAGGTGCTTCTGCGAAGATAACAGTGGACAGTTCTTTGCAAAGCTCTGGATGTCCCTACAGCCCCATGAATTAATGAAGCTTTCCTTTAAGCATGCTATTTCTAGTTTAAGGGCGTTTGCAATCTTGAATAAGAAGATGAGATGAACACTAAGATTGCCAGCGGTAACCTGCTTTAAGGGGTTTATCTTGCGATGTTTTTTTGTCTGATCTCTTGTAAATCAGTTTAACAAGGCATGAAGGATTACTTTAATGTCCGGTCCATGGCATTTAGGGGAATATCTAAGCAGATAAGAAATATTTGAAAGCGCGCTTTCAGTAGTATTAAGTGAATCCTTCTCTTTTTATTATTAAAATGACCCAATTATGCACGGACAATGTCGAGCATCATCCTCGATGTCACACCTGTTTTCCTGGTAATCCATTATGGCCGCAGGGAGCTTGAACTGTACAGCGGGGGCTCACAAACACTGACATGTGCGTGTAGCCCGACAGCTATCACGACATGTAACTTATCATCAGGGATCATGTAAAGCACCGCATGAGAACTCTACACTGCTTTATCTTCACATAGCCAATAGTTTACAGCTGTTAAATTAAGTATTAAGAAATTAAGACCAAAATCATGTGAAAGCCTGTTTTTACCTGAATGTTTCATGAAAGACCCTTTGCCAACCAGTGCTGAAATCAAAGCATAAATTTGAATTTCCTGTGCCGTGTCGATGACGACAAGATGTATTTCAATTTTGTTATTGGAAAAGGAAACACATTTTTCCGTTGGCTGGCATGGATTTGCTTTCCATTTGTGCAGCTGTATCATGATATGAATGAATCTGTCTTTGTGTTGGCAGTACTGGACAGGAGTCTGGTGGCCAGCTGTAAGGACTCCATAGGCTGGATGTTCTCCAAGCTCGACACCAATAACGACCTGTACTTGGATCAGGCTGAGCTGGCCGCCATCAACCTGGACAAGTATGAGGTCTGCATCCGTCCATTTTTCAACTCCTGTGATTCCTACAGGGACGGCAAAGTCTCCACAGCCGAATGGTGCCTCTGCTTCTGGAGAGAGAGTGAGTAGGCTGGGGATGATATGGGGGTCATTTCAGACAGTTTCCCCTGTAATCAGTCCACATACGACTTTACCTTCTTATGTTAAACTTCTTTTTTTCCAAGAGCCTCCCTGCCTGGCCGAACTAGAGCGGATCCAAGTACTGGATGGTGGGAAGAGAAGGTTTGGTATGTATTTGGCAAAAAAATTAAGAGTTCTTTGAACCTAGTGTGATGTGTCTGTCTTTGTTTAAACATTTTACGAACCAGATGATAAACTGGAGGAGAGGATTAATCCCAGATCAGCCTTATGCCAAATATCGTGATTCTGACAGGCCTAAAATAAAGGCACCCACCGGTCTGTCCGTCCATGTATGTGTCAGAGGATGAATAGTGTGTGTGAGTGCAGATTTGGATATGAGTGTGTGTGCACTGCTGATTCTGCCTGGCTGACTGGGCTCTGAGTCAGGACTCTCCAAGGACACAGAGCAGCAAGGGGGGGCGGGGGGGAGGCTGCCAGCAAGACACTTAGATGTTCCCCTGAAGGACTGGATGGACGTTAGCGTTTGGCCTTTTAGTCCATTTTACTGTTGACACATTATAAATATAGAAGCATCTGGAATATTTAATTCCATAACCAGTCCATCCATCTCTAAAAAGCCTGACAGAAAGGTTAGATTTGGCTAAAAAGATAAGCACAACTATGTCTGTCGTCTGTCTTCACCAACTGAAACCAAATGCACTAGTGGATCAGTTTGGAGGGGTGGGATTAACCTACTCTTATTGGGTAGCAGCCATCTCTGGCTAAGATCTGTTCAACCCTTCTGTATTTTTCTTATACAGACCATCATTCAATAAATGAACATCATTCTTGATTGAATAGGGCTTGAAACTGACAATGGAGACAGAAAATGCAACCTACACACAAAGTAATCACACACATGTTGATCATTCTTGTCACATTCTTGTGACAAACTTTTGTCACAGAAATCTGGCTTCGTTTTGCAATGAAGGGAGGCTTTTAAAATCTTTTTTAGCCAATGTTGGTGTTAATCCTCTGTGTCCCTGCACACATTTCTAGTCACAGAGCATGTATCTTTATATTTTGCCCACACACACACAGTGCACTTAGAACACAAATGTGAAATCTCTCTCTGCCTTTACTTTTAGCAGCTTTGGAGAAACGATGTGGTATGTTTGGTGATTACTTTACTCCTCCTGCATTCAATCTACCACATGCTCATGTGTGCAATTACCAGGTCGATTCATTCCCAGCTGCAATGAAGATGGCTACTACAGAAAGCAGCAGTGCGACAGGGGCGAGTGCTGGTGTGTCGACCCAAACGGGGGAGAAGTAGCTGGCTCTAGGATTCGTGGCAAGCCAGATTGTGGTAAGTCCCTCGGATGTCTACGAGAACATTTGAATTCAAAGGGTGAATGCCAGTTGGAAAAGCAACTGAAAAGATCCAATACTTATTGCCTCCCCTCTTCGAATCTGCACCACATGCATTCTGCACAAGGCCCCCTTTATGTTAAATGACTGAGGCCCACTGCGACATAGCTCACTTCAGGGACCAGTGCCACATTCACGTGTCCAGAGTCATTTGCATTCTAAAGCGCTACTTGTCGCTGTGAGAAAAGTCTTTCAAGATGAATGGGGGCTGGTTGGACTGAACCTGCGCCTGATAAGAATGGCTCCCCTGGCAAAGGTTTAGAAATAGCTATTAAAATCCAGACAAAGTCCAACACATGCCTCCTTTTTTTTTCAACATTGCAGACAATGTTTTTAAATCAATCTCTGCCCTTCTCAGTGGAATAGAAAAGACAACATGGCCACGACGGATAATTCAATTCCCCTGGTTTTCCACGCTCCTGCATGTTTTATTTTATCTTTTCCTTTCAGATTATGAGATGTCATATTCGGGAGATTTTGGCAGCGGGGTTGGATGGGAAGATGAGGAGGAAAAAGAAGCTGAAGAGACTGCAGAAGAGGCTGAAGAGGAAGAGGGGGAGGTGGGAGAGGTGGATGATGGAGGATATATCTGGTAAAGGACCATCATGCAGTAGAAGCATCTCAGTTGTCACAAATACATACACACACACACACACACACACAAGTCCTGCAGGCAGATGAATGTGATGAAGCCCTCACACTCAGAACAACACTGGCTTTGGAAAACCTTTGGGAGAGGTTTGAGTGGAACGGGAGAGATTATTATGGGAGTATTTAATGTTACAGGAAGTTCTTAAATTGGGCAAGGGAGGGGAATATATCATAAATTTAAAAAAAAAATGTGGGTCTAGAGTTGAGATTTTTGTCCTTCATACTTGTGAATCTTTGTTCTCTTTTGTTGTGTCCTTTAAGCTATCTTTGAGCAGTTTTTAGCTGGTACATAATGGAGACTTTAAGAAGCTGCAGATGCACGTCATGCGCTCGAACAAAAAAACTGAGCTTGTTTGGGTGCATTTCAATATTCACATTGGTTTAGTTTGTGTCTCATTTTTTGTAGATAAACAAAATGTAAGTAACCAGTTTTGGCTCAAGGCAGAACACTGCCAAAAAAACAGAGGAGGCCCCTTTTATTATATTGAAATGCACCCTTTTGACTTCAATGTCTTCATGTCATGTGCTTCGGCTCATATGTGACAGTAGTGCTCTGTCCCATTCATGACTTATTAGGAAGCCGTTTCTCACGCATCACTCTTTAGCTTGTATATAATGTGTGTATCAGAAGGCAGAAAGTACCAAACTAGTCAATGCATTGAAAGAGTAGCAGATTATACTGCTTTGCTGGCAAGTGTACATCGTCTTATAATGTGGATCAATTATTGTGTTTAATAAAAAAACAAACAAAATAAACTCATCTTTGTGGCCCAGTTGGCCACTCTTCATCTGCATCTGTGCTCTTCTTTTCAGTGGATATCAGGTTTAAGCAGCCATCGTGGTCATCAGACTGTGGTGTTAGCTGAGCTGAAATACCGGCATAATCTTTTTAGATCCAGCAACACATGTTGGTCACTTTTATCTATATTAGTGGTGTGAAAAGTCTATAGCTGATGTCAAGAATGGGATCTCTATCCTGACTTTTTGTAATTTAGTTCTTCGGTGTCGTTGGTGCTGTTTTTCAAGTCAGCTCGCGTGACGACACGCTGTCAATCCTCATGTTTTTCTTTTTTGGTTACAATAGCTCCCATGTCTGCACAATGCCCCCTGCTACTCCACATGCCCTGCAGTTAACACTGTCGGAGACTGATTGTCTGTACCTGTGAGGATTCTATTAAAGGTTCTGCTCGGTGTCCCACAGTGTGTAACTCTAGTTCCATCTTTACAGAATATTTCACATACAATGTAACCCATGAACCAGGTGTATCTTCTTGGTTTACAATGCACATTGAACAACGTAACAATGTAAAGTTCTGCTGATATTAACATGAGAGCTAATCCTGCCCCGTTTTCAGCTGCCTACCTGGAAATCGAGGACAAACATTGTATTTTACAGTGTGCTTCTTTTTGCCGCTCTGTTTAAGAAGCTATTATTTCCACCACATAAATCTCCTCACCGTATGACCTGTTCTCCCTGGAGCAGCTTGTACTGTCACAGATTGTATTGTCAGCTTTGGGCTGTGGAAAAGTAGCAGAAATAAGATACACACGTCTGCATATTACCACCTCTTACAGCACAATACATATAGAAATATCCCCTCTCGGTGTCCTCGGGACATTGCTCAAATCTCTCCGGCCTGACCTGCTCCATCTGGGAGCAGTAAAATGTAAACCATCAGGCATATTACAGCTCATCTTCAGGTGCTCGGGCAAAGAGTGCTTGCCTTAGCATTGTAAACGCTGAGAGTAAACCAATCCTCCAAAATCTGATTTCTCAGTTTCACATTTCTGTGATAATGGAAATCAGGACCAGTAATGCCCCATCTGGTAAAAGCTCAAAATGTGTGGTGAACGAGTACGCCTGCCAACAGATGTCTGAATACCTGATATAGACAGCAGCCCTCTACTGCTACCCAGAGGGACCAATCATTTTCAGCATCATGTCAGCTTGTTATGATAAACCTGCTCGGTAAAACAGATCCAGCTCACCAGCACCAGGTGTGGATCCTCACACATGCTTTCTGTAAAAATGTCTTTGATCCTGTTAAGCAAGTAAGATCAAATGACCAAATGACTTTATACAGTCAGATATACAGGTAATTAACATGTATTAGACTTTATGTCTCCTTCCGTGTTTTGCGTGTCATTATTATAGCCAGGCTGCTGTAATATGGGATGTTTGTCAAACAAATATATAAACAAATGACAGAAATGAACCCACCACATGAAATGTTACAAGAATATATTTTTATTTAAATTACAATAAAGTTAATTAAAATAATCAGTTATTTGAATGTGGCTGATAAGAATTTTCAATTTTAAAATGAATCTAAAAGTTATTTTTTAGTGACATTTACCTGCTCAGATGTGACTCTGCACTTGTCTGTTCCATATTTAAGTGAGAAACCTGTTAGTTTAGTATAATGGGTTCCTGAAAGAGCAGCGATCCTGTTACAGCTTGCTTTGGGAACCTTGTAGCCTCCACACAGATGTGACTTTTTTTTCGGTAGTGTCTAGCACCCCGAACACGTTGACATCCCCCAGCTGGTGAAACCTCTGCAGCGACCTCTGGAAAACAGCCACTGGGATGCTAAAGTTGAGGTGCGGGTAGGTCACTTTTGCAGCCAAGTCCCTCGTGTTGCTGGACACGATTCCTGCAGCACAGCAAATAATTATCCTGCTTACCCAGAAACCGCATAAACAGCAGGAAATATTGAGCAGTCTGAAGTGTGGAATTGTCCCTTTTTGTTCCCTGCACAGGCTGCAGATATTTCCTGTGGTCCTCATGTGCCCCCTCCTGTTGAGGAGGAGTACGTGCGCATGTAGGTGCAGGTCTTCTTACCCAGCAGCTCTCCGGTCCTTCTCCTCACCACAGCGCCCCCGCTGGTCCCTGCCTGTACTGCACATGTGGTCTGAAGCATAACAGGCTGGTGATTCAAACGGATGGCTTTGGAGAGGATGCCACAGGTCAGGGATGGGCCGCAGGTCCGACCCAAACCCCCATATCCCACGACAACCACAGGTTCACCTGGATGCGGAGAAACCACACTGAATAGAAATCTCGCTACAGCTTCATTAGTGTGAAGAAGGGGAGCAGAATCTGAATCAGGAATTAAACCTGGATTGAATGTCTGCGACAGTTGGGGGACCACAACATCTGGCACAGGGCCTCTGGCCTCTACCAAAGCCAGATCATACGGTGACGTCTCTTTGGTGGAGAACAGCACATCACCCACTACGTCATGGACTCTAAGACAGAAAACACACAGACACACAAAAAGGAGCAAACATCAGGCCATCTTGCTTTGCATTATTTCAACATATACAATATGATTCCAATGTTACAATGTTCAATGATTTATTTACTTTAAAAATGTTTCTTATCTTAAGGTAATTATCTGATCTACTAGCTGTGCATGTATGAGATTTACCTCAGTGCATGTTTTTATTGATAGGGTGGAGTAAGTTTGACTGACTGATTAATATCAACACATTTAAACAGACTTGGATCCATTGCCCCTCTCATGTGCAGGTGACAGAACCCAAATTAAGAAACAAATTCCAGAGACTTTTGGATGGACTTGTGCCGTCACCTGTCCCTGTGATGGAACTTCAGAGTGACTGCAGACTTTCCATTGACAACGTGCCGGCAAGTCACCACCAGCTTTGGTGTGACGACAACCCCTGTGCCCCAGAACTGCCCGCTGTCCACGAAGCACACGGTGGGGTATTTAGCAGCTTCCCACTCATCAGCGGCGGTGGAGATCAGGAGCTCTGCCTCTTCTGGATGAAGCCAAACATCACAAAGGGGATCCTGAACATTGGTGCAACGGATGACGTTCCTGAAGATCGAGTGAACGGAGCACACCAGAGTGAGGCCTATCCACTCATTGGCCTTCCAGCCGAACGGGGACACGATCAGCCCGATGAGGTGCATGCTCTCTGTACCGTCCACCGCAAACAATCCCCCGCCTTCCGTCCCCGGTAAGCAGCGGGCATCGGTCAGTATGATAGCATTGTCCTCTCCGGCAAGGTTGCTTATGATCCCTTTGCTGAGGGTGCTGATGAAGAGGTCTACGCAAAGAGAGCCGAAAGGAGACCCACACGCAACAACTGGGCAGCCTTTGTGGAGAGATGAGCTGCTCAGCCAGGGGATGGTCCCTGGATCCGTACGGCTGTTGACCAACGCACCTGCTTTGAGGACACCAAACCAGCTGAGGAACTGGGCATCTCTGACCAGTTCCTCATCCTCTTCATCGCCGTGAAAACGCCACTGGTCTGCCTCTTTGAAAAGGGACTGAAAAGCCTGTCTGAACTCCACACAGTTCACCAGCATCAGCAGCTCGGCAGAAACCTCCTGTTGCCGTACTGCTTTGTTCCTGGGGCCAGTTAAAGCCAGCCCACGGGTTTTCTGGAGAGGGTTCCGGTCTCGCTGAGGAGATAAGCTGACGCGGATTTTAAGTTTATCTGTGAAGCTGTGAGGGAGAAGTATCCCCGGGTCCGAGGAGAGGGGCTCTTTGTCGGAAATAAAGCGTGAAAACGGGAGGCCGATGCAGACGATAGTTCCAGTTTGAGGATGGACGACAACTCCGCTGCAGCTAAAGGGTTTCCTTTCTGAAAATGCCCCAGAAACTTTGACTACACAGCAGCATCTATCCACATCCTTTAGCTCCATGCCGTTGTTGTTGCCCAACTCTACTGAAGTCAAGTCAGTGAAAAACTGTCAAAAAATCTGCACATTGAGACGGCGGTGGGCCGGTGGTGAACAGGGAGGATATACCTATTAACTCGTGAAATATAACCAGATGACTCGAAGTTTAGACAACTATTTAAATGCAGGTGGTTTTCGAACGGTCAGTTTAACAACTTCACTTATCTGTCTAACTTCCGGGTTATGTCCAGATGTGTCTTGCAATTGGTTAGAATCCGTGGCGGTCTAGCCAATGGTAAGCAAGAAGAGGGGAACGGATTGGCTTGTTTTGCTGCACGTCGTGTCCCAGAGGAGCGCCGTCTCTGTAACCTTTGCTACACTGATAACAATATGTAACCATTTATTCAAAGACATGGAATTCTTTGTCCTATGTGTAGTTTTAAAAACTACACATAGTTGGTAGCAAATGAGTTTATGATGTACTGTATGTCATGATATGATACCATGATGATAAAATTATTGAATATTTTCTAAATAACGTTGCTGTCCTTGGGAAAGAGCAACATTTGAACTTTAAATTTAGTCAAATAAGCAAGGAAAGAAAAAAAATGAAAAATAAATAAATTGATTAACGTTTAATTGCAAGAACTGATAGCTCTTCTGTGACTGAGTGACTTATTTCCTCAAAGACTGTATATACAGTGGGAAAATAAAGTAGAGAGTAAGCTCAACTCAATACTTTATTCACCATGTGTATCACTTGAATATTACTCTTCCTACCTGCTGTATTTTGCAGGAGACGGCATAATTTGGCTTCGTGAGACTTTGGCTGCGAAAGAATGACCAGGATAAAAATATTTTTTTTCCTTTTCTGTTTCCTTTTCTGTTGTTACTTGTGTTTTCTGTGGCAGACAGTATGTCCTTCAGCTCAGCGTTTGATAAGAATAACTTATCATAATTTGTTTAATTTCCTCAAAGAGTTTTCTTCTTTGAAACAAATGAACACTGTCCTTAAAACAGAAATATGAGGAACAGTTAATTTGGACAGTAAAAATTCTTGTGTTGACCTTGAAACAAATTTAATCAAATCTGACCACTGATTGATCTCCAGTGTATTTTGTTGAAATACATTAATTGTGATCGCAAATAGGAAAGACTGTATATTTTATGGTCCATTGTAAATGTTCATGACTCATAAAAAGGATTGTCATAAATATTTATTCGAAAGTGTTAGACATGTCAAATAAGAATGGTCTACCTTTTGTCACAGATAATATTACTTCACATGTCAATCCTTTACACAACACGAGCCAAACTCTTTCTTATTGAAAAATATAAATATTTTATACACAAAAAATGTATAATATTGCACTGTATTGTTCTGCTCATGTTTTGAAGACCCTATTTTTAAGCACCACCTGAGTACTCTCATAATATCACTGCAAGTTTTTAGCAGCAACTACTCACCAAGTACTCAAGCTATGTCACAATAGTTGCCCCTCGTATAAACATGAACTTTGGCATCTTCTACGAAAATGGAGTGCTTTTGTTTTCTCAGTTGTCTAACATGGTTTAGTGGGAAATTCAGTTTCTAATGGGAAAGGTCGGTAATTGCACTTGTGGTCACATTCATACAGTTGGCTGCAGTCAGAAACTTTACAGTACACTCAACAGAACGGTCGGTGTCCAAGGAGGTAGCAGGCTGCTGTCTTAACATTAGCAAAGACTGCGCAGAATTTTCGTAGCACTCTCCACCTGAAACTACTCTGTTCTAGGTAAGAGCTGATGGCACATTAAGATTCACATCTTTGTAAAAAGTAACTATAAAAGCAGAACTATGCTACTGTTCCAGCAAAAGTGCGTTTCATCTTTAGGCTAGTAGAACTGAATACAAGCCTGCAGTGTTAACTTGTGAAAGTGTAAGCCAACACCAGCAGCCAAATATAAACCCAACTTGGAAACGTCTTCATTGCGCTCCACTGTATAAGGCAGACAGGATTCCCTACATGTAATACTGCAAGCGAAACAAGGAAACCCTAACATGAGGATTTTTTTTCTCTCTCAGACTGAATCATCATTCATGATTCATAACTTATCTTTGAGCTGTTGTGTTGTGACGCACAGATTTCTGTGAAGATGCAAAAAATACAGGACATTTCAAAACAAAGCTCTACTCGAGATCTAGTTCTTACTGGCAGTCAAGGTACTATGAATAGTAAATTCAATCAAATATATCTCTACTGCAGGTAGTTTTGTGTGGAACATGTCTTTGTATGGACAGGCAGTAAAGCAAGTCTGATTACGAAAAAAACAGTCAGTCAATATACTGGGAAAGCCAACGGAAACCGTCTCCATATCCCTGTCTCTTCAGCACGCTGCACATGAAAACCTCCATGGGCCTCAAATTCAGCTCCTTCAATGAAACCGTTCCCTAAAGTAAAAACAAAAGAATAAGAACATTTACACTCAAAGAGATATATATATTAATTTACAACCCACACTTTTAATTTCATTCTAATACACAAATACTAAACACCCAAAACTAATATCTTAAATCTGTAGTTTTCATCATAGAGAGGTTCAGCATGATCTGCAGCCACTTGTATTTACCTAGAGGACTAAAAACAGAACCTGTTCTTGCACTCTTTTTTCTCACACATACGAATACCGAAAATTAAGCATTTGCTTAATGTTGACCCAAATGGACATTTGTCTCCAACAACACTGTATGTTAAAACACCAACAACCTTTAATGCTTAATTATCCCTGCATCTGGCAACAATTATTCTCTGAAGGCCTTCATGCAAGGTTGATGGATGCAATAAGAAGAAAAAAAATCACCCCAAATAGACCTCTGGACTATAAAGAAACCATTATTCCCACATGTGGGTAATACCTTTCCAGTTGTGTGTCCATGAAGACCAAACATTCCTCGGAGCACATCCTCACTGATGGCTTCTGGACGGTCTATCTTATTCCCCAGGATGAGAACTGGGATGTTGGCAATTGTTTCATCTGTTAGAAGGGCCTAAACACAAAACATGCTGATCAAATTCCTCCATCCTGACACAGACAGGTATAACAACTGTGCTGAAACAACACTTATCACAGTAACTCACATCTAGCTCAGTTTTCGCTTCTGCCAGTCGCTCATGATCAGCACAATCCACCATGTAAACTATACCATTTATGGCTGGGAAGTAGTTCTTCCAGATCCTTCGTGCTGTTGGAAAATTTCACCATTTTTGGGACCCTCTTCAAATGCATCAGTTCAACTTGACACAATATAAAAGAAAGCCACAGCAGCAAATTCTTTACTCACACCTTGTGTGTGACCTCCTAGGTCAAATGTGGTGAATGTCATTCCAGCAATGGTCAGCTCCTCAGATGCTGGGAACAGAGAGGAAACGCTGTAAAACACTTTAGATGAGCAATAAAAAGCAAGAAAGATTAAGCAGATGTCTGGAGATGTGAAGCTTTTGTGTGTACTTGGGTAAAGCGTGGGCATGTGCTGTCCTAGCCTGTCGTCTCTGAGCATCTGCAGGAGGGTTGTTTTTCCAGCATTGTCTAATCCGAGGAAAACCAGCTTCCCTGTCTTCTTGTATAACCCTGAAGACCAGGCGGGAAAGTAGAGTAAAAAAAATTCACAATCACTCATCACAAGGTCAACACAGCGAAGGCAAAAGAAGAGGTAGGGAACACGTGCTCTCTGACTGGGACTGTGTGTTCTTGTCTGTCAGCCTATCAGCAACATTTCATTAAACTGCAGAAAGATTTTTTAAAACATTGAGTAAGACTAGAAAAGAAGGTAGACACAATTCTTAATATGAGTTTTCCTCACAGGTGATTCTGTTTGTTGTACAAACGGGTGTCGAAAAGCAGTGACAAAAACAGAATTTGTGTTTATGAGTCATAGCATAGCTCTTTCCCAGATCTGAAACGGTTTTCACAATTTCTGGATTCCTGCCTTCCAAAACTTAAAAAAATTAAACTCCTTGACATATCCAGACACCTCTTAATATATGGTCTCATAAATTATTTTGTTTCTCAGTTCATCCTTGACATACATGCGATTTCTTCAGTCATATCAAATACATTTAAAAATGCTATCCTGTATATTTCCGTCTTAAAACATCTGTTCTGTACTTTACCTAAAAGTTGCAGGACGTTGCTGAAGCTCCTGTAGATCCAGTCAAATATAAAAGACATTTCTCTTTAATACCTGAAAGACACCATATCAAAATAAATGACATAAATTTAATAAAATATCTGGCATTGACAAGTAAATATACCACAAACAACAGTAAAAAATGTGACAAAAAGGAACTAAACGATGCTTGTATGTCCAGCACTGAGGCTCATTGTTAATTATTCTTCCTGACCCTGGTTTATTCTGCTGGTATGTGTAAGCTTTGTGTAATCACACAAGTTTTAAAGCATCAAAGGAAAGGAGCTAAGCAGGGCAACAAACGGGCTTCAGTGTTTTGTTTTGCTTTTTGGATGCTTGCTTGTTCTCAGAGCTGTCTCACTCAAGCCACCCTGATCTTTCTCTGACTATTTTTATGTCAAGTTGTGGCCGGGACACCTGATCTGGGTGGTCACCCTTGCATTTCCCTGGTGGACACAGGAGCACCTGTCACTCTCTGTGAACTTCGTGTTCCGTTTGTGGTCATTGGTGAGGCTTCTACTGATTTAGGGCTTCGAGAAATTACTCAACTTTTGATCCACAGAAAACAAGTAAATGAGCTTATTCCGAATATGCACATAACTTCACATACCACAGATATTATTTCAGTGCAACGTCCACGGATTGCCCAGCACAGAACAGCCCAGTTAACCCCTAAAAGAGACTGGGCGGCCATCTAAAAAAAACGAAATTTTTCTATTTTTTTCCAGAATTCTGAAGTGAAATATAAACGATTTGGTTTTTTTAAACCGACAAACAACAAAAAACATAAGCACTTCTTCAACGTATGTTCCGGTGTATTCAGCATCGGTGCCACCGTTGGTCTTGTCACAAACCGCTAGCTAAAACAACATCATCTGTCACAGAGGTAAACAACGAGAAGTTTGGTAAACAAAAGTGGTCCAGAATGCTCCAAATAAACTAACCAACTAGTAACGTTAGAAAAGTTCTTCAACGGACATAGTTTAATGGAATTGTGGAAACTTCTTGACCGTAAGGCCACACGTAATTTGTGTTATTACCTTGTTATGCCGAGTTTTCGATCTCCTCGTCCGTTAGTTTTGGTCCAAGTTCTCCGCTTCGACTGACGTGAAGGCAGCGCGAGTTTGACAGTTAACCGGAAGTACGTCACTAGGAGGCCAAATAGAGCGTGTGTTTTTTTTTTAACAGATGGCATTAGTTATGGGGTGTGAGTTCATCGTCAATTGGCAGTTGTTTTCTTCAGTCTGTTGAACTGTTTTAGAGATAAAAGCTGTAACTCAGCGGTCGTCCAAATATGTCACCCTTTTCACACATGTTTTTGTTTTATGACATGAGTTTTGGACCTTCTTCAAATTTCTATCTTCATGATGAAGTTATTGTTTTCTTGTGTTACTTTGTTCTAATATAAACTTGAGAATGCTGTGAAGTATCGTTCATGTGGTGTATATGTATCTTCTGAACTTTTTTGAATCCTCATTTTTACTGAAACACTTGAAGAAAGAAGACAAATTTATATTGTCAAAATAACTTCACATACTTCACATGGTCGATATTCTAAAATCTTTTAACATTTAGAGCTTAGTTTTAAATAAAAACATATAAAACTTCAACTTAATGATGAACAAATAGCGTAACAGTTGGTTATTTACATCCCAATGTGTTCCACGCCATTTGCTAAAAAAATAATTTCTAAAAAAATGTCTTACATATTGAAAATATTTTGAAAATGTTACACCTCAGTTATCTTAAAGGATGATCAATTGATAACACCCAACATGTTTCAGAATCACTATATGACCAGCAGTGAGCAATAAGTGATGCAAAGAAAAAGTAACCCTCAATTCTACTCAGTAAACACACACTTGATAATTTACCCAGAGAAGCTTTATTAAAGCAATTCAGTGTCACACAGCGCAGAAATATCTTTGAGGTAAAGTACCTGTACTTTAATGACAGCACATCTCTACAGAGATCCTTGTTAAATAATTGATAATATAGTTGGTTGTGACGAGACTGTTAAGATTTTTTTAACTCCTCCGTATCTAACCACTACTCCATCTACATGATGTCTATCTTCAAGTATCCCATCACTGATGAGTCTTTCCTCATTCCTGGATCATTTTTTCTCATAGTAGAACCATTTATCAACTGTAAAACAAAAAATAAAAAAACTCAGCAGGAATTAAAACATGTCAACATTAGAGGCCGTTACATTTCTGAAACCCTACCTGTTGAGGGGATGGGCTCCTCTTTTCCACAAGGACACGTCTAAAAAGCAGAGTGAGAGGTCAGTTAAGGATACCTTATGTTGAAATGTCTGGTGTTATGTCGCAAAGTGGGGTGCAGAAAAATCTTACCTCGCCAACAGCTGTCTTGGCCTCCTCTGCTGAGCAGCAGTAAGGGCTGTCACCAGCGGAGACGCATGTGTTTTTGCTGTTTTGCAGACATTTCCAGTTATTATTGAGACCCGACTAAATGTGAGACTATTCATCTGATGTCAAAGCAAATGTGACTTAGCAAAGTCAGGACGGCTGCTGTGTTTACCAGTTCAGTTCCCCAGCATTAGTCTGTTGTGAAATGAGGGCTTTCCAGAAGTTGTGAGTGCTCTTGATTACTTCAATGGCAAAGTCCTGGAAAGTTAAACCCAGAATTCCAAAACTGAGAATAAAGGTCATGTTTGCAAATTAACTTACAAGGAGTAGTTTGATGAAATTCCATAAAACCTTATTTTCCATCAACATGGCAGATCAACCAGTTCATTCCAATCTATTGGCAAGAAAGAAAATAAATGAAAGAAGAAGAAAGAGACCTTGTCCTTGAACTCCTCGTTGAAAGCAAAGCGGTTCTCTGGTTTCCCATCTGGCACTTTGTACCTCTTGAACCAGTCCACGGTTGCCTCCAGGTAGCCAGGCTTCAGGCGCTGGACGTCATGGATGTCTGAGCGTCCACACAGACATCAAAACAGACACATGATGCAGGCCTGTAGACGCACTCCGACAGAGTCAACCAAAATGCTTACTGTTAAATTCTTTAGCGTCGGGGTCCTCTACGTTGATCGCAATCACTTTCCAATCGGTCTCCCCCTCATCGATCATAGCCAGGATGCCAAGTATCTTCACTTTGATAACCTCGCCACGACAGCACACCTGGAGAGGACATTTAGGTATTTAGCCAGCTTATCGCTCACGTAGAGGACTGACAGAAAGCATCATTGAATGACAGGAACATGGATACACATTAAAGAGTCAAACAGATTTTTGTACCTTACTCCCAATTTCACAGACATCGATGGGATCGTTGTCACCACAGCAGCTGGTGTCTCCATCTTTATGTGCTGGATCTTCCCAGGTCTGACACAGCAGGACAGAAGAAACTATTCTAAATGTTTGCTGAGGTTCTGTGTTAATCTCTAAGGCCATAACGCAGAGTTTAGGACCCATAGGCGTCACGTACATGCACAAAATACTGACCTGAGGAATGGCTCCATAGTTCCAGATGTATCCTTTATGTGGGAAAACATTAGCAACATAGCGCAGCTTGCCCTTCTTAACGTCTTGCTTTATTGGGTTCAGGAAGTCTTTTGTGGCAATCTGAAACAATGGAATTGTGCTGCTGTTACTACAGAGGATTAATTCACCGATCACAAACACGGAAACGGATGACATTTACCTCAGATAAAAATCACCAGGGCGTAGACCGACAGAGACATAAGAGTTTAAATGTTTTCCTTCATCAAAGTACAACTAATTTTAGCATTGGGGCCCATTTAAAACAACAACCCTGAAATGACTGATTATGCCAATTTGGATATTTAAGAATTATTTTAAAAAAGGTTCAATGCACTTCAAACTTGCTTGAGATTCAAAACTTTTTGATGAATAAAAAAGACAGTCTCACCTCCATCTTTGCATTTGTCCATCTTGGTACCTCAACCACCATGTGAAAGATGTTCTATAAGACAGAGATAAATCAGTCAAAGTACACTTTAAAGAAACATTTATGCTGTCCCTGATGCATAGTTCACTTTCTATACACATCTGGACATATTTCCCAGTAGAAGCAGGATTAAAGGTTTAAAAAGAGATTCTCTTGCAAATATGACAGATATTGACACAGCACTGAGAAAGTAAAGAGTAAAGGCCACTGCTTCTCAAACAGAGTGTAATGTTGCTGTGTTTCCTGGCAGGAAAAAATCTAACATATAATTGAGATAGTGAAGCTACAAAGCTCCTGCAAGTGAGGCTTGGCCTGGAAACCGACGAAAAGGACATGCATATCTACTTTAACTGTCTGAGAAACGCTGCATACTTACTTGACTTTCATCAGCATATACTGGTATGTCATGGAATGGTGAGATGTATTTTCCTTCAGCATTTTCTGGAAAACAATCACAATAAAACTTTTTATGAGACAGATTAGTCAACAACCCCGTCATTCCACAAGGAAGGGTCTACTTTCACTTTTAACTAGATCAACCCATCAGGTTACATGTGGTGTACTTTGATCTCATTGGTAAAGAATAAATGATGAAAGAGTAACATTAAATTAAATAAATAAATAAATACATTGACACAATTAAAGAGAACTAAATGCACGAATTAAACAGGAACACTTTGCTCATGTGTATACGTGTCAATGCTTTTATGGTACTCTGACAAGGCGTGGTATGGGAATGACGTTTCAAAGCACCTGGAGAGACTTCCAGAAATACTTTCCTCTGCCAAGTTCAATCAATGACGAAAAATGCATGTTTAAAATGATATTCATATCTGCCTACTCCACGAAACATGAGCAAAATTACAATGAAAAAAACTATGCGGCACAATTCAAAAGAGAGAAAGAGAAAGCCTAATCCAAATGTGGATACAGTGGAGATCAGGGTTATTAAAGTTTCATTGAAGCATTTATATGAACGTTGCAATTTACATCAAGAAATAATCTAACGAGAATAAATTAGTGACACGTGGGAGTATGCGGCTGGCCTGTTTTGTTAGAGAATAGCGCTCAAAGAAAACGGTCTATACACAACTTTATTTATGCTCATACTGTACTTACTGAAAAACAGCCGGTAGCTTAGGGTGTTCGGGTTCCCCCTCTCTTCAACGGTGAAACTCATGTTAAAGTGTAGGTTTCTGTTATCGTACAGACAGGGAAGGAGGATGGCGACGGAATCACAGGTCGGCGCCGGGGTGGTAGTCCCTAATGGCAAAGCGCATGCGCACAGCACAGCAATGGTGCCTTTGAGAGCTATTTGAAATATGGTTACAAAGGGGATTACAACCATGAGCGAAGCGAATACAAAGTGCAATGTCCACTCATACGGGGCAATGTTCAAACAAAATGACAAAGTAATGCACGGACTTAAAATGGAACGCTTTATTTATTGTCGAGCACACAATCTTGCTGCTTAACATTTTGTAAGCTTAACCAGGTTAATTAATGTTTTAAATGAACGTCTCTAACATGTTATGATTCATACACTATTTGAGTGCAAGAGAATAATTTCTGAAGACCTTATTCATTAGGCCTTTTACGGTATGGTAGGCAACGATATAGACCACCTAGTAAAAACAACATAAAATCAATGGATCTTTTACAACTTCAAAATAGCATCTACTTTAACGTTTTGTGGTATTGTAAAAATATTTTTTTATAATGTTACCATAATCACTGACTACCCACTTGAAATAAAAATACATTTTTGTCGTGCTGTTTAAAAATGTATCAAAAAGATTGAATCTTTTCAGGCCGGACCGGTCGGTCCGTGACGCGTTAACCTGACTTCACTTCCGTCCGCAGCTCGTCTCGCTTCCTGCCTTGCTGAGGGAGGGGACGGTGCTGACGGCTGGGAGGACGAAAGGCGAGACAAGAAAGCTTTCGGGAAGCCATAAAAAGTGGGGAACGGCCCGGCTTTCCACCGTCCGTCGGGAAATAAACACCCCAGTTTTCTGTGGCTGCAAGATTTGTCACCGAATCGAAGCCGAACATGTCGACCAGTCGTCAGCTAAGCGAGAGCAGGGCCATCCCGACCAGGACGGTGTTGATAAACGACACAACGCAGCTACCTCATGACTACTGTACCACCCCTGGAGGCACTTTATTTTCTACCACTCCTGGAGGTGAGAGGAGAATACCCCCTCATTTGACTTGATATCGACCAAAACAGAGCCTGCTTTGCTTTTTCCTGTTGCTGTTCTTGTCAGTGTGGCCTCGGTTGCCTTGTCATCCTGTCAAAACAATAACAAAGACTAGCACCGCCCCTTTATTCTTTTGCTGTAGTTTGATTGGCTTGTTCGGAGCGCAGAGATTCTTCTATTTGATTTGCTCAATTAAATTGTATTAACTTATCAAATAACTATTTGTTTTTCATCAGTGTCGTATAAAATACAATTCTATGAATAATTTCTGTGTCATATTAGTGGGTCACAGTCAGAGGAATGATTAATTACACAGATAAAATTGATCTTTATATAACGTATGAGTATACTTTTATTCTCATATTTTTGCAGGAGTGTTTGACATTCTCTAACTCAGTGAAAGAAGTTAATAATGTATTTTACTTTAGCATACAATCAATGTCACATTTTTCCAATGGAATATCAGTGAAAATGTCCATTATTGTTTCTTACAGTCCAAGATTGCTTGTCCAGTCCACTTTGTCTTGTATGCAACAGCCTTTTTCCCACAGCCGCGTAGATTATTGAATAAGATATATTACCTAATTTCCTAGGCACCCGGATCATCTATGATCGCAAATTCCTCCTGGACAGGCGTAATTCTCCAATTGCCCAAACTCCGCCTGCACACCTGCCAGTCATCCCTGGAGTCACCAGCCAAAACGTCCTGAGCGAGAACAAGAAGAACGAAGCCAACAAACACATCAACAAACATGATGGCAAGCCCATAACAGGTGAAGCTTTCAATACGGAAAGCCTGACCAGCTCATGTTTCTTGTAGCGCTTTGCATTATGCTTATTTCCATTTCACGTTGTTACCCTTGTCATTATGAAAAGCAGCGTCTCTGTTACACGAAACAGAAGATTTACCAATCAAAACGCGCCAGAATGAAACATTCAATGAAACTGGAAATGTCATTAATCTGAAATACACAGGAAGCTCTCGTAAATTACGTAGAGCTATCAAAACCTCCTGGAAAATCTCCCAGCTAAACAGGTTCATACGCAAAATGACAGAAAGGTTGATGTATATAAAAGGAGCATCTTACAGAACATGAGTCTTTACACATTTTGAAAAAAAGATTTAGAGAATCCAGGAAATAGTCTGTACAAAAAGAACAAGACTGAACTCCAGAAATATATTGCCTTCAAACAGTGCTTCATGACAACCAATCCCTCAGTTAGAATTGAAGAACACTTCTGAGAACCATTCTCTGTTTTCGCATTTTGTAGCAACATAAAGAAGATCTAGAGAAAGAGCCGCCTTCTTTGGGCCCCAAGTTGATTTAAGATGGGCTGAAGTGGAGTGGGAAACTGTCCAGTATCAGAGCCTGGATCTGTAATGCCTTCATTGTCCTTGTACTTGTTGTTAGGAAACCTTGAGAACTGTGCCTTACCATCAATGCCATCTGCAGATTACCGTTTGTGCATAAGAGGCGAACGATTTTGCTTTATTTAAAGCAAAAAGAGTGTGGGTAGACAGGCATGTGCAGAGATCATCTCGGTAATCCCACTCAAAGCAGCTTTCCCTCTCGCTGCTGTGGTCAAAGGCAACGGCTGCAGCACACTTAACTTTGTTGAGTTGGTAAAATATTGAATTGTTTTTATTTATATTAAGTCAACTTAGCCTGTTCTGCAATTTTCAAAAATTTGTTCTTTCTGTCTTTTTTCGTTTTGCTTTCAAGGTGACGATGCTCAGTTTGAAATGGACATCTAACCGACTGGAACCGCACCAGCATAAGGAAGTGACCTGGCATCATGCGTGCCAGTGGCTTGGCTTGTAGAACCCAGTGTCGTGAGCCCTCATGGCAGCCATCTTCTTTAGCTCTTTGTCTCACTGCTGGATGTAGTTTGTGTAAACCATTGGGGATTTGATAGAACACGCATATTTACATACCGGCCAACTCTCAAAGTTCTGTTTTTGTGGGGACATTTTAATGTCTGCCAGTCAAAGTACAAAAAAAAGAAAGGGGAATAGGCCTTTTTTTCTTAGACAATTTTTACAATTAATCACTTACAGTGCTCATCCTCCATCTATTGATGTGGCAGGATCTTCATCAGAGCACTCCAGAAACGAACAAACAAAAAAAGTTGATCACCAGAGGACATAATATTCTTTAGAGCTGGCCTTACAATCATTTAAAAGCTTTGATATTCATCCCATTCTTTGGTTTTAAAGACCTCTTGAAGAACGTTATTCCGTTTTGTTTAGTTTTTTCCAGTTTGGTTTTTTGGAATTACTTGAAAAGCGCCACAATCCACTACCAGTTGTTTCCAGAGTTGGTATGTAAAGGGATGCTGATTTGTTTTTGGTTTCTGATTAGGGGAAAATTTCATGCCATTCCAAGACTTTTCTATCCATTACCAATTAAAGCTTGGTCCACTTTCTAATTTTAAAAAGATAGTTTTCGGGCTCCAGTTGAAGAGTTTTATAATTGTCTAATGGCTGTTTATTAAGCTGAATTAGAATTTGTCCATTGAAATTGATATTTTTATTTCAGTAAGGTGCACTTATAATGAGACACTTAAGGAACAAAAAAATGCATATTGAGTGAATTTACCTTGGCAGGTAAAACTCGGCACAATCTGCCAGGTGTTCTGAAATGTCAAGATCAGCTAATCATGTAGAAAAACATATTAATAGTTAGTATAGATTAATACATATTTGGGTAATAAACAGCAAGTTAAGAAAAGAGAAACTTGAACTAATCCAGATGTTTTCTATACATTTTATTTTTTAATACAGTGTCTTAGTATTGAAGATATTTTTTGGGTCTAAGTTCTGTCAAGCCTTTGGATTTGTTAAAGATGTCAAGGAAACAGACAACACTGTTTGCATTGTGCTTGCAATTAATCCACAAATCCCAAAACCATTTGACACGATCCTCTGCTTTTCATGCGTCACACCCGTCCATGCCTTACATCGCATGAAATGCAGTAACTAGTTTCTTCTTCATCAGTTTGTACTTTCCAACAGATGTTTATTTTTTCATGGTAATACTGTACTTGGCAACAGAGCAAAACATTTTATTTAGGTAGTTTCTTTCCTCAAACAGTAAAGTATGGAAGTTTGATGGTGTGTGCAAAATTGTAGGATGTTCAGATGGCTTTGCCGTTAAAAGTGCCACCACATTCATCTTATCCCAACTATTAGTTAAAGTTTTACACCACATTATCATGTCCGCCTTCTGTCCAAACAGCTCTAAACTTGGTACATGAATCATTAGCAGTCCTGTACTTTCAGGGTTTTTTTTCCTTAGCATGACTGGAACTGAATGGTCTTTTTCATTTTATTTTCTTTAAGAGTTGTAATTAACTCTTGTCTAAGTTTGGTGACAAATTCATACATATGTAGTTTGAACCCTGTTTGCATTGATTTTAGACATTTATGTTACAGCATCATAATTCAGATGGCAGATTTATCTCAGATCTGTTTGGTTTGACAACGAGGGCTTAACATTATGTTTTGAAAAAGATTTGAAACAAAATTTGACTGTAACATTCTGTTCTGATTTAAAATAAGTTTATTTTAAATGAAACTCCAACACCAGTGGACACTGTTGCTGCAAGATCAATAAAATTTTGCAATTGAAGAACTTTATTTTCTCTTTGTGTTTAATTTGTGTTTGGCAGTCTCTCCCTGTGTGTGTGTGTGTGTGTGTATATATATATATAATATAAATATATATACATAATGTGTGTGTGTATATGTATATAATACATATTTCCCACATTTAAAAATCCTTATGTTTAATAAAATTAATTCAGGTAGCTGAAGGTTGCAACAAAATCTATAAAAGCTTTTCCCCATTTTGTTTATTTTTGTTCTCTTTGTAATTTGGTTCGTTAAACTCATTCTTGTAGACACCTTTTTAACCAACGATGCTTTAAAGATACTTGACTCGCACAATTCCATGATTACCTCACGGTTTTGTTGATCATTTGTGAATGTTGAACAACTCAAGGATATATTCATGGTTGAAAATAGCTTTTGGCTTTGCTAATACAGTAAACACGGACTTTTTTTCACTGAACAGCGATCTCACATGATATACTAAATACGTATTGCGTTAAATTAAATGGGAAACAACTCAACTTTTCGTCAGGCAATTCAAGTGAGTCCTCACTTATTTTTTTGCAGGCATTAATCCGGACACCTGCTGGTCCTTCTTTCTTTTTTACGTCCCTGAGCGAGGCCGGCGTCAAGATGGTGAGTCTTGTGAAGAAAATTACGGATAAAATCTGTTGATCATCGAGGCCATCCTTTCACCGACAGATATTTTTTACAGCTCAAATATTGCTGAAGGTCTACATTGTTATAAAAACAGCTGTATTGAAGAATAAAGAGATTCTTTAAGGAAGTGCGGTGGTACATGTCCAAAGCTAGCCAACCGATGTTACGGACGTCACACACGCTCTACACTTCATTTAAGCTGACTTGATCTATATTCTATCTTTCTCCCCCAATTTCTCCTAACTGCACATTACATTCATATAACGCTAAAACCAAACTGCGCTGAATTGGTTCTAAATATCAATAAGGTGTTAGCTTAGCAAGGCTAATGCTTACACACATCATGAAGACCTCTGGCGAGGCCCATCAGTTCCTGCATGTGAATAAGTTTTGTTGGGTTAAATGTTTCATGGGCGTTCTACAATATTGCGAGTTGTGGCTGGTGAAGCTACACATTTTGTACTGAGCTTTTGGAGCTGTAGCCTGACCCAGTTGACGTGAAACATTCTGCACACATGAAGTTTAACTATAGTAGGTAGCTCTGTGCTTTGTTACTGTTGGTGATGATATGGTCTTGTCTAATTTCTCACAGAATGACACAGTAACGGTCAGGACCCGCAAGTTCATGACGAACCGACTGCTTCAGAGGAAGCAAATGGTAAAGTTTTACATGTTCTGATGTCATTGTTGTTGATTGCTACAGTCACAGTCCCTGTAACCATTGCCAATTTTCTGTGCAGGTCGTTGATGTCCTCCATCCTGGCAAAGCCACAGTCCCCAAGACTGAAATCAGAGAGAAGCTTGCCAAGATGTACAAGACGACCCCTGATGTTGTCTTCGTCTTTGGCTTCAGGACTCAGTTCGGTGGTGGAAAGACAACAGGCTTTGCCATGGTCTACGACTCATTAGACTATGCCAAGAAGAATGAGCCCAAACACAGACTTGCCAGGGTGAGGGCATGTTTATTCTCTTACTAACTTAGCGGTACTTCAAGCTGTCTAAGAGCTTCATCATGGTTCTGAACTTGGGTGAATAATTCGCATTGAAATCTAGAGTGGAAACATGATCGGCACAGATATCTGGGAAGTTTTATCTTTGGCAAATGTTAAAACCCCTAAACGTTTCTCCTGAGAGTGTAGTATTCTTGTAAGAACATGTTTGTGTGGCACCACCATGCCCTTTGGTTATTGCTACTTTCTGTTTTCCTGCAGACAACAGGCTTGACGGATTATATTCAAATCTGACTGTAGTCTGAAATCTTACAGCAACCTTCCAAAAGTATAATGCTGATGCTTATTTTTTGTTCCCCAGCATGGTCTGTACGAGAAAAAGAAGACCTCAAGGAAACAGCGAAAGGAACGCAAGAACAGAATGAAGAAAGTACGAGGTATCAAGAAGGCCAGCGTAGGAGCAGCTGGCAAAAAGGTATTTTAACACTAAAATAACTGATGTTAAGTCAACAAAGCCTGACCAGTGTTTAGGGTCTTTGTAGTTCCACCTTTTCTGTTAAAATAGCAGATGTACGTGTTTTTTTTCCACATTTTATCTTGACTTTTTACTGCACACCTGTTCATTTGCTTTCCTGTCATTCTTCATTTTTGATTACTGTCCTGTTTGTTCAACTTCCTTTTTCATCTTTGCAACTCAAATTTTCCTTGGAAAATGTAGAAGGTAAATCTCCAAGCAGACTAATTGCCTTGCTCAGATAGTAAACGAGTTTTAGTTGATGGTTAACTCCTTCCTGTAGCAGACCCTCACATATGTTTCTATCAGTATTGGATTTCCTGTTGGATGTACAAGTTGCATCCATTTAGAACAGATTTCAGAGCTTAATAGCCAACCCTTTAGTACTAATGAGCACTAAAGTGTACTAATGGTGTAGTAACCTTGTTTTGGGAACCTGGCAGTGTGAGAATACCACCTTGCCAACAAATGGAAGTGCTTTTAAAAAGGAAAAAATAATACACTAATCAGTGACTCGTGTTGCTGTAGTTTGATTTAGTGAACCCCTTGATATAGTCCTCACCAGTCACTGACTGCACATCACAGAGCAGATCTCTGAGCAGAAACCCAGCTGAATTTTAAGCACTTACGCTTGTAGCTTTAGACAGCTTTGGTTTAGATCTAGATGGTCCACCCTCTACAGGGTTGTTCAGAGATCTGCTCTATTCCATGTCTCAATTTTCAACGTGTTAACTTTATTTTGTTCCATTTTATTCCTGATTTTGCTTCCCATGGATTTCTTTTGCAGAAATGAAGTTTCATTTGCAGGTATAAAAGCAGAACAAGCATGGTGTGCTATTGTGTTGCACATCCTGAGCTGCTAGACTCTAGCCGTGCTATGCATGTCATGCAACTTTTCCCTGTAAATCTCCCTGTGTTTTCTCCCTCACTGTGTCGACTCCACCCCCTTGGCTAGTTTACCTCTACCCCAGTCCTGTTGTACTACCGTCTCTGCTGTGATGGGTTTATCTACTAGACTTTACACACACTGACTTATGTTTGTTCAAGACATCTGACACTTAATTTCTCATAAATGGAAACGAAGTGCAGCATGTTGATGAGCAGAGTTTTTGTATGTTTTGATGGGGTGAGGAGCAGCTGAACTAAAGGACTGCCAGTGTGTGAACAGGAAACAAACAGTTTTGCTCTAAGATGTGTTGGACTTGAATTTTGAGTTTGATAGTACCACAGCCTAACATTTATCTAATTTTCAAGGCCTTTAACTGTTGTAGCATTTTGCTTGACTCTCTCTAATATTGCTGTTATCTTCTTACAGTGAGCCTGGACAGCCAGGGCCAGTCATCGTGCTCAAGATGTTCTTGTATATTGTCATCAAATAAAGAGTTGGGGAGAACAAAATTGGCTTTTGTCGTTCAACTTCTTTTGGTGTTAATGTTTGTTATAGTCATACAAGCAGAAAAACAGCTTAAGGATATGTATAAAACTCAAATACAACACATGAATGCATCACACATGAATACTTATATCTACACACTATATACATATTTGTGTGTGTATACGATATATATATCTGCCCACATTACAATTTTCTATGCATTAATGATTATTTAAATTGCACATAACTGATCTCCTGATTTATTTGATATCCAGTGGTTTTATAACGTCATTGCTTCAAAACGGCTAGAAAAATGTTTCTTCGGACTTAACAGCTTTTAACAGAATATTCCAACACTGGTGGTTTACCTTAATATGCAACATCTGTCTCAACAGTTTTAGGTCTCAAAATGTCCTAAAGAAGTTCATTAATTGTGCTTCCAGCTGTTTAAATATTTGGTAGCTGCAATATCAGACTTGACCACAGGAGGACTCCATTTGAGAAAATATCAATGATTCATTGAGGCTTTCAGTGTCAGCTTATCTGTGGGAATGTATTTCCAGACTCATTTTTCAAACAGGCTTGTGATGCTAATACCATCACAAGGAATAGCCTATATGCACTTACCTTTTCCTGTTTATAAACTGTGTGGAGCACAATGGATATCCCCATTTGCTGAGTGACCTTTGCAGATAATTTGCAGTGAAATACCCACTGAGACAGTTTAAATTAAGTGATTAAAATGCCAAGAGATGGTATGTTCTAAGGGCAACCCCATCCCATCTCTCTTCCTCTGTCTTTCTGGTTTGAAGTGGGTCTAAGGCTAAAGTGAAAGCAAAGATTGAGAACATGAATGCTTCACAGTTAATTACAATATGAGACTAAATAGATTATGCAATTTACCTCCTGCAAATGCTCCTTTTGCTTCCAGTGACCTTTTGTTTTACACAAAGCAACCTCCCCAAATTATGAAACCACAGGGCTGCCCCTGCTTTGTGTGGCTTACGTGCACCAGAGGGTGGGGGGCTGTACTATAACATCATTTTCTAGTTAAGACAATTATATTCCACCTTGCATTCTGACACATTAAAAAGATTTACAATGTTTCCAAAATTGTGGGCCAGATGTTTCTCCATTGTTTCGCCATCAACAGGAAAACAGGGAGAAGAATTAGCCCGGAGACACCTCCACTGACACGTTATGAGTTGTGGGCTTGTCTCCTCAAAGGGGAGGCCTAAATATACAAACCACACCCTTTGGGCTTTTCCTCCAACAATCCCTTTCAACAAAACACCAAAAAATTCTTAGGAAGATTTAATCTCCTAATAATAATCATACTGACACCACTCCTATGGAGGCCCCCCTGACTGAGGAAAGAGCGTGAGTGGAAATGCCCCTTTTCCCCATGTTTCGCTGAGGTTGCCGTGTGAATTCCTGAACCCAAAGAGAGTGTCGCCGGGCCCGTGTAGCGCTCCAGAACCAGGGCTGACCCACAGCGGTGTGGAGCTCACGGTGGGGCAGGGAAAAGATGAGAAAAAGGAAAAGGCTGCAGCCACTTCTGCGGCTCGGTGGTTCTCCACTGCTGTGTGGCTGTGGGAGGTTTGACATAAGTGGAGCTTTCAACCCAGGGACTGGTAACAGATGGTGTTGGGAAATTAAGCTCCTCTCTCCACAGCCCTGTCGGTCTGTCCCAGGAGTCTCTGGCGCTCAGTCTTTGTCTCTTTCTTGTCAGAGTCCTGTTCCCAGCACCCCTCTCTGTATTTCCCTGATTCCACCTTATCTTCTGTCTGCCTTCTTTGTTCCAGCGTAGGAGGGATGAAATCAAATTCATTCTACACTATCCATGCACTTTTTTAATGTAAAAAAAAAAAGTCTTGGTTGCTAAGATGCCCCCCCTAATGTAATGGAAACAAATCCTTTTCCAAGATTCTCTCTGAAGAAAATGACCTGCGCAGAAGGCAGAGCGTCAGACTGATGACCGGTGATAAGCGAAGGGGTTAATGGTGGAGATAAAAGATGAATAAAAAGACAACGTGAAGAGGGGTGATCTTTAACTCTGAACCGTGGAGCTCCGTGATGTGAGCGCCTGCAGACCTGTAAATACATCACATAAAACCAGACAAAGGACGCCTAGCTCTGTTTCTCTTACAGGACAGGAGCGGGTTCGGAATGAGAACCCTCCCCCTTTTGCCTCCTCGCGCCACAGAGGTGTTTCTGCTGTTGGGTTTTTGATAAATGCTTATTTATGAGGAGCGCATGTTTATGCCCTCACAACAGGTGCCGTTTTAATGGCCTGCCTCTCTGCACGCAGGGCAGATCGGCGGCATGAGGAGAAATTTCTGATTACCAACTCCTCGCTTCGGTCCACGCGCGTGTCAAAACACGGGTATTTGTTTGTGGAGGACCCCGGTTCTGTTGCCTCCTTTGTCTTTGCACGCCGTCTCGCAGTCCGTCCGCAAGGTCGTCGTCAAACATCCTCCCTTGTTTTTCATTTTGATTGATTCTGGGTGCTTTGGATGTGCATATTTTGCAGAGGGGCAACTTGCTGCTGTAAAGTGTGGCCAGGCATTTGAGAATGTGCTGCATCTTAATGAGGTATGTCTCCCTTGTTGGCCTCAGCAGGGGAATCATCACAGCTCATTTTGCAGTCCTGCAGTGTCCTATCAGCTTTGGCAGCCGGCTCTAAGTTCACTCCATCTGCCAGTTGCTAGGTGCTGATATATAAAATGATCTGTGCCTCGGTAGCCCCAGAGCACCAGGGAAGTGATTTGCTTTTGAGAACAAACTGTGTTTCGTGAATCCTAATTATCCTATTTGCATCGCCAGTCTGACATGTTTTTGTCATTTATCCCTCTCTGGAAGCAGCGGAGGGGGAAAAAAATATCATGCACAGAGTGCAGCAAACTACACGCGCCCAGACAGACCGAGCTCAAGTAAATAGACTGTACAGGAGCCCAAATGCAACACTGGTATTTTTCCATCAAACCGTTTTCACAGGTTTCGGGCTGAGAAGAAAAAAAAATACACCCGCTGTCTAGCCCTGGCACTCTAACCGGTGTGCACATGTGAAAAATCACTTCTCAGATTCAATCATGTGAGGCGTATTGAAACCGCTCTGTGGCCTTTTTTCTCGGACTGTTAACATGCTGTCTGAGGCTCAAAGGACATCAGACCAGTATGAAAGCCAGTCGGTGAACCTGCCTCCGCACCACCTGCCAACATCCTCAGGAACCGGCTTCATTTCTGTTGGCATTGAGGGATGGTCTGTGCCGCAGTAGGAAGGGAAAGTGAGGAATAATGTGGATGTTGTGGAGGAGGAGAAAAGAGAGGTTTGACAGAAAGGGAGGTAAAGGGAAGAGGGGGAACGGGGAGAGTGCGGTAATGAGGAAGGGCAGCAGATGTGAGTGACAGTATGATGGAATGTTCCGTGTGATAGTTGTGCTCCCGAGGCTGCGAGGTGTGTGTCGGTGTGTACGTGTGGGTTCTCTTATTGAGGAATCATATGTGCATGTGTGTGTCCTTGGGTCTTAAAGAAAGGATACCTGCTGCAGGTTTTTTATGTTTTCATGACAGTATACTGTAAGTGTTGCCCTCT